TGCCGTGGTTATGTAGGTGCTTGGCGCAGGATATACCGTAGAAACTATGGTGACGCTCACAAAACTGGTGTAAGGTTGGAGAGAAGTCGTGGCTGTGGCTGTCACGAGAGCGGTGCTGAACTGTGTAAAGGTTTGGTTTTGAATGATGGTAGCTGATTTGTACCTCATGTTAGCTAGGTTTCCCTCTAATATACTTCGTTCGGAGCAAAAGTCTCCTGAAGACCTTCGAAACAAGATCAACAAAGCATCTTAATCCGGAAGAAGCTATCTACTCATCTTGAGAAACGCAGCTGACGGACTTCGAGCTCATGGCAGGTATATATGATGATTGTACAAAGCATCAGGGGCACACGAAAAGATATAAAAGAAGACTCGACTTACTCGTGCTGGTCACAATGGCAGAAACAGTAAAGTTTTGGACAGACGTTGCAGTGGCATATGCTGTCGAAACCAGAGTAGTAGGTTGATAAGTAGTATAGTTATTGCCGCTTACATAGGTTGAGACGACGTAAGAAATTTGTGTCGTAGTGTAGTAGATTGCTGTGGAGACGATGGCAGAAGTTGTACGAGTCCGGACGATAGTCCTGGTTACCGTCTGTGGGCTTCCACCAGAAGCGGTCATTGGGGCCATAGAACCATTGCTGGTTCCACCAGATCCGGAACCACCACTGGTTGCAGATGGAGCTGAGCCATCTGTCGTCGATGTAGAGGTTGAGTTATTCGGAGGTGGAATATCGATGATTGCGACGCTGTCCAGACCCACATATGCATTGCCGGCACAAGTTATACTGAAAGTCGCCAAAGCCGAGTCATTATCAGATGTTGCCAGGAAAAGATAATAGTACTGTTGCCAAACTCCTGTCCGAAGCGCAGCTGATGGGCCGCATGTGTCGTAGACACAAATGCTTATCGAGCAGTTGGGAGGAATGTCTCCATTCTGAGCTTGTTGTGCATATGCCGTCAAATTGTAGGTATCACCGTCGATCGTTGCAAAGTATTGCGTCGCATTGTAAACAAGAGGCTGGGTTGATGACTGGCGGCGAAAGAGCTGCTGCCTGGATGACGAAGTTGAAGGCAGCGAACCGTCGTTGAAGGTCAAGAATCTGGTTCTCGAGTCAGCGAACTCTATAGTACATAGAACATTTGTAAAACTCACAGAAAGCTGTTTCCATTCTGTGCAGTCAGTGGAGTGCTATCGTTACTCTGCGCAATTTGAGCCTGATTCTCGAGTCAGCGAACTCTATGTTGCATAGAACATTTGTATAACTCTCACAGTGACTTGCGGGCTTGAAGAACTGTTGAGGGGATTTACAGTACCATTCTCGAAGCCAGAATCTGCTATAACAACAGGTGCAGGCGTCGGAGGTGGTATGGTGGAGTTGGATCCAGAGGAAACAACAGAGGAAGTAACAGATGAAATAGAAGAATTCTGGTTCTGCTGGGCATCTGGAATGCCATCGTCATCAAAATCCACATAACACGCATCAGGGCAAGTGTCGCAATATGCATCGGAGGACATGGTTGTGAATGAGGAGCCGGGCATGGTGACTGTCACATCCGGGCCGTAGATGGTCGTGTATCGAGTGGCTGAGATCAACGAGTTCATGTTCATTGATGAGGTGTTGAGTGATTTGCAGGCGGGATCTTGTGTAAAGACGGTCGAGACAAAACTTTGGCTGGGGTGATGGTACTCGCATTCACTAGCGAGACTGTCGTGGGACACGCAGGGCAGCTTGAGTTGGAGATAGGGAAACTGCCCGCCGAAGCGCTTTGCAACATAGTGGAAAAGACCGTTGATCCTGGCAACACAGAGGAACATTCAGGGCAACTTGAATTGGATACGGGCAAATTGCCTGCTGAACCGCTCTGAAAGATAGTGGAGATCACTGTCATCCCTGAACATGTTGAAGGACATGCTGGGCAGCTTGCGTTGGAGACATGAGAACTGCCTGTTGAAGCGCTCTGAAAAACAGTGGACACCGCGGTCAGCTCTGGACAAGTCGATGACGGACACGCAGGGCAGCTTGAGTTGGAGGCTGAGAAGATGCTCGCCGAGCCACTCTGAAAGATGGTCGAGAACACGGTCGACCCAGAACAATTTAAGTTCGACAAATAGACAGAGGTCGTGACAGGCGGGATTGTCCTAATGATCTCCGTAGAGCCGCTCTGGAAGATGGTGGAGAAAATTGTCGAGTTTGTGCAACTCGAGTTCGACCAGTAGATGGAGGTAGTGACTGGTGGTAGTGTGCTCATAGTCTGGCAGCTAGCGCTCTCGTAGACTGTAGATATACTGACAGGAGATAACGATCGGACGGTCAGAGAGGAGGCCGCGAATCCAGTCCGTGGCGAAGAATCAAAAATGATCGGACAGTTGGCAGAGCCGTAGATAATGGAGCTCACAAGGGAGCCGGATATGTTGGAGGTGACAACAGCGGAGATGTTTGCGATTGTTGAACAGCTGACGGACTGGTTCGATAGCAGCCACGAGTATAGGTCTGTGCCCGACTGTGGAGGGCAAGTTGGGCATGGCTGATTGTCCGATAGAAGGGAGGTGATGGTGACGGGGGCATTGACGCCAGATGGACATGGCGCTTTTTGGAAAACAGTCGACACGCGTGTTTGGGTGATGCCGAATGGGAGCGCTGAAGTCGATGCAGGTATTGTCACCGTCGCTGGCGATGGGCCCTCGATTGACCCATTAGCGTAAATGCTTGGCCCGCAAGCAACCGTCGAGAGATTGGAGACATAATATGTGGAGGATCTATACACAGTGGAAACATCGTTAGTCGTCTGCCAAAGAGTTGAGATTTGAAGAACCGTTGATGTCGTCTCGGCTGGACATGACGCGACCGCCTGCCCTGTCCGTTGGCCATCTTGAATGAGATATGTTGACGAGTCTGATGTGTAGATGGCATATAATCCGGTCGTGGGTGTACAAACACTCGAAGTCGAACCTGCATTGTCGTCTGAGGATGATTGCGCTATGCTCGCTCTGGAATGACAGGAAATCCCTAATAGGGACCAAAACAAGCGCACCATATTACGATCACATCGACACGAATTCGCTAGCAAACGTCAAATGTGATGAGAAAGAAAGAGCAAAGAACATATTATTGGGATACGTTAGGTGCCGCCCTTCATTCCACCACGCGGAGAGATAATACTGACATAGCCAGTTCCTCGGGTCGAAGTTTCCCATTGTACTGGGCTGCGCATCAAGTATCGACTGCATTGCACTTTCCAGTCGGTTACATTGCAGAACGGAAGGTGCAGGAATGCAGTTGAGACTTCCCTCAGACGTGCCCTTGGCTTGCGTACAAGAAGCAGGGTCTCGACATCCTCACTGGCGCTCTGAGCAGACCACTCAAGACCTGTCCTGGAAAGATCTTCTCCTGCCGTCTTCTGGTCGTCTTGTTTGGTGGTTGGTGTAGAACCGAAGATCGTCATCCTACGCGGGTTGTCGCATGCAGGTTCAAGCTGTCTCCCTTGCTTGTTCCCGCTCGAGCAATCTTGGTCGATTATCCGAACAGGAAGGTCCATTCGCTATTCGTGAAACAACTTGGCTCCTCGCATGCCAAGCGGCGACGTAATCGTGATCCATTCCTTTCTGACACTTGCGAATGTCTTTCGATTGAGCAACGGCTCAGTGCGAATGTGATCTGCAAGAAGTGAATTGTGCAAGGCATTGATGCCAACACTCTGTTCATTAGTAGCGACGTGTTCAGGAACTATAGCGGCCAGCTGCAAGGTTACATGTTGTCTTGCGAGGGGCGTCTGGATCTTAAGCTGTCGTCGCAGATAGACTTGTTCCCTACCGAAAGTTGTGACTGCTCTTAGTTCGGACCAGAACCACGACCACTCAACACTACAATTTGGGGGTTCCGGGAGCAGTGCGTCGGAGGGGTGCGTCCCAGGGTTTTGTAATCGCGCTCTCAATGCCTATCGCACTCGGCGTCTTAGGTCCGTCGTTCGGGAATGTCTGCGACTCGGCTCGCCCGAGGAATGCATGCGTTGATGTTCGGCCCGTCCAGGTTTCTGCGCATCCACTTGGTGCTCGCTAACATATTCCTCGAGTTCGTGAGCAAGGGAGGACAAGGTGACAGGTTGAAATTCTGAACAGGTCGTCGTGTTGGAGACGTTCATCGGAGCCAGTTATTCAAGCCCGGAGGCGTTGAGACACGCACCTGTCATGGCCCGAAGCACTTGGACCAAGAGAAAGCCACGAAACAGTGCCAAAATTTTGCCTACTGGCCCACGGTATATCTATTGGTTGTGAGCATCCAGCAGTCGCAAAAATGTACACCTTCTGGTCTCGAGGACATCCAAGTAGAACGATGAGGGTGTCGCAGTCAACAGGGCGTCTATACCGAACCTCGATCTTGGAGTGGGGTACCAATGCCGGCCTTCTCGATCCTGAGCGTGAACTTCATCTCCTGCAGACAAAGACTCAATCATGTTGCCCATCCCGTTTCGCTGCCAGAAGAAACCTCGAGACATACCTTCTGAACGTCGTCAGACAGTCTCTGTCGTGACCCCCTCGTCCGGGAACGGGATGACAAATTTCCCATGCGCAAAGACAGAGGACGTGATTAGCTATAGAAATGCACCATGGTTTTCACTAAACGGGTAGCGTCCACTGAGACGGCAGAGTGAACAAAAGATAGAGGCAACGATGGTATTGAAGAAGTTGGACTCTACCTTATCCCGCGGATCCTGCGGATTGATGTAAGAGCCCAAGCTATCCCAGCTCCAAATCCCCAAGCCCGTCTTTTCTTTGTGCGCTTATTGTTTCAAAATCGAGTTTTCCTTGTGCGTCCCTCTGTCCCTCGGGTGCTCATTGACATTCACTTGCAACTGAAAAAGCGAGTGGTCTTTCGTAATGTTTCTCCTCCTGTTCCTCTTTGTCTGGAGGCGTCGATGCGCTGGTATCTGACACGAAAGTTAGCTTGAGTCAAACCTTTGAGAAAGGAGAGGCACTCTTACTGTCTGTGACGTGCTGTTTAGACCGACTCAGCATAAGCATCCCACTCGGCCTGGGCCTGGGCACGGCTTTCGTCGGTATGGGCGTGCCAGTATGGGAGCGTATGAGTTGCAAAGTTGCGGATCTTGCTGGTGGTGTCCTCGTCCAACGAAGCCTTGCGGCCGACGAACACAGCGGCAACTCCAGGGTTCATGTCGGGGTGGCGGAAGAGCGCACCGAGAATGATCCAAGTGGGCTTTTTGATGTACAAGGGCTCGTCGATGACAATGCGCTTCAAAGAGGAGAGACCGACGGCTCTGCTGGCGACGAGCTTCTTGAGGCGGTCAATAGTCACGAAGATGACATCTGCGTTGGTCAGGTACTGGTACTCGTCGCCAGGGTAGGTAATGTTGATGGCGGNGGTTGACAGTTTGACTCCAGTGTCGTGGGCCACGGTGTAAGCATCCATCCAAATCTTGGGATCCATGTCGACATCTCCAACCACCACGAGCTGTAAGGGGCGAGCAAAGATACCAGCCTCCATCTCCTCTTCAGTGATGGGAGTGGGGGNTCTCTTGCNCTTCTGGAAAGACACTTCAGCACAGACTTGCATGACAATAGCGACCATACGGCAAGGTCTGGCGATCTGATCTGTGGGGATGATGCTAAAGGTGCTTCTCTCCTCGAGAGCCTCGATCAGGACCAGCTGCTCCGTCCACATATCGTGGACTCTGAGCATCTCGAAAGCATAAGCCACACGTCCATCGATGGTGCGGTACCACTCGACGGTGGCCTTGGTGATCTTCTCGTCAGCGCCGGCGTGAGGGAAGCACAAAAAGAGTCTAACAACAGTCAGCAAGCGGTGGTCAAAGGTAGAGTTAGAGATCTTCTTGCCTCTGACGGTGCACGCTTATGTCGAAGCGGGAAGCCATTGCTGGAGCTGGTTGCGTGTTATGGTTCGGTTGTGTGAAAGTTGTGTTGTAGTTATGTAAAGGAAAGACGCGGTGGTCGAGTTTTGGTAGTGATCCGGAGTTGGATTTGAGCGAAGCACAACAAATGAGACAAACGAACACAACACCCTCTCGGCCTTCACTCGTCAGCTCCACCCTAAACCTCGCCTTTCGACTATCGATTGGGACTTCAGTCAACACTCCATGTCAACAAAGGCCTAGGAGGTTCTGCACTAACCTCCTTGAACAGCCATCGAGCAACAGCAGAGAGATCTTGCAGTGTTAGTGGACTGGACTATTGCACAAGACCTGCTCTGGTGCCTCAGAAGGTCAAAGTCCACCAAGAGAAGGCTCGCATTGCTTGAAGAGAGCGTTCCTGAGCTTTAGAGACAGCGGAATAAGCCCAGTGGTCTGTTTGCTCTCCTCCTTACAAGTCAGTCGAAAATCAGACATTGGAGGAGGCTGCGGGAAAGCTGCTGTCGACAGCCAGAGCAAGCTTTCCGCTCAGGTACAGTTGTAGACCGCATTGAAAAGATCTGGACTCCTGAGAATACGAGCACCAAGCTGATTCAACAGATGGAGGCACTGCTCAAGCAAGAACCGGATGTCAAGTAGGCAAGCAGGCTCAGGTAAGATAACAGGGGAGCTTGAGTCGTTGTAGAGGCGTCCTGTGTCCTGATAACGGTCTGCTTGACAGGCAGCTTTCTGCTCAAGGATCTCAATCTGCTCTTATTTGGTAGAAACTTGCATGCCCACCCCATGCTGACCATGAACCAGGTTAGATGGTATATATTTACGATTCGACGAGCCATAAGACTGTTTTCCTTCACGATGATGGCACTCGAACGGTGTATTTAGAGTGCTGGTAACCTCCATTAATCTCACGAGCCAGGCAAGCTTTGAAGACACCTTTCTCTGACATTCTTTCTATCGTTATGACCCTGCCGAAGCTTATAGAAGAGACGCTATCTATCATCTCCCAACGGTTTGCAAGGATTGGGATGTCTATACAAATACACAGTATAATCGCCTAAGTACTCGCCGTCCAGAGAAATGCTCTCAAAGTGTCGCTCTCACTGGGAAATTGCTTCCATAACGATAGCATGCTGCATTTCTATAGCATACTTACTCGCCCCATATCCAATTGGAGGGCTCAATAACAAGACGCACCTCTACCATCTCGCAGAGTCGATGAGATCGAAAACATCTTATAAAGATGCACAGTAGAATCAAATCAGTACTGACTATCTAGAGAGATACGCTACTAGAAAAGGCTCTCAGTGGACAGCAAGTACATTTCATTAATGATCTTGGATTTTGATAGCACATCTTGCTGTTGAATTTCCAGGGAGATAAGTCTCTATAGCGAGCTCTCAGTGGCTGGAGTATCGTGGAGTTCGAGAATCTGGTATCTTCGTGGTTCTTCTTTCCTATCATACATGTACAAACATCTCTCACACGAAATCTCCATCTATTCAGAGCGGTCCCATCGCAACAATCTCCTTGTACTCGGGATTGGTAGGGCGGAAGATGATGGGTCGAGGGTTGAGCACCCATCTGTTGTTGACGAGCTTGCCAGGACGCACAGAATCGTAGGCCCCTTTCTCGATCGCGTGAGCCCTTGCTCCATTGACTTCTGACAGGTCGGAGACCCGGAAGTTTTTGAGCATGCTTGAGAGGCTGTTCTGCGAGGTTGATTGCAGAACTGCCTCCGAGGCAGGGCCGGCAACGAAATCGAGAATGAACTCGTGTTGAACGAGGTCGGTCATGTCACTGACAAGATCGACGACCGAAGCGACGGCAAGGAGGGCGGCAGAGAGAGATGCGGTGGGATGAGGTGTGGTCTTGTTGACCTTGGTGGTTTGACGGCGCTTAGTAGGGGCGCGTTTCTTCTTAGGTGCCTCTTGGGCATTGCTCTGCGCAGCGACATGGTCTTCGTCGGCGGCGCGAGTCACTTCTGAGACGAAGTCTGGGTCGACCTCTCCCTCCTCGACACTGTTGTTGTCTGACATCTCGAGGGCTTGTTCTTCTGCACTTTATCAGCATTTGTTCACTCGGTTCAGAAAGATCTGTTCAGTACCGTCTTCTTCGTCTTTGGTCCAAGGAATCAATTCACCCTCCTCATCCATACGCAATTGCACAAACAAAACCTCCCCCTCTTCATCGTATTCATGGAACCTTTCGTAGAAGATCTTTTCTCCAGTGACGACGGAGGTCCAAGAGACGATGTCTCTTGTGTCGACGACCGTAACCTTCTTCGTTGATGATCTTGATGTTGGTGCCATTTTTGCTGATTATTGAGTAGCTTCAGCGTGTTGTTGTTGTGTGGTGAGAAGGATGTTGAGGGAAGCGAGAAATGTTTTGTTTATGGTTGTGTTGCGATGTCGAAGCAACCACACGGGTCTGTGACGGTGAATGTTGGACAACCACTCCCAGTGATTCTGGAAGGCTCACCAGCTTCTCATACAGCATCACAACACCGTCCCTCGATAGTTCTCGTCCTCGAAAATCATCAACGTAGGCACTATCTTCCTGACCTCGACCATCATCACCACTCGACTATATATCTCTGCTTCTTGCCGACCTATTCCCTCCAAACTTCGCCTTGACAGACCTCTTCGTGGCTCTTCTTACAGCATACAACGCATGCGGTGGCAGCTGCATAGGGATCCTTTCCCCTCTCTTTTTGTCGCGTTTCAGTTGGGTCTCTCCAAGACGATGCTGCTCGAATTGGGCAGTGAAAACACACAGTAAACTCTCAATATTGATCTGGTCCAAGGAGAGAACAAAGCGCGACACATTGTCTTCAATCTGGCAGGACAAGCGATATCAGTCCGATACGTTGGACGACGACAAGAAGGATGATCTCAATCGAACAACATTGCGCAAGTCGAGGTCGACGACTGCATTCGAGGTAGCCGAAGACAACTCGACGATTGAGTCCGGCCAACAAACAAACTGGAAGGAAGACCGGAAGAGAAAGACTGGGGTTGTTACGAAGAGCAGAAGTTCGAAAGTACGAGGTTAGAACTGGAAAAGAAGTAAGTCCATGAGACTGGCAAGACCGACTCTTCCCAGCGGACCGTCGAGCACTACTTCCTGTACTTGGGTGTTTCACTGATGTATTGTCAGTCTCCTGGGAAAGAACGATCTGCTTCAACTACGACGCCTTACGAGTCGGTCGGAGGCAAGCTGAATGACAAAAGGAGGGTGATATGAGCCTGAGCAACATTCATGGACGCACAAATCTGCTGAAGAAGTTTGCAGACAAGAGAATCGAGGCTCAAGCAATAACGACGCTGTCGTACCGAAAATGGCACGGAAGACGATTTCAGCCTGGCGATGGCGTAAAAGCGAAGACCGAGAACAGCATTTCACAGGGAGCCAAAGACAGTCAAAGGGAAAAAAAAAAAGCAGGAGAAATGGTATTGGTGGCTGGAAGAGGAAGAGGAAGCAGAAAGAGCGAGGAAAAGCTAGAGCATGGGCAGTCTGAGCAGACAAGACCGACTCCGAACGCTCCTTCCTCGGCCCATAGCTGTCACCCAAATAGGTACCTCCGATGTCTCTCCAAAATCTCTCGCTTTGGCACATCGACTTCAATTCCTCTCCACTCGCGCTTCTGTTATATGTTTCACTTGGAGCAGATGCTGCGGATTTGCTTTAACAGCCAAAATGCAGCTTACATGGAAGCTATACTTCCTTCCGTGACGCATCAAAGACGAGAAGCTATTGATGACGATGTTCTTCATTGTGCTTTCAAAGACTACCAGCTAACGTTTCACTTGCTAGCAACATTGCTCCCACGGACATACCGTCGCCCTGATAGTTGCAATGCAGAACGCTCAAGCTCTCCTTCCATGTCATACAAGAGGCCATTGAATGGTGTGCACTTATTCCTGAGAAGGTTCGGCAGGCGGGCTAGCGCCCTGAATGAACTCCCAGTAGACCTTGTGGCCATAGTCGACATGATCAAGTGTACGATAGCGCCCCGCCATGACTGAATCCTCCTCCATGTATTTCTGAGCTAGCTCGGAGAGAGGACTCAGGGACAGGCTGATGTACGGCATCGGAGAAGTTGATTGCCAAGGATCCGGAGAAATGCATCGCCAATCGAATACGAACGTCTTCTGTGTAGCTTGTGGAAAGACTTCTGTTTCCTGGTGGATATACATTGCAACGAGATCGTGGTCGTGTGTTGGATCCAAGCCCAAGGTACTTGCGAGTCTCGCATCGTGCGTTGTTCCTAGCTGTAAGAGAGTTGCTGTGATTCGATGGATCTCAGACATCTTTGTTTGCTTGGATATGATCGTATTGCTAGACTCGGGGCCGCTTTGCATGCCCGGTTGCTCGGTTGCTGTCGGTGGTGTAGAAGTTTTCTCGATCTTGATGATGATCACGACGCGAAGACGGCCGTTCATGCATTGTATAGCTTGCCTGGTCTGACTCATCGCCTTCTCATATTGAGGGGCGTAAACGATCTTGATGATGATCGCAGGGTAGTATGAGCCCAGGAAACGGATCTGGGTGTTGGGTGAAAGGTTCTTGCCGTTGTTTAGTCGAACTACGGCTCCTCCTACTTCGACGATATCATCCATGCGGAACATAGACCGAGGCAGGAACTCCTCGTCGCGCATCTGCTTGATCAAACAGCTTCCAATATTAGTAAGCATATCTTCGAGACCGTCAAGAGCGAGCTCTGATCGAGTTTTTCGATGACTGAACAGCTTTTGTTAAAGTTATATATAAGCAAGCTCTGCAAGAGAGGGCTTGGGCCTGGTCGGGAGCGCGGCCGACGTCGTGATCTACCATCTTCCATGATCTTTTCGTGCGTGTTTGATGTCGGTCTTGCGAAAGCGCTGATCTTGGATGCCCTGGTGAGCAATTTCAGCTCTACGGATGTTTGTTATTCACGTAACCGTCTGGGTATAGGAACGAAGTACGATCAATGGTGGTCGAAGGCCAAGACTAGTCCCGAGTCCGGAGCAATTTTCTCAAATCTGTATGTGGTCATAACTTGCTCAAATCAAAGCATCTTATCTTCAGCCATAACCTGCCCAGGTAAAGATCCTTCCTCCGCATCTCTGACAGCCGTGCGCGCCAAGAGGATTCTCTCCCAAAGAGTTATGGGTAGACATCTCTAACAGCGCTGACAGCTAGTAGGTGGTGTTCGTGTTGGCGGGCGAGGAGATTTGTATTGTAGACTGATTTGCGACGAGGTGATGTTATGCTTTTGCACAGTAATATCCTTGAACTGCTCCGTGACGCCCTTGATGGCATCTTCTACCGGTAGACGTTCCATCGAACTGGCACCAAAGAAACCGTGCAAGCCCTTGACTCTTCCAAGCACGAACTTGGCGTCTTCAGGTTTCGCAATCGGTCCGCCATGGCATAACACGATGACATCCTTTTTAACTTCTGTCGCGGCATCTCTGATGGCTTGTACATCTTTGACACAGTCTTCCAAAGACTTCCCAGTCTGTGCGCCAATCGTACCGCTGGTGGTAAGGCCCATGTGTGCGACGACCACATCCGCTCCGGCACCGGCCATGGCTTTCGCTTCTTCGACGTTGAAAACATACGGAGTTGTCAGGATGCCAATCTCTGCAGCGAGTCGTACCATCTCGACCTCCTTGTCGTAGCCCATGCCAGTCTCCTCGAGATTCGCACGGAACTGGCCATCAATCAGACCAACAGTAGGGAAGTTCTGGATACCGGCGAATCCAAGATCACGAAGCTGCTTCAAGAAGCGGGGCATGTCCTTGAAAGGATCGGTACCACAGACACCAGCTATGACGGGAGTGTGCTCGACGATGGGTAGCACTTCCTTCGCCATATCGACGACGACATCATTGGCGTTGCTGAAAGGCATGAGTCCAGCCAGGGACCCTCGACCAGCCATTCGGAAGCGTCCACTGTTGTAGATGATGATCAAGTCGCCGCCGCCTGCTTCAATCGATTTGGCTGACAAGCCGATGCCAGCTCCTGCTCCGACGATGGGCTTTCCAGCATCTATCTGCTTGCGGAAGTTTTCAAGAATTTGCTTGCGATCTGTTGGAGGTGCCATTGTAAAAACGCTCAGGTGCTTATGTGTTCTGGCAATGTTTTGATGAACGACAGGCACGAAGAAAGGAAGGTGCCAGGTCAAGACTCGAAGTTGAGCTGTTTCATCGGCATGACGCAACCCTGCATGAAGACATCACCAGCCTCCCCGCACCTCCTCCGACACGACGCGATGCCATTTCACGTTCAATGAAACTCTCATTGCACTCGAGATCCATCTCGACATCCTTTGTTCTAGTGTTTTGTCATCGCGATGCCACACATGGTTCTGCTGGGGACGCTCGACACAAAGCTCCCTGAGATACTCCATCTCCATTCCCGACTGGTAGCTCTTTCCTCGCCTGGTGCATCGATCACTGTAATCGATTGTGGCCGTAGTCCTGTCGTCCATCCGGTCATCGGTATCTCTCAGCATGAGCTGGTCACGAAATTCGCTACGAAAGAAGAACGGGACACCCTGCAAGAACTGCCACGCGGTGAAGCCATCAAATTCATGATTCGATGTTCAACTTCATGTATAGAAGAGCTACACAGAAAGCAGCATATCCATGGCATCATCAGCGCAGGTGGCAGCGGAGGTACCAGTCTAGCTTCGGCAGTGATGCGAACCCTGCCAATAGGCCTTCCAAAGCTTATCGCAAGCACAGTCGCCTCTGGAGACACTGGCCCGATTGTTGGGGAGACCGATATAACCTTGATGTACTCCGTTGTTGATATAGCAGGTACCAATAATCTTCTGAGGAATATCTTGAACAACGCAGCTGCTGCCATGGCTGGTATGTCATCAGCTTACGAGCAACAGCTTCAACATCAGCCAGAGCAACGGAAAGAGAATCAGAAACTTCGAGTTGGCATCACAATGTTTGGTGTCACTACCCCTGGCGTTGACAAAATCCGCGAGCATCTCGAGTCCAACTACGCGGTCGAAACATACGTCTTCCATGCTACTGGACACGGAGGCAAGGCGATGGAGCGCTTGATCTCAGAGGGTCGTCTAGACGCTGTACTCGACCTGACCACTACCGAGATCTGTGACTTCCTTATGGGCGGTAACATGAGCGCTGGACCCTATCGTCTCGAAGCAGCCTTGAAAGCAGGTATTCCGACCATTATCTCTCTTGGTGCGACCGACATGGTCAACTTTGGACCGAAAGCAATAGTACCGGAAATATATCAGCAGAGGAAGCTGTTTGAGCACAACCCTACAGTGACCTTAATGCGTACCACCAAGGAAGAGTGTAAAGCCATTGGCGAGTTCATAGCGGACAAGATCAAGCGCTTCGCTGTCGATCCCAGCATGGTGCAGATTACTCTACCAAGAGGCGGTGTCAGTATGATCGCCACGCCAGGAGGTGCCTTTGAGGATCGCGAGGCTGATGATGCATTGATCGAGACCCTTGTCTCTCGGCTGCANGATTCCGGCATCTCTGTCGTTCATGACGAGAGAGATGTCAACGATGAAGGATTTGCTGTGAAGATTGCTGATGGTCTGATGCGACTAGCACGTTCAACATGATGACCAACATCTATCTTAACTGAACTTAGATCTTGTCCACAAAAGCTTCTGCGTTCTGGTAGCATTTCAATCGATCAGTCAACGGCCTCAAGACGAACTGAAACGACACTCGCAGCGCGCAGAGCAGTACAAAGAGCTTTATCCAGCCACCTCGAATTCTTTCTTCACCAACCAAGAATCAGGTCGGAAGAACAAAGAAAAAACCGAACGTATTGGCTTAGGGGATCCGGACATAGTCCAAGATAAGTGTCTGAAACACGCAATTTAGCACGGAACGATAGTTTACATGTGGTATCTTTACAAGGAATAACAGCGGTACCCTATTCACTGCAAGGATAGGACGGCTTGGGTGGTTTCATCGCCGAACAAATTATACATATGTTTCTTGCTATGAATATACATGATCGTTCCCTGATCGTATAACGTCGGCATTGGGAAACTTACTTTTATAAGCACTCCTAAGGTACTACTTGGACCCCCGCGAGTGTTATGCATCTACGCGACCTCGAATTTCAACGACTGACAGCTCTGCATAGCGAGTTTCTTGTGCCGAGATTCATGGACTTTCTTCGCTGTGGAAACACAATCCTTGTCCAGATCACATATCGTCTGCATAGAGAGCCTCCAAAACAAACACTTTTTCTTGATCGCACCTGTACTCGTAATACTTTCTTGCAATTTTTGGAGTCTCGATTTTAGATATCAACGTGATTGAAAGTTGGGAAGGCGACCCTGGTGCCAAGATATCTTGCTGCCGGTACAACCCTAACTTGGTAGACCTTCGTTTGTGCGACGTGAAGATTAGACTAAAACAAAGTGTTAAGTTCTAAGACTCTTGCTATAGTATAGAGCAACAAGCACGTTTGGAGTTGGTGCTATTTTCTCGCTTGTTGACATATTGTTAGTCTTGTAAACCGGGCTTTCGAGTTTTGCATGGATCTTGGTTAGAATTCTAGATTTGAAGGTTGGAAAAGTTGTTCTTGTGGATTGCGACGGCATCGATGATACTACAAGATCTTTACTTGTACTGGTCGTTGGGATATACACAAACGTTGTCTCTAGTAGGTAACAGGCGATAGGCACATAATGTTGAGCTCGTGGGAGCAAAAATGTTGCTGCAGCACTTGTTAGCAGTACCACCCTGTCCCGAATCTCCTATACCACTCCTCCATCATCCTTGGACGCAAAACCCGGCCAAAGAAACCAGCAAGCGACAATTTGGAATCCCAGCAACACTCCAGTATCCACAGCAACGGATATCCCCAGCATCGCGAATCCGCAATTGTGGAATTTGACATGATTGACAGCTTCAGCTGAAGAGTGTCCCCAACCGCACTGGCGGCCCACACTACAGCTGTCGCAATTTCCTCGCGATCGAGATGTCCCAGCAGAAACAGCGCAGCTGAACAAAAACACGAACAGAATGCCAAGTGGGAAGAATTTCAATAGCTCTCGATGACGGTGGTTCCGATAGCAACAGCAAGCTGGCAGAGTGGAGCAAGGCATGCGTTTCCTAACCAAGCATTTCGGAGCTGCCTTCTTGCATGCAGCAACGATCACAAGAGCTCTGTTCCTGACACATAAAGTGCTGGTCACAGATTTCGATAGTCTGTGACGGGACGCAGCCGAAGAGGGCTTAGTATAGCGATTACCTTAATATTTCTGCACACAGGAAGCGGGTAGATAGTTAAGCGCTGCGCGTAAAACAAGGTTAAGTTGCCCTGGTGCATTTTTTCCTGCACAAAGGGGGCGTTCATGAGACCACGACTGATAAGATTGTGTCCATGAAACTTCCGTGTTGTGCGGTCTGGGCCATGTTAGAAAATAACATGAAATTGAATCTCTTTCGCTGATGGCTGAAAGAGCAGAAGACTTGAGGTGGAAATAAGCAGTGAAGAATAGGTAGGCGCCGGATGTGCAAGGTACCTTGGTACCGTGCTCACACATCATCCATGCAGGAACACCCGCAACCGAGAACGTCAGATGACGACAAAAACACAGCACGCAAAGAAGCAAAATTCATGAAGCTACGAGCCGCGACCAATATCGCAAAAGGAAATCGGTCTTTCTCGAGGCATACGACCTGGCCCGGAGGAAAACCCCACCCTCGCTCAAACACGCCCTGTAAGGAAAGACATCTGGGGATCTCGTGGAGACTTTGTTGGTCCTCCAAGAATATCAGACTTTGGTCGTGGCGGCGGACTGGAGTGAAATAGGCTTGCCAGGCCTTGCCGAAAGTCGGAAAGTTCACACTGCGAAGCGCCCTTAAGGGCTGTCTATTGACATGAACCGATGGTACAGCAACAGGTGACTAGAAAAGGGGGCGGCGGACACGAGCATAAATTACAATCACAAGGCTCTATAGTGATTCTAGGCTTCCGCAAGGAGGAATAGGAATCTGAGAGATGCAGATGATGGTTTCTTGGTCGCGACGAGTGAGAGAAGGTCCGGAAGGCTTAGAGTCGGCGTTTCTTCCACTTCACCCGATGCATGGCTTGAAGACTCGATGCGCCAGCCGCGGGGCTCATATTGCTTGAACTCAGCCATCACCAAAACAAATCATGTGGACATGGTGTGTTCTGGTACAGGTACAAGCACAATAAAACAAGCAAACCTCGAGCTGTTTATAGAGTATTTGCATGCACAATGACTGATGGTTCGATGGATTGCACTCGATGGACGGGCTGAATCTCGGAGGCAAGTACAACCGACCAAGATGTGTCTGTGCTCTTCCAGCCACCAAAAAATTCTCCTAGTCAACAACCAGATGAGAGGCACACATGAGCAAAAAATGATCACGCCAGGGGTCGAACCTGGAATCTCTTGATTCGTAGTCAAGCGCCTTGCCATTGGGCCACGCAACCTTTGATGAAGGACAAGCAAGGTAATAAACAATATGAATCTCGGATCATTCTCCAGAGCAGCCTGCCAGAAGTACCTTGAGCATGTGCAAACGAAAATCGATGATCAACGAGATTTTCTATATAGATGTACATCTTGCCAGATCTCTTCCTGGAACTTGCCCTGACTGCTTCTCGAAGATCAACGTGCGAGCGAACTTGACGAACCAACATCTAAGACTGTCAAGCTCAAGGTTGGCTTTGCCATCGAAGATCTCGTGCTCATCAGCCAGTTTATGAAGGTGTTCCTCGACCAATTCCTTGATCTCTTCCATACCGTCCTCTAGAGTCATCTTTACTTCCAAAGAGGCGTCTTCGACCTTCTCTTGTATGGCCGCTTCTGCTTCTTGGCAGTCAACGTGGAATATATTATGATATTCGTCCATGACCTTCTCAATGGCGTCTTTGGTATGGAGAGGTAGTCCGGACTCTACGAGGTACTTCAGCCGGGCCTCTACCTCCGCCGTAAACAGGTCCTTGACCAGGGATGTAAGTCGAGGGCTAGACAAGCGGCGAGCGCGGAACTCAGGGGGCTTGTCAACCACAGCACCGACAGATGCCAGGCCCAATAGACGTCCATGACCGGATTCAATGATTGCTTTGCGAAGCACATACTCAGGGACGGTCGCAAGCATGTTAGCAAGCAGTGTAACCCGGCCATTTTCAGGGGGAGAGACGGGCTCCTTGCGATAAGGGGGCAAAGTGAAAACAGTCGGTCGTATATCGTTGGATTGCCCAGACCTCGTTGTCGGTGTCGTGTTGACCTCGGTAGGGGAGTAGGGAGGAGGAGTCGTGTATATATAAGGGGCAGGACGCTTGAGGGGGTATCAAAAGAGGAGACTGAGGCTGATAAGATTGGTATCAGCAACTCGACAGCTTACAATGTTGAGTTTATGCTATCGCAATGCAGAAAGTCTCATCGACAGCGTGTGTGTCCAAGGAGAGCCTGCACATCATTTGTCGTCCAGCATACTCTCAGTGGACAAGCAAGGTATCGTAAGAGCTTCCTGCATTGATATGCTACTCACGTGTCTGCACAGGCTTGGGGGAGAAGGATGGCTGAAAGTTCTTACCTTGTCTTAGTCTCTTGCCTAGCCCTGACGATGTCTTACTATGGTTGGACTCTGGATCTTGTTGGCTAAAGACCTGCCATGTACCTTCTTGCAAGCCTCTGCCACGGTCCTCTCGAGCAAGATTCAAGGGCGGTGCCTTCAGGTCTCCGTTGCTGAGCCCGTCTACCAGCCGCTCCAATCTTGGCTTCTCTTGTTGGTCGAACTGAGCTTTGGCAAAGTGTATATAGAGAGTTGTCGCTTGACATATCTCGACGAATGATTGGAAGTCGACATCAGCTGGGTCAGTCGGACGTACGCTGGTCAGCTCCTTGGGATAGTGCACAGCACCAGGAGACTTCAGAACAAGAGTAACAGTCAAGACATCAGACGGGCCTGCAATTGAGGTAGGTACACATTCCAACAGCAACGGTGAGATTGATGTCTCCTGAGCTATTGAACAAGACTCGACAATCGATGGCTGGATGTGGAGCAGAATTTGTCGAGGAGGATTGTTGTTGACCCCAGCAAGGCCAGTGGCGTGTTGCAACTGTAGCGATATCGAGGCCTGGTCATTGTTGTGCATTAAGCGAACCTGGCAGCGGCAACCATGGTCAGGGGCAGGGGTCTGAACGAAGGCTACCCTGCGTGGTCTCCAAGCATCACCAGTAGTAGCTGCCATGTCGGTGGAAAGGCACAATGTTTTACTAGATGTGACAATTAGAGATTGAAAGCCCCTGAACGTAGAAGTATCAGGAAACCCTCCCACCCGGGCTTTCTTCGACTGTGAGTAGCCCTGACTCTGGAAAGGAGAAAAGAATGAGGTGAGCGAAAAAGCTCGACAGCATCAGCGTGAGCACAAACAATGGCCTGCGTCTACGTGCAGTGGTGATGCGACAAGACGTATCCTCTCCGAAGGGAATGATGGAAAGTCTGGCCACAAGACGACTGCAGGTATAACAAACTATTGCAAGCAGACACTCCTGGCTACAGTATGTGGATGAACAAGATGGTAGCGTCGACGTGAACACCAACAACAATTTGCGCCTACGTCAAGCAGTCCAGCGGCAAAACGTATCCTCTCGGAAGAGAACAGTGATAAGTTCGGCCACAAGACGAGCTGAAGGTATTAACAAACTATTGCCAATAGACACGTCTGGCTGCAGTATGCGGGAGAAGATGTATTTGGTGGGAAGGTGCTATGGGTGGCAGGAGAGACGCGCCCGCAAGGCACCAACACGACGCGACTTGAGCTGGACAGAATTCGTGACTCTGCCGAAGCTGCCTTGATATTTGGCCACAGGTCATGACGCCAAGAGCTGTTTCTCGAGCAGGTGCGACAACTCTTCACATCAAGAGCTGGGATGCGACAAGACCTTTCACCTGATTTGGGACAATCGCATCGCTTTGGCCATCAAGCTGAGAACGCCGCCCTCACCGTCTATACCAGTCGGAAGCTCACGACCGACTCGCTGCGTGGCTGAATAGGCGACGCCGAGGGCTTTGTCGCAATCAAAGCTTCACCAACACCCTACCGTTCCAGAGTCACACGATAACGAAGAATTTTCCATCAACGGAAGGCTTTCTTCTCGCACTTGGTGTCTCACCGGTCTTCTGTAGGAATCTGAAGCAGTGCTCGGCCCTCTGCTCTTCAGCTGCTATCTTCACGTCTCATGTCGTCGAACCCCGAACCAATCAATAACTTTTCTTGGCGAGATGCGGACAGTCCAGAATCCGTCAAGCTGAGACATCCACCGTGCATCTCCAGTTTTTCACCGCGTTTTCCCTGCTCACATGGCATAGCAACCTGAACCGAGATCATGTCAAGAACCAGTTCTGCTTGCGTCGCTTCGATNGCCATGCGCTTCTCTTCTCGGCGACGCCGCGCGGTACCATATTCTTGCATCCCGTGCTCGGGGTCCGCATTGAGTAACAGAGAATGCGCGGCAGTCCGTGCTGAGCCTTGATCCAAGCCGCTCTGCGGTTGGAATTGCTCATTATCGTCTGTAAGAGGTCTGTTTCTTTGNCCCATTAACTCGAACAGCTTAAGGGTTGCTGTTGGTAGCGCATTNTTGGAAGGCCGTTGTGGCATTTTTGGGGGAAATCATCCCCACGAACAAGCGGTTCATCTCGATTGCACCGTCTTCCTGTGACAAGAACGCTCNCGGCACTTTGTTTGCACTATGTGGATAACCCGTTGGACTCTCCCGGAACTCTTCCCTACCCCTGGGCCATAGCTGGCTGCTACGCAGTGCGCCCGCGAGCGCCACAAGCCTCGCTAACTGTGGATTTGAAGTCTGAGATCTTGTTCAACTCGAATAGTCTTGGGCATCTCGAGTCTCGTGGCTTGCTACGATTCAAGCGCCCTTCCTAGCTCGGTGCCCCCGAAGCTAAGCGCAGACTGGGACTCTGGGATCTGGCTAGTCCACAGGGACTCTGAGGCTCATGTCTGCAGTGAGTGGATATATATATCAGGAACATGCCCGTTGTATCTCCAGCATCAACTCATCCAACTCCCTCATCAACATTCAAGAGTAACATTCTCTCGACTCTTCTCCCTCCACCATGCGTTCTTACATCGCTGTTGCTGCCATTGCAGCTCTTGCTCAGGCCCAGGACCTCGATTGGGATGCTGTCCTTCAAGCGACTCCCGCTCCCGAGGTCACTATCCCTGTGGTCTACGCTACCGCTCCTACCACCACAGCCACTGCTACAACAGTCTCTTATTCCAGCGAGGCAGCCGCTGCTTCTGTGAGCTCCGCTCTTGTTGCCAACCCTGATGACTCCTTCCCTCTGGACTCTGCCATTGCCAAGCGCGCTGCTGCTACCTCCTGCCAGGTCCAGCCCACTGGTGTCGCTGTTGGACCTCAGTCAACCGATGACTCTGTCAGTGCCTTCTTGGCATACCCTTCGTTCTCTGCCAGCGCCGCTTCTGCTGCTGCTCCAAGTGCCGTGCCCAGCGGCTACGTGAACACCTTCAGCAATCTGCAGGCATCCAACAATGCCTACGGATATATGGGATACACTCTCCTTACTGAGTACAACCAGCAGACGTGCGCGAACAAGTGCACCAAGATCAACGGATGCCAGTCGTTCAACATCTACTACGAGCGTGATCCCACTGTGAACCCTGACGACTCCTCCTGTTCAAACCCTGCATCTCTGACTCAGATCAAGTGCGTGTTCTGGTCAGGACCTGTCACCACCGACAACGCCAACAACTTTGGCCAATGGCGTAACCAATTCCAGGTCGTGATTGCTGGATCAAACGGTTATGTCAACAAGTCTATTGCTACACCCGACGGCTACAACGCTGGTGTCTTCCTCGACAAGTCTGCCATCAACGCTCCTCTTGACTGCACCGGTGATGACTCCTTCATTGGCTCAAGACTGCTCACCAACACTGTATTCGATGCCAACCTTTGCGCAGTTGCTTGCAACGAGCAGGCCAGCTATGCCCTCCAGCACCCCCCCTACTGATGGCTCGTTCAACAAGGTCTGCTCCTTCTTCAACACCTACATTCTGTACAAGAACGGCCAAGCTCTCCAGCAAAACTGTGCCTTGTACGATCAGACCTGGTCTATGTCCTACGCCAACAACAACGGATACTACTATGGCCAGGACCACTACACCGTCGGTTTCTCATACACCTTCTCCAACAAGACCAACGGTGGCCAGCCCAGATACCCTTGCAACGTTGCTTCCGCCAAATCAGCCATTGTTTCTGCTTCTCTCCAGCCTTACTGCTCTTCGCTATTGGCTACCGGCACTCAGACCATCACCGTCACTCCCACCGTCCAGGCCACTACTCTGACCACCGTCACCGCCCCTGCAGGCTTCACCAAGCGTGCTGTCACTTCCACCCCTTCTGCTCTCCAGAAGTACGGCGCTTCGGTCATCAGCTCCGCTTGTGCTCTGGTAGCCACATCGGTCTCCATCTTGACCACGACTGCCACTGCCGCCGCCACAACCGTCTACGTCGCTACCTCGACCGTTTCTGTGTAGATAGCATGCTCGAGAGGACGCTCTGGATGATCAGTCCCCCAAAAATGCCCGATTGTACATAGATTGCGAGTTCTGAATGTTTTTAATGAGGTGATGGTTATTGGATTGGGGGAGTTGTTTTGCTTTTAAAAAGATATCAAGGGGAACAGAGAACTGAGTAGACTGTAGACTGTACATAGAGATGCTACAACGTTATTTTTCACTTTCAAGCCTCTTGTCCTCAGTGCCAATTCTGTCATCTTGCGGTATTTCTTGTGTATACTTCTCTCTTGTGTATACTTTTCTCGTGGTTTGTTCTGCTGTCCAGCTTGTCTTAACCTCAACCTGCCATGTTTGCAACAATCTCCCCAAATCTTTGGCGACCACACCATCTGGTATATCACCGGATGACGCAAAGGAAGACAAAAGAAAACAGACAGTACCCTGAAATATATCTCTCTTTCGCATCTATCAAAATCTCCGTTCTGACCTTGAAGGCCATCCGCTTTTATTAACCTCATTATCAGTGCAACAACAGACCGCAACCCAATCCATGAATTACCTCCATCGATACAAAGTATCTATGAACGGAAACAGCGGTCCACAGGCTCACCCCAGACATCATGGCTTCCAAGAAACAGCCCAAAAACTGCAATTCAACAAGCAAGGCTTGACCGTAAAGTCTCTAGATTTTCCATCTTGCCAGTTTTTGGGCACAGGAAACCCTATCATGGGAATCGGAGTTACTATCCATTCATTCGGCTTCTGAGGTTTGCTTTCCTCTGGTTTAGGTCTCGTGCTCTCTCACCACTGTTTGTGTTGTCCTCCTTCTCTTTGAGTATATTCTTCAGTGACAGGATTGATTCATTTGGATGTAAATGTTCCTCGACATTTGTGACAGAACGTCGTCATAGTCTCTCAGGCCGGACACATAAAAGATACATCTCACTTCGAAGGCAAAGAAAACGGCCAGTGAGAGAAACGAATGGAGTTCAAAGGACTGATATGATCATGACAGAGATAGAGATATCTCAATATCCTCACATCAAACTACTCCACCCCAAAGCGACAACGATCCCTCCAACCATCCACTTGCCAACCTCCACCTTCTCTGCCGCACCAGTAAACGCCACCACAGATGAACTTGCAGGCACCGCAGACCCTTTAGCATTATACGTAATCGTCGGAGCCACATTCGGGAAACTTGCCGTGGCATTACCGCTCGAGTTACTTCTCGCAGAGTCTTCAGTATACGTAAGCTTGCTGCCCTTGATTTGTTGCAAAATCTTGGCCGCATGGACAGCCATAGCATAAGTCAAGCCCATAGGATGAGCGGATGGTTGATACGGGAAGATACTTCCATCGACAACCCTGACATTGCGGGTGCCGTAGACGAGCATTTGTGTATCGACAGCACCACCAGCACCACGCGAAAGCATAGGCAATCCTCCAGTAAGATGTTGAGAAGTACCTGAGCGTTCGAAGACGGCTTGCTGATAGTCAGCTGGCGAGAGATTGTGATCCGGATCCGTCTTGGTCAAAACGTCTGAGAAAGGGGTAGAGGAAGCAAGTTCGTTGACATAGAATTGCGATGCTCGGGATAGGAACCAGAGATCCCAAGGAACGGTTTCATTGCCAATGACTGCAGTAACGGAGTTGTAGTTTGGGTTTATTACTGGTGCAGCCATCGGGTCTGAGGAGTTGATGTGGACGGTACCTTGACTGAGAGGCACCAAAGTGTAGGGCATGGATTGCGTGCTGCTATACTGCCATGCCATCTCAATCAATGGCTGGCGGGTGTACCAGAGATGCTTGAATACTGTGAACTGTGCATCTTCCAGGCCGGGGATTGAGGCGGTCGAGTTGAGCCATGTAGATGCAGCATTGTAGTCAGCAGTTGACAACACATCTTGAGCTGGTCGCAGATCGATGTAGTTTTGGGCGTACTCGCCACCCGTAAACTCGACGCTGAAGTTGTACTGCAGGGGTTGATACTGCATCATTAATGGATCTCTGAGGCCCGTGCCAACACTGCTAAGATTGACGAGGGGTGTGATATTGAGCGGCATCAGAATGTCAGGGTTTCCAATCCCTGAGCGTTCGAGAATTGGTGGCGATCCTGCGATACCAGCTGAGAGGATTATTTCGTCGGCACGAATGGAGAGACTGGTGTTGGAGGTGCGACCGGAGGTGTCCACGTAGTTGAGGCCACGGGCAGTTATGTTTCCAGATGTTGTGGACGCCCAGCTGATGTTTGTAACTTGTGCGTTGGTGTAAAGATGCAAATTCTTTCTGTCCTGAACAGCAGTATACGCTGATCCAGCATAACTTCTAGTGTAGTTTCCTGGACATATAGCCAGAGGCAAGAACCCAGCACCAGTAACATTGCCACCGTTTCGGTCTCCAGGTACTGCGTAGCCAGCGTTGAGCAGTGCGGGCGTCACGTAGTCGGATAGCAGAGACAGTACACTACGCTGTAGCGTCGAGCAGATGTACCCAGAAGATCCATGATTTGCAGGATCCGGGTCCTCAGCAGAGGATGCATTAGCTGGAGGGGCGAAGAACATCTCGCTCTCCCTGAACGCAGTCGAGAGAGTCTCCCAATTCCATCCAGTGAGGTTGAGCAACGATTCCCAGATATCAAGTTGGACGCGAGAGTCCTCATTGTGGATCATCCAGTTCATAGCACTTGTTCCACCNNTGACCCTCAATCAGGAAATACTCTTGTCTCATCGAGTTCTTAACGTACCAATTGTCTTGCCTCTATTGACAGCCTGACTCCTGTTCTGATATAGACCAGGTTGAACAGTACTGTAGTAGTCCCAATCATACTCCGTATCAATGATATCGCCTCTCAGTTCTGGAATCGTAATGTTGGGATTTGTGCGACCATCCGAGCCAGCTTCGAGGACGGCGACATTGATCGAAGGGTCTTCGGTGAGGACGATAGCTAGAAGAAGTCCTGCTGTACCAGCACCTGCGATGGCATAATCGTAGACTTGTGTCGTGTTCTGCGCGATTGCTGTTCCAGCCGTTGCCAGCAACAAAGAAGCCACAGGACGACGCATGTTGATGCTTGAGCAAGGAGATCAGAACACTCAGGGAAGCATGGGTTCGAGGTTGGCTCTTCTTTGTATGCCAGGTTCAACCCCTCAGTAGGTGCGACATAGTCGTGGACGTCATCCAGCATTGCAAAGGACGGCTTGATGTGCCGTGCCGACATGCTCTGCGACCTTGATGTTTGATAGGTGTTGGACATGGTTGTTCCCCTCGGCATGTGTTGCGAGTTGAAACATGATGTTTGAATGATGGAGACGTGCATCGGGAATGCAGATCTGCCCCTCGTTCCTTCCTTTTGCCGGATGTGGAGGGTTCGGAGATGCGACTCCGACTTCTCATGGACAAACACTTGCCTAAAATTTTTGTCTTCTCTGTCTTAATCCTAGAAAATCGTGCTTTGTTACCGAAAGTCGCGAACGTCAGACGAGCGTATTAGAGACACGGTCAAGAGGTGCAAAAGTTATCTGACGAGAAGGAAAGAACATCTGAATTCAGTTCTACTGTCCATCTTCTTCGTCTCCATCTCTCATCTGTCTCCTGTAAAGAACGCCAATATAATATAAAGTTCAAATCCCGGTTGAATGGGGGTATCTCTCGCTTTTGTTCATGCTTCGTTAACATAGATGGGAACGCCGTTGAAATGCTGGTCTTGCTGGTCATGGTTGGTGTTGAATATCTTCTTGTTGAAGAAGATCGTGATGAGAAGTTGGTTGGATAACTCTCAAAGTGTGAATGCTGTAAAGGAAAGAACAAACAGAAAAAGAAAAGATCGTTTATGGTGTTAAATCATGTTTTGTCAGAACATGCGGATGGTGAGTGAAGACGGTCGCTTAGACGTCGGTGGAAGGGCCAGCACCCGTGTTGTGCGCAGGTGCATCCTTGGGCTCGGTGTCGGCCTTCTCGTCGGCACCGTTGATCTGTGTCTCAAGCTTCTTGTGCACGCTGTCAGGAATCTTGGAATCGGTAACGTCGCCATTGCCAACCTTGGGTTCCTCTTTCTTCTCTTCGTCGTGCTTGTCGCCGTTGGTAGTACCGTTGACCTGCTGAGGAGCCTCAGGGACGGTAATCTGCTTGTCTAGCTCGGGGACCTCGAGGCTTTCGAAGAGAGGGAAGATACCACGTTGCTCGCGGAAATCGTTGTTAACGATGTTGACGAGGTACCAGTTCTGCATCAGGTCGTCGATTACGTAGCGGGAAGGAGAAGTGGCGTCGTAACAGCGAGACCAGTCGGATCCAAGGCGGTAGAACTCATCTCTCCAGGCGAGGAAGGAGACAGTCTCAACGATAGTGGGTTGCACGATCTCCTTGCCAGGGAAGACACCCCAGGTAACTGCGTTGGGGCCTTCATCGGGAGAGTTGGTCTTCAAGTCACCGTGCTGGTTTACAGCAAAATAGGTGATGTTGGGGTTGCGCTCCATACGAGTGATGAGCTCAGAAATCAGTTCAGGCGAGACCAAAACTTCGAGGTAAGCCTTCTGGTAGACGTAACCGTTGCGAGGACCCCATCCATAGACAGGATGGCTCGACTTGGCGCCATCCACAGGAGGTTGCGAGTTGATGGTCAAAAGGCCACGCTGGTTGAGGTCGATCAGGTCAAGGCGAAGGGCATCGGCTTCGTCGGTGATGGGACTCTCACTCCAGGGCAGAGACTCGACTTTGCCTTGCATGTAGTTGGCGAACAGATTTGCCACATCGCGGAAGGATTTAGGCTCTCCCCAAAGCTTGCGGTTCTGCTCGTTGGTACCCTTCAGACCAATGCCATACGTGTCCAGCTCTCCGTAAGCAGGAGATCTACTGTCACCCCATCTTCCGTTGGGGAACTCGTCCCAGTCTTGTGTGCGGGCAATGTACGAACGGTTGCGGTTGCGCCAGAAAATGGGACGAACATTCTCCTCGCGACGGTTGAGGCCGAGAGACTGCCTCCAGGGAAGGGGCTTCTCGAGAGGAGTCTCTTGCGAAGGGGTAATGCTGAGCTCTTCCAGAATCATGCGAGTGGATTGAGCCAGGTTCATGGTGTAAAAGTGCAAGTGCAAAATGCCGTTGTCCAGAAGCTTGCGACACAACTCAACGACCAGACCAGTACCAACATCTCTGACAGCAGCATCGTCGTTCTTTACAGGCTCGAGAGCTTCGTGCCAGTGAGGAGGAACGTGAATGTTGGACCAGTTGGCGCGTCGCAGGAAAGCGGCGTGAGTCGAGATGGGCATGATGCCAGGAACGATGGGGACGTCAATATCAGCAGCTCTGACCTTCTTGACCCAGTCGAGGAAAATGTCGGCGTCGTAGAACATCTGGGTGACGATGAAAGTACCACCAAGATCAATCTTCTCCTTCAGGTGCTGAATAAGTTCTTCAGGATCGTCGTTGTCGTCGCAGCCCTCTGGGTAACCAGCGACACCGATGTCAAAGTGATCGCCGTACTTCTCCTTGATGTACTTGACAAGATCCTTTGCGTATCTGAAGCCTCCGCTGGTGGCCTCCCACTTTTCCTTGTCACGCGGCGGGTCGCCTCTGAGAGCCAGGATGTTTGTGCAGCCTGCATCGTGAGCCTCCTTCAAGGCGTCGTCGATCTTTGACTTGGGCATATCGGTGCAAGTCAAGTGCATGCATGTCTCGAGACCGTAGACGGTTTGTGCGACCTTGACCATCTCACAGGTGAGCGAGGCGTGTCGGCCACCTGCTCCCCATGTGATGTCGATGAACGAAGGGCCGAAGTTGTGCATACGGTCCATGCGGTCGTAGAGGTTCTGCACACCCTGGGCCGTCTTGGGAGGGAAGAACTCGAACGAGTAGGTCGACTTCTTCTCCTTGGCGGCGGCCTGGAGTTTGGCTGAGATATGCATGTTGGCAGTTATGTGTGTGGATGTGGATGAAGGTGTGTTTGTATATTAATCGACGGCGAATGTAACGCGGCGGGTGGCTTGTCTGTGGCGAGCAATTAGTCGTTTGGCCACGAAGAACAGGACGAAGAAGATGAATATCGGGACTCGATCCATGGCTCGTTTGTCCGTCTGGTTGATGCACCTCGTGCAAATGGTGGAAACGTTTGTGTAATGGGCAGGGCAGCGGTACATACGCTTAGGATTGTTCTCTCGTACGTGTCTTCCTTTGTTGGTAGTTCAAGGAGCCAATGGAATGTATTGATCTAACCGAAATATCTCTTGCGCGCCCACCTATCGGCCAGCACTCTAGACATAAAGTGAATGAAAGTGGATGAGAAGGGAAAGGGAAGAAGATTTTCCAAGTGCATGACGCTCTCGAATCTCGAACGACTCCCAGGGCCGGCCCTCGTTTCTGTGAGGGCAAGGAAGGGTCTGTGCGTTCAGTCGTGCTTTCCCCGCCGCCGCTTTCGCTGGGCCAAGCTCTTGCCCAAAGCGACGACAACAACAACAACAACCACCTTCCTTCGACCGCTGCCTTCCCAATCAGGTATCCCGGTTGCTGTCAATATAAATACTAAGCTATACATCTCTTTACCCTCACAAGCTTCCATCTGCCTCCCGTATCACCCTCGAACCTCACGCTCTCTCATTTCGACACGCTTACTTGCGGGACATTTCTCCCCATTCCGTTGAACCCCACAGTTATTGCGTCGCAAAAGCCAAACAAAAATGTCATCGACATCCGCAGTCGGACCCCGCCGAAAGATTGTGGGCACGAGCCTGAAGATGTACTTTGACCTGACCAAAACCCTAACCTATGCCGCCGACCTCGCAAACATATCCTCTCAAGCTGCAAAACACAACATTGATCTGTTCATCATCCCAGACTTTGTGTCTTTGCTGCCGGTCAAGGATGCATTGACAGGCACAGAAGTGAAACTGGGTGCTCAAGATGCTTTTTGGGAAGATGCGGGGGCATATACTGGAGAGGTTTCTTGCAAGACGTTGAGTCAGGCTGGAGTGAGCATTGTTGAGTTGGGCCATGCAGAGCGCAGGCGTCTGTTTGGAGAGACTGATGCGACTGCTGCGAAGAAAGCTGCTGCGGCGTGTCGGAATGGCTTGGTTCCTCTTGTGTGTATCGGCGAAAAGACACATGGCAAGATTGCATCTCAGGCTGTAGGCATGGCTATTGAGGAGTGCAGGCCACAAGTCATGAGTCTCTTGCAAGCCATCCCGGATGATGCTGAGCTCATCCTTGCTTACGAGCCTGTCTGGGCCATTGGCGCGAGTGAGCCGGCAGATCCTGATCATGTTGTTGCTGTGACGCAGCAGATCAGAAAGATGGCCGAAGGACGCAAAGGTCTGACGAGGATCTTGTACGGTGGAAGTGCTGGCCCTGGCACATACGACAGGCTCAGACAGGGCGTTGATGGATTGTTCCTCGGACGCTTCGCTCACGACATCAAGAACCTTGAGCAAGTCATCAAGGAGATGAGTGATTGAGGGAAGGTTATGGAAAAAGTCCAAAAGTCGTCATACTAGCTATTGGAATGCAGTATCATCATAATGCCAGAAAGCATCCTCACTATCCATACTCTACCTGATCTTGTACAAGCATGGCTTGAGCACCTTGGTCTCATCTTCGACACTGACCTCCTTGGTCTCTTCCTCGACAAACTTCTTGAACTTGGGCTTCCAAGTTCCATGCTCGCCCTTCCTCTCTTCGCCAGCCTCCTGCACGTTCTTGCCCACCACAGGTGCAGCAGCCTTGATAAACTCCATCTTGACAAACATCTTGTTGCTCAAATCCACAGACTTCTCGTCCTTGAGCAAGAAGCCTCTTCGTCGCAAGACTTCAACGAAGCCTGAGATATCCGTCTCTTCGGAAGATTTCGTGACAACCTCATCGACGTGCTCACGAAGAGCAGCTTCTTCCTCCTCAGCGGTGAGTTTGGCACGGGTGGCATCTGCAGCCTTTGCCTTTGCAGCAGCTTTACGGCGGTTGCCTACACTGTGCTCGACGACCTTCTGGCCTCCCTTGCCCTTGTCACCTCCCACTCTTCCGAATCTCGACTTGATCTCGGAAATCCACAATTCGCCCTTCCAGTGCAAGATTCTGTATGCCTCTTCGATAAAGTCGATCCAATTCGTTCCCATGAGGGCCAAGCAGAAAATGGCAACATCCATGCTTCCATCTGCGCAGGGCAGGTTTGCAATATCGGCTTTTGTGACAAACTTGCTCGGTGATTGCAAATCGTAGGAGGCAATCTTGAGGTTGTAGCGGGTGCCGCTGCCGTCTTCGTGGAAAGTGGCAGCTAGTCTTGCATCTCCACAGCCCAAGTCTGCGATATTACAAGTTCCATGTGTGCGAGGTAGAGGGTTTGCCTTTTCACCAGGTGCTGGTTCTTCCTCCTCTTTGGGAGCCTTTCCTCTCTTGACGTCTCGGAATGCCTTGTTCTGGTTGTAGACCTTGACTTTTGCGCGGTCACGAATAGAGCGGATAAAGATGTCGACGGGGTTCTCAGGCCATGTGGTGACCTGCTGGCGGAAACCAGAGTGGTAGTCGTCGAACATTTCGGGGTTGTCTGCGAAAAGAGCGAGCGAGGTGGCCGAGGGAGCGGTATAGAGGGTCTCGTTCAAATGGCGGAAACGGGCAGAGATGAGCTTCTGGCGCATGGCGGCTTGCATAGGGGTGAGTTTGGCGTTGACGGGCAGCGAGGGAGGAGCGACCGGAGTGTTGGCGATGGCCTTGCCAGCTTCTGCTGAAGCGGCTTCCTTTTCCTTCTCTTCTCTTTGCTTTTGGCGCTTCTTGTTCTTTGCCTTTTGCTGTCTGATGTCTTTTCCTTCTCTTCTGTGGCAACCTTCTCATTCTTTTCTCCCTCGACTGCAGGCTTNCTCGTCTGCGCTGGGTGCAACAGCCTCGTCACCAGCCTCGGTCTTTTCCTTCTTCTCAATCTTGGGCTTCTTGGGCGCCTTCTTGCCCTCAATGGTCGTAGCCCAAAGGTCGCCTACATTCGAGTCGTTGACATCTCTGGGAGTTCTGTCCTTGCCTCCTCTCTTTCTCTTCTTGTTTTGCGCCGAGGGTCCAGTTGCGCCATCCTCAGGCTTTTTGGCAGCGGGCTGAGCGGCTTGCTGTGTCTTAAGCGCACTTGAGTCGACTGACCATCCTTTTACTGCGAACATGATTGCACGTCTGATTTGTGTATGGAAGTGCTTGTTCAGAGATCAAGGTCAGATAATTTTTGGTTATCGGTACTGCCGGGCGGTCATGAGCCCGGTCTTGGCGTTCCCACGCATGATCATCGACCTTTCCATTTCCCTTCGCTCTTTCCCAAAACTATTCATTATGGTGCTTGGAAAGAGCAGCTGTCTCCAAGATTCCGAACCAGAGATCTACTGCACCCGAAGGCAACAAAGTTCTCGTGCTTCCTAGGATCAGAGATCAGGAAACCTATTTCTCTTGCACAATTACGGCAGAACATGCATCCCTACTTTGGACAGGGCACACGATTCACGCACAAGCAATGTGAAAACACCAAACTCCTGAAGGATTCAGTTGAGTTGAAGCGAAACGAGCTATTGGCTCGAGCGCGGCCCTGCAAGCCGCTAAATGCCCGCTATGCATATTGACCTGCATCCTCCGACCTATGAATACCCTTCACTATGCCCCCAAGCGATGATCTTAACACCTGATTTATGTCGCGTCGGGATTCTTAAGTAACGATGTCCAAGCAGATAAGTCCTAGGTTTTCTACCATGTTCAATCTTCGTCTCATCCTCTCCCTTTCGTCGCCATGTCTGTGATCGACATGACAAGCTCAGTGCTATGGCCGGCTTTGTACGTCTTATTTGGCGTGGTCCTCACCAAGAGCCTTTATGACTGGAGTCGCAAGAGAGACAGCCTACCCGTACCACCAGGACCTAAAGGACTGCCACTACTTGGAAATCTGACAGATCTACCCACTGGTGATGTACCAGAGTTCCAGCACTGGCTCAAGCATAAAGATGCATATGGGCCCATCAGTTCCGTTACTGTTTTGGGTCAAACCATGATCCTGATTCACGACGCAAAAATCGCCCACGAGCTGCTTGTTGAGCGCGCAAACATACACTCGGGCAGACCCAAGCTGAAGTTCGGCTTTGACTTGGTAGGATGGAACAAGCCTATGGCTGGACAGCAATGCGACTCAATTTTCAAACTATATCGAAAATATACGCACCAGCAGTTGGGTTCAAAGGCATCGGTCGCGAGATATAACCAGGTCCAGGAAACTGCTGTCGGTCGCTTCTTGTGGCGTGTCAAGCAAGACAATGGGGCAGCTTTGACTCAACATCTCAAGACTGAAGCCGGCGAACTGATCCTCAAGGTCGTCTACGACTACACTATCGAGCCTTTCGAAAACGATTCTCTTGTCGATTTAGTTGACGAGGCCATGGAGCAATTCAGCGAGGCAACTATTCCAGGCCGATGGATGGTGGATATCTTCCCCTTCTTGGAACACATTCCAAGCTGGATACCCGGAACCGGATTTCAAAAGACTGCAGCGGCATGGAACAAGACTCTCATGGCTGTAGCCGACATACCCTATGCCTACGCCAAGCAGCAAGGCAAAAACAAGCGAACCAGCCACACAGACTTTGTCACGAAATCCATCGAACAAGCACAGCAAGAGAAGACGCTCGACGCAACCGATGAACATGCGATCAAGTGGGCAGCAGCGTCCATGTATCTAGGTGGTGCCGACACTTCCGTCTCAATCATGAACGCCTTTTTCCTCGCCATGAGCATGTTCCCCGACGTCCAACGTAAAGCTCAAGAAGAACTCGATCGCGTGATTGGGAACTCTCGCCTCCCTACACACGCCGATCGCGACAACCTTCCTTACCTCAACGCTATTGTCGAAGAAGCACAGCGCTGGCATCCTATAGCCCCCATGGGACTNCCCCACGCAACAGACAGAGAAGACTCCATAAACGGCTATCGCATTCCCAAAGATTCCCTCCTGCTACCAGCGATCTGGTGGTTCACTCGCGATCCTGCCATTTACCATGACCCCGAGTCATTCAAGCCTGAACGTTTCTTGCCTCCCTTCAACGAGCCGGCAGCAACCTCTTTTACCTTTGGCTTTGGGCGTAGGATTTGTCCTGGTCGTGTGTTGGCCGATGCATCTCTGTTCCTTACTTTCGCACAAAGTCTTGCTGTTTTCAACATCAGTAAGCAAGTTGACAAGGAAGGCAAGGTTGTTGAGCCAACACATGAGTTTATGGGTGGCATCGTTGCGTATCCAAAAGCTTTTGAAGTCAGAATCACTCTGAGGAGTCATAAGCATGCAGAGTTGATAGAGGACGTTGTAAAGCAGTATCCTTGGCAAAAGAGCGATGCTGGATATCTCTAAGGCTTGGGTCACGCAAATATGTTCTCGAATTTTGTTACGATATTTTTGTTGACGGAAAGTGCTCCTTCTGGATAATGCTCGTCTGTTTTTTACCCGGTATGATCGGCCAATCAGAAGATTTTGGCTGCATATGCATAAGTTCAAGAATGAACCGCGTGGCTGAACCGCACCTACAAGAAGGAGCATGTGACATCTCAGCCTCTTGCCAGCCCTAGAAGACAACACTTCCATCTCATTTCATCAAAACTTCTTGCACAGCTTGAGTATATTATTGCTCCATCACCATCACCATCACCATCATGAGTAATCCCAAAGCTCTGGAAAAAGCGAGCTATATACGGTCGGCTGGATCGCCGCCCTTGCCAAAGAGCTGGCGGCAGCACTGGGCATGTTGGATGAGATACACGACAAACCAGAGGACTTTGAGCAGCCATCCACTGATCCAAACTCATACAACTGGGGCCGAATTGGGGTCCACAATGTTGTCATAGCCTCGCTAGCAGCTGGCGTGTACGGGACTACCTCTGCTGCGACAACGGCAATTCACATGCTATCATCATTTCCGAACATCAAGGTTGGCCTGATGGTCGGCATTGGAGCAGGTATCGCGAGACCAAAACAAAAGCGTGACATTCGGCTGGGCGACGTCGTAGTCAGCCTACCACACGGACAATTTGGTGGAGTGATTCAGTACGATCTAGGCAAGAGTCGCGTTGGTATTGACCAAGGGAATACTACCNNCCACACTTTCGAACGCGTCGGCTCTCTCAATTCACCTCCAGAGGCTCTTCTTAAAGCGTTGACCTCACTACGAGCACAAGTCAGATTGAAGGGCTCAAGAGTGTCCTACTTCCTTGAGGACATGCTAGAGCGATATTCCCAAATGGCAGAGAGCGAGCCCGATGAGCCAGGATATGTTTACCAAGGACAAGAGAACGATAGACTGTTCGAATCGTCGTACCTCCACACAAGCGACGCGGGATGCGAGGACTGCGACCCCACCAGGATGATCTCAAGGACCCCACGCCCGAAGCCCAGCGTGCCTAAGGTGCATTATGGTCTGATTGCGTCAGGAAACAGGCTTGTTAAAGATGCCGTTGAAAGGGATTTAATCCTGAAGGGCAGTGGAGGAGACTGCATCTGTCTGGAGATGGAAGCAGCTGGTCTCATGAATTCGTTCCCGTGTCTTGTCATTAGAGGCATCTGCGACTATGCCGACTCTCACAAGAACGACGACTGGCAGGAGTATGCTGCAGCTACAGCAGCCGCCTATGCTAAAGAATTTCTCGGATTTGTGAACGATAGAGATCTGGCCAAGGCATCGAAAGCCTCCGAGGTCTTACGACAAAGTTAGTCGCCTATTCGGATTCTTCCAATTCTAGTTGTCAGACGGGATATTGATTACCATGCAGTTTCAAAAGACCTCAGAGAGACGAGTATCAACGTCAAAACAATCGGAGAGACGGTACAAGAATTGCGGCTCGATCATCACCAGCGAGAGATTAGAGAATGGTTATCAGCTCCAGACCCTTCTACAAATCATAACAACGCTCTGGAAAAGCACCAGAAAGGGACTGGACTATGGTTCACTCACGGTAAAACCTTTGAGAGTTGGAAGAAGCTACCAAGGGCGTTCCTCTGGCTCTATGGTATCCCCGGGTGCGGAAAAACTGTTCTCAGCTCTACTATCATAGAGCACCTGAAAAGCAACAGCACATCAGGTCAAGTGCTGCTCTACTTCTATTTTAGTTTCACTGATTCGAAAAAGCAAACTCTCGAAGACATGTTACGTTCTCTTGTGTATCAACTCTATCAAGCACAGCCAGATACCCGACAGCCCCTCGATCAATTATGGAGATCTCGGCAGTTCTCAAAGCAGTCACTGAGTACCGTCCTGCTGATTATGCTGAGCAGAATCAACGATGTCAGTATCATCCTAGATGCTCTCGATGAATCAAGCACGAGACGTGACCTGCTTGCTTGGCTACAAAGTATTCTCGAAACCGACTCTTCTGCTTGTCGAGTTCTAGTTACTGCTAGGAGAGAGGAGGATATCGAGTCAGCCCTCGAACACTGGACACGACCTGAAGACATGATAAGCATCCGAGCAAGCGATATTGATGGAGACATAAGAGCATATGTCAGTCATACAGTACACGACAGTAAGGAGCTCGTCAGATGGCGGACCAGGCCAGATGTGCGAGAGGAGATAGAGTCAGAGCTGGCAGAGAAAGCTGACGGAATGTGAGTTCAGTATGCTTTCATACTGTAACTTTTTGATGAGGCGATGAAAGCTAAAGAGAAGCGACTAGGTTTCGTTGGGTAGCCTGCCAGATTGATTCTTTGAAGAATTGCTACGACTACCCTAGTCTTCGGTATACACTAAAAAATCTCCCCAAGACGCTTGATGAAACATACTCTCGAATCCTGGACAAGATACCGAAAGAACACTCAAGTCAGGCCGCAACGCTCCTCAATCTTTTGGTCTGGTCAGACCAGCCTTTATCGATCTATGAACTGGTGGATGCTATCGCGATCCATCTGGACAAGGACCCTGGTTTCGACCCCAAAATAGGATGCCCGTCCCACGAGAGGTGCTCAAACTTTGCTCGAGTCTGATTGCGGTTTCACTTTCGAACGATGAATCTGATGATGACGATCCTGAAGTGGTCAAACTTGCGCATTTCTCTGTAAAAGAGTACCTCGTTTCCGACCACGTCTCGGTTGCTCTCATGTCCAAGATCAGTGAACCAGTGGCAAGAGCATATCTGGCCAGATTGTGCTTGACGTATCTTACCGCTGTGAGTGGAACTAGAATGCCAGATGATCTAAATGACCCAGCCAGTCGTTTGATGATCAAGTCAAACTTCCCCTTCGTCGAATATTCAGTCAGATCCTGGATGAAGCATGCACGCAAGGCGGGAGCTGGAGATGAAAGCTTATGGAAGCTGACTATGAGCTTCTTTCTCGAAAGAACCAAAGCTTTCACCCTCTTCGATCGTTTCGAACGTCCCTACTGCTCAAAAGAGCCACCGCTCTACTGGGCCAGCTCCGGCGGTATGGAATGGGCGATAGAGTATCTACTCGATACTGGTGCAGATATAAATGCTCAATGTGGCGGCGCGTTGCAGGTAGCTTCTTTCAAAGGTTACACCAATATCGTACAGCTGTTGCTCGACAGAGGTGCAGATGTGAACGCTGGCAATGGTGACGCGTTGAGGGGAGCTTCTTGGCATGGTCGCGACAAGATCGTAGAGTTGTTGCTCGACAAAGGTGCAGATGTAAATGCTGGCAGTGGTGCCGCGTTGCATGCAGCTTCGGAAATGGGCCACGACGAAATTGTACGGCTACTACTCGAACGAGGTGCAGACGTCAATGCACCGGATAGAGACGGACACAACGCACTGAAAGACGCCTCAAAAGAAGGTCACTACACGACCGTACAACTGTTACTCGAAAGGCACGCTTCTCTGAGCGCAAGGGTCTTCGGTTTTCCTTTGCAATCTGGAATTCCACAAGCAGAGAAAGTGGTGTCAGTCATGCTGCCCCATCTCACTGCAGAACTCGTTGCCCAGAAAGACGAAGACGGTTGGGACATGTTACACTACGCCTCGTACTATGGATCAGGACTCATGGTGCAAAAGTGCCTCGATCTAGGCGCCGATGTTCAGCATCAAGACAACCACAAACGAACAGCTCTACATTTTGCCGCACACAAAGAGCACCTCAGCGTCGTAAAGACACTCGTACGGGCTGGTGCCGATATGGAGCTACCCAATGAGGGAGGCTGGACGCCTATTGCACTAATGGCAGATCTCGCTCCAGGGAAGATCGTGCAAGAAGTTGGGAAAGATGTCGTAAACGCAGCCGTGAAAGTAGTCGAGAGAGTAGGTCTGAAAGCAGTAGAGACAGTAGTAGAGACAGTAGTAGAGAGAGCAGTCAAGAGAGCAGTTCGAACCGCAGTCGGCCAAGCAGTCGAGAGAGCGATCGCGGACACAAATGGCGCCGAGGCAGACCCAAGAGACGCAGGTCCAGGTAAAACCTACTCCACACCTAGTCCAAGGAATCAGAGAATGGGCTTCTTTGTGTGCTGTAAGAGGGCATGGCGCATGGATAAAAACCTAGAGAATTCAGTAGATCTTTTGATCAAGACCAGCGCTATCAGTATAGAATCGCCATATGCCAAAAGAGTAAAGATACCATTACCAATGTTTTAAAAACACGACACAAGATTGTGACATTGCATTAAACCCAAACTCCTGTGCTTTTGTGGTTCGTCTCTGTCTTACTCACAAAACTTTGCATTATGGAAGATTGAGCGTGGTATGGTTTAGACGTTTTCAGACGTTTCGTGGGATATATAAACATAAGTGTAGAAGAAAAAACGCAAAGCTAAAGAGATCCAACAATGTGCCAAAAACTCCAATCTGTGCTTTTGTTGCAGTGCTAGGAAAAGGACTCATCAAGGTTCTGGTACAAACACAACGCCTAAGCAGCAGCTCCCTTGCCAGCCTTGGCAGCAAGCAAGTTCAGAGCCGAGCCAGCAAGTACAAACGCACACTGGTCCTTGGAAAGAGTGTGCTTAGTAGCAACTCTAATCTCGTCACCAGCCTTGGTCTTGACAACAAGCGTAACGTTGCCTTGACCGCCAGAGTTAAGGACATCAAGAAGACCTTCTGTGCGAACCTCATCACAAGCAGCCATCTTGTCATAATCGGCTTCATCGACGAAGGTCAATGGCACCACACCCTGCTTCTTGAGGTTGGTTTCGTGGATACGAGCAAAAGACTTGGAGAGAATGATGCGGCCACCGAGGTAGCGAGGTTGCAGGGCAGCATGTTCGCGAGCAGAGCCCTCGCCGTAGTTGTGTTCGGCAACAACGAGCCATTCCTTGCCTTGCTCCTTCCACTTTTTAGCCAAGGCAGGGATTCCCATGCCATTACTGCGCGACTCGGTATCGTTGACGTCGTAGACGACGTTGGTCTCGCCGGTCTCGGCATTAATGGCACCAATGAGGGTATTTTCGGCAATGTTGGGCAAGTGGCCCTTGTACTTGAGCCAGGGGCCAGCGGCCGAGATTGTGTCGGTCGTGCATTGGCCCTTGACCTTGACGAGGACGCGGAGACCATCGAGCTCAGTCTGCGGGAAGGGAGCGAAAGGCTCGAGGAGAGCGAGGCGAGTCGAGTTGGGGTCGACCTTGACCTCGACGCTAGCATCGGCCTGACCGGGAGTGGGGAGGAACTCGGGGTTGCCCTGAGCGAAGCCAGTAGAAGGCAAGTCACGGCCTTGGGGAGGGTTGAAGCGGAACTCGCCACCGTCGGGGAGAGGAATAGAGTCGGTCATGGGGTTGAAGGTAGTGCTGCCGCTGTAGGCCATGGCAGTAACAAGTTCGGGACTGGCGAGGAAGTTCATGGTCTTGACATTTCCATCGTTGCGACCACGGAAGTTGCGGTTGTACGAAGTAAAGATGGCGTTCTCAGTTCCCTTTTCAACACCATCGGTACGAGTCCATTGACCAATGCAAGGACCGCAAGCATTGGCAAGAATAACACCACCAGCATCGTTGAAAGTGCTGAGAGTCTCGTCACGCTCAAGAGTTGCGCGGACCTGCTCACTGCCAGGGGTAATGAAGAAGTCGGCCTTGGGCTGGAGACCAGCAGCTGTGGCTTGCTTGACCAGCGACTCGGCACGGGTCATGTCTTGGTAGGAAGAGTTTGTGCATGAACCGATCAGACCAGCACCAAGAGTCTCGGGCCAGTTGTTGGCCTTGACGGTTTCGCGGAACATGGACAGAGGAGTGGAAAGATCAGGAGTCATGGGGCCGTTGACATGGGGTTCGAGGGTGCTGAGGTCAATCTCAATGACCTTGTCGTAGTGAGCGCCATCATCAGCGCGAAGGAGGTTGTGGGGTCCAGGAGAGCTGGCGATGGTCTCGGCGGCCACGGCGATTGGGCCACGGTGGGTTGCGTGGAGGTAGGGGACGTGGGCCTTTGTGAAGGGGAAGATGGAGGTGGTCGCGCCGATTTCAGCACCCACTGTAGATTGTTAGCATTGTACTTTGACATGACCAATGTAGGGATTCATACTGTTGCAGACTGTGCTCATGCCGGTGGTGGCAAGAGTCTCCACACCAGGACCGAAGTACTCAACAATGTAACCAGTACCACCTCGGACCGTGAGCTGACCGGCAAGGTTGAGGATAATGTCCTTGGGACTGGCCCAACCACTGAGCTGACCTGTGAGTCTGACACCGAGAACCTTGGGAGCCTTGAGCTCCCAGGGAGCGTCGACCAAAGCATCAACAGCATCGGCACCACCAACACCGATGGCAATAGCACCGAGACCACCAGCGTTGGGAGTGTGCGAGTCTGTTCCGAGCATCATCAGACCAGGGGCCGAGTAGTTCTCGAGCACGTTCTGGTGGATGATACCAGCACCCGGAGGCCAGAACTCGATGCCGTACTTCTTTGCCGCACTCTCCANAAAGTCAAAGACCTCCTTGTTGCCCTTGATTGACTGCGGCAAGTCGACATCTGCACCTCTTTCTCCGACGATCATGTGGTCGCAGTGGATACTGGCCGGGACAGCAGTGGTGGGCAGACCACACGACATGAACTGCAGCAGGGCCATCTGGGCAGAGGCATCTTGCATGGCGACTCTGTCAGGCTTGAGCTTGAGGTTGGCCTTTCCACGAATGTCGGCGCCATTGTTGGTTCCGGTCAGGAGGGACTCTTCGGGTGACTCGAGATGTGAATAGAGGATCTTTTCGGCGAGTGTGAAGGGACGGTCGGGCAGGATACGGCGGACTTGGTGTAGTCGTTGCAGCAGCTTGGGGTATGGCGGGGTGCGGCTGGCCAGGTCTGATGCTGAGGGCGTGGTAGAGGCATCGGCTTGGGTCGCGAGATGACGGCGCGCTATTGAGGGTCGTGCAACAGAAGAGGCAAGTGACTGCCGACGAGTTAGTCATGGCTTGTATTAACATCAATTGTCGAAGAAGTTGCATACCCTGACTGCAGGCAATCTGCCCGTACGCAATAATTGGGCTCCCATCGTGTCTAGTGTGTATAACGAGAAGAATAACCAGAGAAGAGGACGGCAAAATGACTGGTCACCAGCGAAATATTTGGGCGATTTCGGCCGCTGCCCGCTGTCCTTCTTTCTCCACATTTCTTGGCCTGGGGTCTCCGAGCCCGCCGACATCCACTCGACAGCTCTTCATAGGTAATCATCATAACTTCAATATACAAACAACTCCATTGCTATGATTATCGGACACAAAACTGAAAGACGCTATACGACAAGAGAGGCTATACGCGCACAGACCCTCGAAACTCTCGACTCTGCTGACTCAAGTCGTGGAACCCGAGAACCTCGTGGCCGCTGGCCCAGGGCTTGCTGCTTGTGCCTGAATGCTGCTACGATGGCTCTATGTGTAGTGTAACCTCTGCTCTCAGGTTTGACAGATAGTCTAGCAAAGGCATCGGCAATATTGTCCGTTTCCTTGTCCACATCAGCTGCATGCTTGGATACTCGGATGAAGCTTTCACGACATGTCCTCCTGCGCTTGTCGTCGTGTAGATCTACCGGATCGAAATGTGTGAAGTCTGGCTTGTCTTGTCGAAGACCTACTGGTCCAGCACTGTCAGAGTGATGAGTGTAGACGGTCATCACCGTTGGTCCTTTACAACTGGCGTAGTAGCGAGCCTTCATGGCTACAACGTCGGCTGCACGAAGAGCGCTTCAGCTGTGCGGCCCTCTTGGCAAAGGCAGCATATCGCTCCATGATGCTGAGGTTGTATGCTGACATGTCCTGGGTCAAGAGTTTCGATGGCCGAACAGGTACGTTTTGAAAGACTTAGATGTTGTGGCGGAAGATGTGTGAACTATGCTGGAAAGTAGAGATCATTGCAATACTTGCCATTATATAGAATCACAGTGAGTCAGATCAAATGGGCCATTAAGTCGCGTGGCATGGTAGAGTCACGGTATGAGAGAGTTATCGCTCGAAAAAGCGAATTCTCGAGCTCCGTCAGAGACACATCCTATACTAGATGGACGAGTCTTTTATGGGTATCCAGTTTGATGATGTTCTTCGATGGTATAGATGTTGTTGCGGAAGACGAAGAGCAGAAGAGAAGGAGGAAGTCGCGAGATCGAGAGTTTTGGCGGCCCGAGCTCATCTCCGCCGTCTGGGCCCCGCTGATGTCGTTGCTGCGTGTCGCGATGCGACAAACACCAACAAACGTCAAGATCATTCTGGAGGACAACACAGGCGCAAGGAGAAGCGCATAATACATCATGACTTCTAGACTCGTGCTATGCTTGGGCGACCTCTTCATTCCGGACCGCGCAAATGTAAGTCGACTCCCTCTCACACTTCACACTCCTTGACTGACACTCAATGACAGNGACATTCCCGCAAAGGTACGACAACACTCTCCACCGCCCATTGACTCTCGATCTGGAACCTAATGCGACCCTCTACAGTTCAAGAAACTTCTCACACCGGGCAAGATTGGCCAGATCCTCTGTCTAGGCAACCTCACATCACCAAGCGTCTACACCTTCCTCCGAAACCTCGCACCCGACCTCCAGCTCGTCAAGGGAGACTTTGACATTTCGCTATCAACTCCTGCTCCTCCCAATCCCAACGCCGCATATGCTGCTCCCACCGATCAGGTCCCTGTACCTACTGCCCTCTCAAAAGTTGTCACACATGGCGGTCTGCGCATTGGCTTCACACACGGTCACACCATCGTCCCACCCGGCGACCCGGACAGCTTGTTGATAGCCGCAAGACAAATGGACGTCGACGTCTTGTGCTGGGGCGGTACCTGCAAATTCGAAGCCTACGAGATGGAGGGCAAGTTCTTCGTCAACCCGGGCAGCGCAACCGGAGCCGTCAGTTGGTCACCAGATGCCGAGCTTGACTCGGAGGGAGAAGCCGTCTCAACGCCCAGCTTTGTGCTTATGGATGTGAGTCGCCACGCTTCGTGGGCTAACCTAGTCGACCTTTCTGATCATCCCGAGCAGGTCCAAGGAGACGTCCTCGTCCTCTACGTTTACCAGCTGAGAAAGGACCAGAATGGTGTCGAGAACGTGGCCGTGGAAAAGGTCTCGTACAGGAAAAACGCCTCTTCATAGACATGACCATATCCGACCCTTTAGTAATCTTCCTCCCTGCTATCCACCTCTTTTCAATCACGGACGTCAGACCACCACAGCTTCTCGGACTGCTTATCGATAACCATCACTGACTTGACTTCTCGTGCTGACTCAAGGTTGATGAGTCGAGACAGCAATGCTGACAGAAAACAGAAGTTCTTGTTTGAAACATCAATCTGAAATGACAGGCTCGTCCCCCACACGGACATTTCGGCGTTTAGAGTATCGAGACAGTACGAATACCTCGGTGCTCGCAGTTTACATCTATCAACTCTTCAATCTCGAAAGGACAACTGAATACTCAGCATGGCGCCAAATTCAGAAGTCTGCTGTTATGCCCTTCCAGACTCTACTCTTCATATCAGCTATGACATCCCTTTCCGCGCGTCAGGTGGATTAAGTTCGTTGTGTCGGAAGTGTGTATGGAGGACAGTGATATCCATGTACAACGAGTCGTGATGTCTTGACAATGAGGAGTCATATGGTTTAGCAGAAGAGAAAGAAGAAGCTTCAGACCCAGATATGCACCTGCAGTAGGTTAAATCCACTCAATCAGAAAGCCAGGTGGGAGAAATCGGGAGTTTGAGATTTCTCCTTCTGCCCTTTGAAGCTTCCTCAAACGTAATGCTCCCCACTAAGCAAGTTATCCAGTTCCTCCCCGTCTTTGCCTGCTAGCGAGACTCTCCTCTGTTTGCGAAGTCTGTACCAGATGACATAACTCCTGGCCAACATGATGTAAAACGTAACCCTGTGCATACATCATGTCAGCACGTAACTTAACTCCTGAAGACAAAGAAGGAAGATACTTACACCACCAAAGGCAACCCCGTCCAAATGGCCTTGGCGATTGGCGCCCAAGTCCGCGGCGGCCAACGGAACGATAAGCCCAAGCGCCAGAAGTAAACACCAAGGTAAGTGATAAACACACTATCAAAACCCTGTATACACAGCATTTGTGTAGCGGCAAGACGATGAATAAAGTAGAAAAGGACTTGATAGATGTACAAGAGAATGAAAGCACAACAGAGGCTGAGTATGAGTTTTCCCCTTGATTGCATGTCAGTGTTNNGGTCAAAGGGGTAAAGAATAATATAGTGTACGTACTCGGCTCCGTAGAGGTGGAGGAGATCTAGGGCATATACAAAGAAGGTGATGAAGGTTAGACAGCACATTGCTGGAAATTGGATCAGCCAGCAGATGTANNGAAGCAGGCACCAATGGTGTTGAGGTCAGGTGAGTGATCTGGTCATCTTCCGTAGTTTGAATCACAATGGCAATGATACAGCGTTGTGGAAGCAAAGTCAGAGGATGCAAAATTTGTTGCAGAGATGCATGATATATTGCAGGTTTTCCTGACTTGGGATGCCTAATTAGTGCAAGGGTTCGAAGTACAAGATATGACTCTACTGACTCGACGTTCGATGCGAGTCATGGAAGGATTTGGGATCTCGAACAATGCGTGATGCCCATGAGGTATGTACAGAGTCCTCTACCTATAGTGAGGTTTGTCCTTGCCTTTGTCTATCATTTGCCGAGTAGCCACCATCCTACCTTTGTTATCGAGGATATGACATCTAGCTTGATGAAACTTTGTGAAGACTGATGATGAATATTTTTCGAAGTTGGGAAGCAGCAGACGCAGTGTCGAGAGCACGAATGCGTCTTCCAGCGGTTCATGCTCAAACCTCTGTGACAGCATTCCCTATAGTTGCATCTGTGCATCAGGGGGCAATGGAAGTTGCAGACACTCAGCATCGGAGTGGGTAAAATCAATCCACTTCGTGCACTGTTCCCGGCATGGATGGAAGAAAAGAATGGTCGTCGCCGAAGGAAAGAGAGAAGGTCAAACGCCAAGCATTTGGTGACGTCGTGGTTGCTGCCATTTTTGCATCTTCTTGCGACCTCTCCGTCTTTCCACTCTGCCTTGTGCAAAGATTCATCTTGCTGTCGCACAGTAGCAGCCTATCGGCTAGCGTATCAATGTTTGCATCTTTGGATAATCACGACTGCTCGAAACTCAAGTGGCGTCCACCTTGAACCACAAGCTTGCTTGGCGCATAGAAACATGAATAACAATATGGACTACACGCCTGGACAGGAAATACACAACACATCGTATACTATTCTACCGCTTCCTAAGGATGTCATCGTACAGATCAAGTCTTCCACCACAATCACCAGCCTCAATCAAGTAATTCTTGGCTTGTTCGAAAACTCCCTGGATGCACAGGCAACAAAGATCGATGTCTCCGTTGACTTCCGTCGAGGCGGTTGTACGGTGGAAGACAATGGTATTGGCATCTTGCCCTCAGAGTTTCGCGAGACTGGAGGTCTCGGTCGCATATACCATACATCCAAGCAGAAGGACAACACACAACACGGAACTCATGGTGGCCAAGGAACGTTTCTGGCATCCGTAGGAGCACTTTCGCTTCTTACCATCACATCTCGACATGCTCAGCACTACTCTCATAATACACTGAGTTTACATCGATCAAAAGCAATCTCCAGAATGACACCTACGCCACCTCAGAATGAGATTCGCACTACCACTGGTCATGGTACACGCGTGTCGGTCAGAGACTTGTTCGGCAATATGCCTGTAAGAGTCAAGCAACGAGCCATTGCTGATGAAGGAGGACTTGAAACTGGAAGGCAATGGCAAGCTCTGAAAATTGGCCTGGTGGGCTTGCTTCTACCATGGAACCGTCGCGTCGCCATCAAAGTCACAGACTTGAACAACCAAGAAAAGACACTCGTCATCAACACAGGATCACAATTTACGCCGAATACTCTAAGTGAGAGGAATCTGAATATTTTGAATAAGAAGATGCCAGACTTTGATCAAAGTTCTGTCTTGAGTATCCTGTCCCAATCCGGTGTCATTTCGACCGACTCCAGGGGTAGCTGGATACCGGTATCTGCATCGATCTCTTCAGTCACTATCAAAGGTCTCATATCACTGGAACCGGCACCTAGTAGGATCGCTCAATTCATGTCTATCGGTTCCATCCCTTGTCTGGATGAGAATAGACACAACGAGCTTTATGAAACAGTCAACCGACTGTTTGCTCAGTCCACTTTTGGTCACGTATACGACGAGTCTGTACTTGATGAGACTGAGATGAAGCGTCGACAGCACGATCGACGATACAAGAGGGATGGCCCCACGAACAAACAGCTTCTAGGAGGCAGGAAGGGAGTGGACCGCTGGCCTAGATTCTATTTTCGTATTGATCTGAAGACCGAAGAGAGTACACAGCATGTTAGCAACCTCAGTGACATGCATCTCAAGAGCATCATCAACGTCCTCGAAAGCTTGACCACACATTGGTTGGAAGCGAACAACTTCCGACCGAAGAGGCCAAGACAAAAGCGAAAACAAGTCGCGGATGATGTCGAAAGGCCAAGCCAGAAAAACTTCAATGTTCTATCACCAAACACCAAAGACCGACCTTCGTCTGCTCCCTTGCAACTTGTCAGCGGCAGCAGAACTCGCGCTTCAAAGCAAGCCGAAAATACGAGCACACACAGCCGAGGCTCTAAGAGAGCGCGGCGAGTACCCTCAACAGACACCGTGGCACCAACCATACCTTTTACAGACTGGAGTCGAATCAAGAGCGCTCAGCCACAGATGTACGACAGTATATGGAAGTGCAAGACACCACAATCAAGACCATCCACCGCAAGTGGATCAACAGTGCAGGAGACACGCTACATGCCAGAAACCCCTGCTACGATCGAGGTGGAAGCTGTTGATGCAAATCGGTTTGGACTTGTACACGACAGCTCGCGCGAGATGACAGCGCCTCAGGAACTGGACCACATTCAAGATGGAGAGACCTACATTGACTGGATCGATCCGAAAACCAACCGCAAACATCATATCAATGCACGTACAGGTATCGTGATGCCAGACAAGGTGCATCGACCGGCCTTCAATACTGTATCTTCAGGTAGATCTGCTGCTGCGGCGGACTCCCGATTGTCATCGTTCGGTAGGCCTCTTGTCCTGGAACGAAGAAAAAGTAAAGTGCTATACACACTTGAGACAGCCTCGAATGCTGGATCCAATTCACCTTAGCTCGAAGGGTTCCTCCGAACTTGGAGGAACCCAATTTTCGAATCTCAACCAGAACAAGCCATACCAACAGCTAGTTGTTGTGGGCCAGAGCAAGAAGCACTTCACACGCATGGTCTTCATGGACAACACGCCGTAGCTGATTCGTTCTCGCGTGCTGGAATGATCGACACCAGTCGAGTTTCAAAGTCTGCATTGCCTTATGCGCAGGTCATTTCGCAAGTCGACGATAAGTTCATATTGATGAGACTTCCGGATCTGGCAGGATCAAAGTCGCAAGAGCTCAATCATTCTAGGCAGTTGCTAGTATTGATGGATCAACATGCGGCATCGGAACGCTGTATCCTCGAAGCACTGCTCAGAGAGCTCTGCACACCGGCTCAAGGGACTTCAATTATCAAATCCAACCTTGGCTGTACATCAAGCATCATCACATATCCAGTAAACAAGCCGCTACATTTCCAAATTCCATTACAAGAAGAAGCTATGTTCAGAGCTCACGCAGAACAATTTGCACTCTGGGGCATCCTCTACGATATCATTTCGCATCAATCAGAGCCACCTCGCCTGAACGTCTTGACGTTACCACAAGGAACATCTGAACGCTGCAAAGCCGAGCCGAGAATACTCATCGAGCTTCTCCGCAGTGAGATATACACGCTTGTGGAGAGCAGCAGCAAACGCACCACTCATCTGGACTCAGCAGACCCAGATACGAATCATGCATGGCTCAGACGTCTGGGATCTTGTCCCAAAGGGTTACTCCAACTGTTGAACTCTCGTGCTTGCAGGAGTGCCATCATGTTCAACGATAAATTGACTCTTGAGCAATGTCAGAGATTGGTAGAGGAGCTTGCTGGATGCGCGTTTCCTTTCATGTGTGCACATGGAAGAAACAGTATGGTACCGCTAGTCTATGTTGATGGAGAAGGTGAGTATATGCAGGAAAGCTCAGGTGGGTTTGGTGGAGAGGAAGCGAAAAGCAGAGGATTTGCAAGCGCTTACAAGAAGTGGAGAAATAAGGCTGAGTGATGCTATAAATATCGTGTTATGGTGTAAGTGCTACTCGCATGGGCGATCGAGATGGCGTAATGAACAAAGAGGTCTCCATGAGTGCCCTTGACTATCAACATCCTGACTCTCTCTTTTCTATATTTTGTAATTATACATCAGAGGAAATTGGAGAGAGCTGCGAGAGAGGCATTCCAGCTTCTTCTTCATCCGTCCCTATCATAGCGTTGCGCCTATCCATCCCCCACCATAGCTCAGAGAGAAGTGTTTCCACCTCTTCTCCATCTTTCTTTGTCACTATACTTTGCTCATCCTTCCCCCACCATATCAAGAGACTTCGTATTGCCACTGTATAGATACTTCCTCTATTGCTTCTTCGTCAGCTCTTGCTTCTCCGCATCTAAAGAGAAATTACACTTACACGAAGAAAACGGCGACGGAAACGAGCAAAACGAACGTATCTTTCCTTCTACCAATCGCGGGTGCAATATGTATGATTCCAGTTGTGCAGGTGAGAGATGAGTATATGCTGTTGATGAGCATGGCCGTGTGATTAAAGAACCGGGACGTATAGAGAAGGAGTTGCAACCAGTAGCTCAAAGACATTATCCAAGCTGCCACCATGACGACCTCATCCCTGTCTTCATCATTGTATCAGCAACTTGCGCTAGCAGGATTGACAGGACGAGAAGAAAGAGACGCGCGCATGGTGGTTATCATATACTTTTTCTCAAAAGGGAATTGTATGAATAACATGGGCCGGAAGAAAGGGATGGCCATGTCTAGCATAGGTATTGCTTGGATGCACCAGCAGAGTTTTAGACATGAGGGTGACATTAGCCATGTCCTTATGTTGGAGATATACTGTCGAGTAGAAAGCAATCTTGGCATTTCGACCATTTTGCGGTTTCTCTATCTGGACCGCTGTTAATGATTGAACGAGTCTGTGTGGGTATTGAATGACAGAGGAAGGATTTACTGGCACGTTTCGTTCTTGGGGAAAAAAGGTCTGCCTGACTCGAGCTGTTGGTATATATTGGCAGGATCTGGAAAGGCATGGTTGCCTTCCATCAGCTGTCTATAACGAGTCAGGCCCACATATATAGATTGATGTCAGTTGTTCAATACAGCGTATAATCGCCGTCTGGGAGGCTCTCGATGCTACGAGTCTTGATGGCTGTTCATGGTTGAGCATACTATGATAACAGCCATTCTGGTTTGATACACATTTAGCTTCGCAGACAAAGCACATGGGAAGAGCGATGGTGGTTCAATCTTGACTCGGACGCGGGCTTCCGCACAGCCACATAACTTTTATGCAGATATCCAGCTCGGATGCTAATTTGTTGGGAACGGTTGACACGCTATTACCCTCGTATATGCCTGCCTCCATTCTTATTATCATAATACAAGTTTCGGATCTATGTGTTGGCTTGCCCAGATACTCTCAGGCTTGCAGGAATCTCAAACCCTTCTTCCCTCTGCATATGATTCTCAACACTTGATGAATGTTTGCTCGAATAGACTGCGCGGTCGTGACGTTGCACAAGGAATTGCATCTTACCCAATCTCGATGTCACTCACGCAAAACAAGATCCATAGAACTTCATCGTGAGGTCGGTCTCACGCACTGTGAGGATCTGAATCCCCTATCGAAGCCTATAGGCATATATGGATAGATATTTTCTTAGGACAGGGTTGTCCCACTAACAGTTCGACGGATGACGTATTGGTAGCACACCGAAATTTCACGACTTTGACAGTTCATCTCCAATGCTTGACAACAACATCGCGGCATGCAAAAAGCCGTACCATTGCGGAGAGGAGATCAAGAAACCATGTTCTACGAAGTATCTGAGGCACATTGTCGAAATTTGTGATGACCAGATAGATCGACACTGCGGAGCGCCAGATCTCGATCCTCCGATCCTCGACTCCGAACCAGTTCGGTCGTAGGCTGTTCTCAATCTACTCCAACACCGAAGCGAGCACATACCTAGCTTACCTTCCATGACTTTCGTACCAAACGACAAGGAAGTGGACGAGATGGCTGACTTACGCAGACCACGTCCATCGACAACAAGCCCAGACGCATTTGGTTTCGCCATTTCTGATACTAGATCATCGTAGCCAGATCGATTCCTCAGTACAAAAGAGGCTCATGGACGTGGGAGCGACGGAGCGTTAGCGAGTGAATGCACATTGGTTCCTACGTCCGTAGATCTTGACGTTGGCAGATCTTCGCGATGATCCAATGGATTGGCTACTGGGTCTGTTGTTTCCACGAATTCGGGATGAGTATGCTCAGATAGAGTCCGACGTCACTTGTTCTGCAACATCAGATCCCCAAACACATGCCAGTCAAATCCGAGGACAGTTCCTGAAAAGCAAGGGTCAATAGCGAAGAGTTCCATTCACAAGGATCCGTTGCGCCCAGCTATGCTCACATCAACAACTCGAGATCAGCGCGAAATCTCATCTCGAGGCGGCATTCCGAGCAGCTTCCCGGTTAAACAAAATGTCGCAAGCAACCGCCAACATTATATCGCTGCTGTAACAATGTTGATGAGAGATTTTGGGACTCTCGCATTATGTCCTAGCGAGACAGTTATTGACTGGAACAACAAGGATGTTGTCTTGGTCCAACGTTGCTGCAGTATGCTCGACGCATGGCCCCTTTTGGGAGGTGGAGACATCACTCTCTAGGTTCTGAGCTCCTTTCGGACAAGACTAGCTTATGCATGCATGCACTTGAGGCGATACGACCATTGCCTCGCGACGAGTGTTTTCAGCAAATGTCCCATTCTAGCTTCGGACACAGCGAAGGATTCAATCCGAGAAGCAAAGATGAGTATGAGATGTTGCAATATAGCAACGCCGTAAGTCAGCCATGTACAGGTATGCGAATAGGTATTCTCTGTATTTTGGCGAGCTGAAGTGCAAGGTCAAGCTTCAGCTGTCGTGATCAGCCAGCCCTAGCCCCGCCTCTGTACGTAGATCTCGGTCTTGCGCGTTCTGCAGCAACGTGAACCCCGAAGCATTGCTCTGATAGCCGAGCTAACAATTCCAGATCGAATGCTGAGTATGCGCAAGGGCTCGTCTTGATTGGACTGTTGTGGAAGCTGTGTGCATGGCCTCGTTCGGGAACGTCAAAACCATTGCGATCAGCGGCAGACGTCAGGACCACAAGCTCTCAGACCACTTGGTACCCCGCCTGGCCCGCCCCGTTCGTACCAGTCGGCAACCACGATCAAACGGTCACTGAACTTCTGCAACCTGCCACCTTGATGTCCCACCCTTAGCGATTCAAAAATCGCTTGACATTCGAGAGGCAAATCTGAGGGGCTTCCATCAGCTCAAGCCACAAACGGCTGACCGAATTAGCACCTGATACCAGCTTTCTCGTATGGAACAATTTCTGGTCGCGTCAGTCAACTAGAGGCATTGAGGTTTGTTAGCAAGGTCTACGGTTCAACGCCGTGACTCTCCCCATGACGGCCCGCACCTCGTGGTGGGTACCAAACAAAGCAAATCCGAAGGACCAATGTCTTGTGCTAAAGTCAAAGTAGTGTGGTGATCGAACACCAAGACATGGGTATGGAAAATGGTGCTTGATCCAAGTCGTTTGTGATCAGCAATAGCATCTGCAGACACGCAAACTTCCATTTATCTTCTCGAGACAAGACTGTCAATCACTGAGGGCGCATGTTACCTAGCTGAAGATGGTTACGCGCGTAGTATGCCCCTGCGTACTGTTGTTCTCCTTTAGGGCGAACCTCTATGATGGACAATTTCAGCTGTCAGCTAACCGTTGCACAGCTATCACCGTAAGAAGCCTACAGCGGATCCTCACTCGGCTTGATGGAGTCATCAAGCATATATCAAATGCTAATCCACCCCCGCTCTTTTTTTCTCGTCAAGTCGATGATGTCGTATGCCGCGACAAGGAAGGACTCGTTGTTTATTTGAACGGAGTTCCTTTTGCTGCTGCTGTAGCTGCTTCTCTCCATTCTATTCGCTCTGGAGCATGCTTGGTTTACGAACAAACCCTCTGAGTACGTATATGTGATTGGATCTTTACCTGTCATCCTCAAAGCAGAAAACTCCAGACTGATTAAGGATCTCATATCAGATCGCGTTCCCAGTTTTTCCTCTACCATACCTACAGAAACACAACCCAATAATCAAGAAATCATGGAGTACCAATATCAAACAACAGCTCTGGACAGCCTCATGGTTTCAAAAAGCGTAAAGATTCCGCAGCGGATGAACCCTCTCCCCAAAGTCCTGCTAGCAGTGGAATCCTCAATCGCCGCCTCGACTCCAGCTCCATGGCTTATCGATCTTTTTCCAACAATGGTTCACCTATTCGCCAGGACAGCCATGCTATGCATATGGAGGCAAGAATCCTTAGAGATTTTGACACCATCGATGCTTCACTGATGGGCAACATGAACATCGAAAAATTCTCAGACTACATTGCACGAGAACGCCTGAGCTCCATGCCTCATCGCGGTAGTCTTTGGGATCGGGTATTGCGCTGGGCTGAGTTTTACGCCCTGCAAATCGACAACTATGCTAAGAAGATTGAAGCGTTCGTCCCCGAAAGCCAGTGGGCAGCGAAACAGATCTATACACTACTGCGCAGCATCGTTGAGCTCGGAGAAACCAACGCTGACGCCCTCAACACAACCTTCTCGATCTTCTACAAGCTTGGCCTTTCATTGTCGTTCTTATCTTCGCATGATACACAGCTTAGCTTGAGCAGTGATGTCCGAGAGGATGTCAGTAGAGCTTTCCGTGATATCCACCTCCTAGTATTCGATGTGGCATCTCACTACCAAGGGTCTGTTCGCGGTCTCACGCAGGGTGCTGTCACTCTCGATTTCACCCTTCTCTTCCGGGAGCATCTCAACAACTTTCACAGCTGCAAGAACCGGTATGTCAGGTTCGGACTCTCCAGTGTAAACGTAGCTGATACTCTCTAGNNCATCATGAACCATATCTGGAGTCACGCTCTTGGCGGCGATGCATCTAGAGATGTTCATGAAGTTCGCAAATGGCTCGACCAGAGAGCCTTCCTGCTCCGAAGCATATCCGCCGAGTCTCTGACCTATGCATCTCAGTACGACGAATACACATGTGAATGGTTCCAGCAGAATCTGCTCAACTTTACTCGTGGTAGTGAGCAAATCCTCGCTATCACTGGTCCACCTGGGTGCGGAAAGTCAGTACTTTCGAGCTGGATCCAGGAGAGATTGCAACGTCGCTTGGGGCAAAAGACCCACAGTACTGTGATGTTCTCCTTCGATTCCGAAGTTCCAAGCGAGACAACATCGTTGGCTCTGGCAAAGAGTCTGGCACTCCAACTGATGGATATTCGCTTGGGTAACGTCCACATGTTCGAAGCTGTCGTTCAGGCCTACAACAGCAGCAGCTCTGCTGATATGGAGCGTCACCTGTGGAATGCTATCGATGCAGCCTTCTCTGACTCTTCTGAGCCTACTATGATCATCATTGACGGCCTGGATCAGCTCCGGGACAACAAGAAGCAGGTCTGTGAGCATATGTCGAAACTCTCAACTTCTCACCGCTCTCTCAAGTCCATCATCCTCTCGAGACCCGAAACTCTGCCTGTTGATGACAAGATCTGGAAGAACTTCAAGATACAGCCAGATCATGTTCATGACGATATCCAGCACATAGCCAAGCATCAGCTACGGGACTGCGCAGCCTACCACAGAAAGAATGATGCCGACCGACAAAGATTCCTGGACCATTTAGTCAAGAAAGCGAACGGCTCTTTTCTCTGGTTGCTATTGTCCATCGATGTACTCAAGTCTTCTAAGCTGCCAGCCGACTTGGACAAGAACCTCGACGATCTCAAAGGAACCCTTGACGAGATCATCAGAGACCGTGTGAGTCTTGACAGTCTTGCCGACAGCGATGTAAAGCTTTTAGTCTCATATGTGATGGTGACTGAGCGTCCACTGTCTATTGATGAGCTTTATGATGTTCTCCAAGTCGACGTCCAGAAGAAGACCAACACACGTCGGGAGATAGATCTCAAGGGCAAATTGGCAAAGATATCTGGATTGTTACGCCCCAACAACGCAGGGCTTGTGAAGTTCCTTCACCCTGCCATCAGAGAGTATTTCATCGCTTTGCAGATCAAGGGAGAAAAGCTTCTTCCTCACAAGGAGGCTCATACAGATCTGACTCTGCGATTACTCACCTATACAAAGGCTTGTCTGACAAAACCTCATGACGTCTCTCTTGAGCCTTTGCCACAAGGCGACGTTGAGCGCTTATTCGCAGACCACGATTTGTTAGAGTATGCTGTGCGCAACTGGACAACCCACTTTTGTCAATCCACTTTGTTCAAGCCGACCGGTGCATTTGGCTTGTCGAACGATGTCAAGGCTACCTTCCCGACTTCTTCACTGATGCCGTTGCTGGAATGGACATGCTGGGATGCACAGTTCCCGACGACCGAGCTACTGCCTATGCACGATCTCGCCCTGCGCATTCGTTCTGAAGTATTCCAAGAGAAGCATATCTCCACACTGCAGACTGCCATTACCTGCGCTTACGTGTACCATATGTACTCGTTCCCAACGGCAGCTGCACCTTACTTCGTTCGAGCATCGCGGGTCTGCCAACACGTCCTGCCGAAACACAATCGCATCACAGTCACTTTAACCGAAACCTTCCTGACCATCACGGACTCGATGAAGTTTACTAGCCGTACAGAGCTTGTAACATTCAGAGAAGAGATGCTCAAGTTCATCATCACTGCTTATAAGGAGACTCATGGCGAGACCAGCGATGTTGTCCTCCGCTCCACCAAGACTCTAGCTGAGATGTATGTCTCGATCCATGAAGAAGAACACGCAGCAGTGTGCTGGAAGGAACTTCGTACAGTCATTATCAAGAAACACGGAGAGGGTTCTGATTTTGAGAGAGAAATCTCAGGCAAGCTCATGGTTGTTTTGAAAGCCGACGAAGACCAAGCAATTGGGACCTATGTCCATGATGTCTTCTCTGTAGGCGGGGAGAGCACCATTGTCTGGAATCTTGCCAGATTTCAGATGTTCTTGAAGCTTGCGCAAGGCTGCGAGCATCGCAAAGAGTTTTATGAAGCCGAGGAGCTCTACGTTACTCTCTGGACCCGCCTACTAGGGCTATGTACAGATCAACACTCGCACGATGTTGAGATGCGTATCAGTATGCTTCAAATCGCCGTTGAGTACGTCCACTTCTTGACAAGACAACAACGCAAAGAGGAAGCAAAGAACATACTCATCGTCCTGTGGACCGAACACAAGCACTTCGGATGCGAGTCTGAAGCTTTCTATCAGCAACTGATGACCATCGGTAAGCTGATGAGATCCCTGGAGCTCCACAACTTGTCGTTATCTGTCTTTGAGCGCGTTTCAAACTTCTTCAAAGCAGTCGGCAAGCACGAGAGTAGCTACGTCCGCGAGTGTGAAGAGACAATGATCGCAGTTATCCAGGAGACCTCAGAAAATCAGTCATCCTCTTCCTCTAGAAGCGAATCAACGGACGAGATGGAGACCATTGTTCGCAGAATGTTCAGCTCCTCGACCACTACTCTGTCTCACGAATCTATCAAAGTCGCGAGATCCGCTGTTCATATGTACATGAAGCAAGAAAACTGGTCCGAGGCCATCAGTCTTCTGACCAGAACGCTTGATCTTATGCACTTCACAGGCTCATGGGGAGGTGGAGTGTGCCTGCCGAACGATTATGCCGATGAGTCCATTGAATTTGCTCTCGAGCTTGGAAAGTGCTACACGAGAAGCAAGCGCCACTCTGAGAGCTTGGCAGTCTATCTTCAGCTATGGCAAGCAGTGCGAAGCTCCTGCAGCATCGACGACAAACGAAGAACCGTCATTCTTGATGTCCTCATCCAAAACTATACCGAGCACAAGAGATGGAGAGTTCTGGTCGAGCTTCACAAAGATCTACTGCTCGAGTACCGCAGGTAAGTGTGTATTCAAGCAGATTCGGCACAGACAGATCTCATATCTATCGTCTTACAAGTTATGTATACTGACTCGCAANNCAGACATCTCGGAAAATCACATGAGCGGATCATCGGCCTCCTGTACTATCTTGGTGATCTGACTCTCGAGCATGGCCACGGTTACCCTGAAGACTACTACCGCGAGATTGTCGACATCGTTGGTACATCCAACACCAAGCTTTCCTTCAGAGCCTACAAGAGACTCAGCCAAATCTACTATGACGAGAGCAATTGGGTTGAGCTCAGGATTGTCTGCGACGTCCTGTGGAATCTCCTCACAAAGCAGACCAAGGAGTACGACTATGACGAAAACTACGTCGAGCTGTTGTACATCAGATATGCCTACGTTCTGAAGCACCATAACAGAAATCACGGTAAGGCAGACCATAGGCTTTTGGCTCTGGTCGCTCAGCAATACCGAGACATCTGTATAACGAAGTTTGGCACCTCGTCATCGGTCGCAATTCGTGCCAGGATCGAATATGCCTCGGTACTTATGGAAGATGAATCGACAAAGGTCGAAGCTGTTGCCGCTTACGAGGAGATAATCACGACGACAAAGAATAGCAAGGTTGTGATTGATGAGAAGACCATGTCAATGGTGAGAACTCGTATGACCGAAGCCTATGTTCATGTTCATCGCAAGGGCATCTCCTCGGTAGCCACAACCGAGAAAGCCATTACAGTACTTCAGGAGAGACTTCAGCAGCTCAAGAGCGTTCACGGAAGTGCCCACTCCGAAACTCTGTCCATTCTCAGCGAACTGATCTCGATGCGCTACAAAACCAAGAAGACGACAGAAGATGAACACACTATCGTTCGCATGCTCCAAGAACACACCATTGATGTCATCGCCAAGGAACAGCGATCTCAGGTACTTTTCGAGGCAGCAAACGCGCTCAGTGCCATGTACATCACCTGTGGCTACCACGCTCATGGTCTTGAGCTTGTACAGGCTGCCAGACGTCAAATCATCACAGGTCATGTAGATGGAAAGCACGGCTTCAAGTTCGACAAGTCGATCGGTCGCATCGCCTTTGTTTTCCTCGTCACCTTCGAGCTGTCTCTCAAGGGCTCTTCTGGCCACAACTACTCGGAGGTGATGGCAGATTGGCTGACTGAATCGGTCTTGTTCAACAACTACTCTCGTTGCCTGACCACTCAAGCCAAGACCGAGCAACTGCTTTTGCGTAGTGCTCATATCAGGTCTTTCTGGAACCATCGTTCGCGCCACGAAGAGCTCGACATGCTCGACCAACGTGTTTTCGAGGCCTTCAACAAACAATTTGGCAATGCTCTCAAGACCAGACCGGAGATGATCAAGATCTTCTTGACCTCTCTTCTAGTTCACATTGGATCTGGTGATGCTTACGACATTCAAATTGCCAGAGCCGCATCCATTGCTGGAGACCACAAAATCGAAGCACTCGTTCGAAGTGGCAAGTACCAGGAAGCAGTTGAGGTTGCACATTGTACTTTCCACTTCGTCATGACCTAAGGTGGCTACCAGCAAGCCGGTCTGATCGGTTATGGATTCAAGCTAGCCAAGTACATGACTATGAAGGACAACATTCCCGCTGAGACTCACACCAAGATGCTACATGCTTCAAGAGAAATCATGGCAGAAGTCTTGAATGCATGCAAGACTTTGGAGATTAACTTTTCGCAGCTGCATGACCACGAACTCAATGACCTCGTCGAGCTCCTGGGAGACCAAGAAAACTACAAAGAGCTGGATATCATTCTCGAGTCTCTGTGGAAGTCGCGTTCGGGCCAGAAGAATTGGAGCGAGGATACATTGATCAACCTTGGAGAGCGTCTCGTGGTATCGCGCCATTTAGCCTCTGACAAGGGTCACTCTCACCGTGCCATTCACCTCGCCGAAGACATCACGTACAACTTGCGTCGCGTGCTCGGTGGTCTTCACCCTCACACTATGAAGATGTCTAATTTGCTGTCTCAACTCTACACCGGCGCAAAACTGTACGGGGATGCCCTCAACGTGCACGAGGAGATCTTGCAACTTATCGTTTCGGGTGATGATGGTGATGATCGTACCATTGACACCGTGAGCGCCAAAACAGCTCGCCAGCAAGTTGACCTTCTGAAGGCCGCTTACCAGCGCAACGGTGGTTGGGTCAAGTCTGCAGACTTCTACAAGAGGCTCGTGACCGATCTGACAAAGATGTTCTCGAAGACTGCTGACTTCCAGAACATTCAACCGGTCAAAGACTGGCAAGCAAAGTCTGACAACACCACTGCCAGTCTGGGCGTATTTGAGAAGCCTCAGCAATGGATGTTTGTTGTCAAGGATGACATCTTGTCTCCAAAGGGCGGAAAGCATATTCATGGCAGCACTTCGGAGGAAGGGTTCCAGCGTGCCCCTCAACCTTTGAAGAAGGGTAAGCAGATTGGGTGGAGTCTGAGGCGTGTTTCTGATCTTTGGGGTATGAGACAGCGAAGTGCTGGAAGATTGGATGCTGAGATTACGATTTGATGAGGACATAACGTGTTGATTCTCTTTTGTCGGAGCCGCTGTTTTGGTTTGTTGCTATGTTCCTTCTGTAGTTTTTCGTATATGCACTAATCATGTGTATTTGGAATTATCGCTCGCAACTTCCGAGTCTTTTGTGACGATAAATCGGCTTGACGCTTTTGTTGTGCCGTTCCAATGACCATTGCTCCTTCTACAGAATGTTGTTTTTCTTATACTGTACATCGAAGTTTTCCCTGATTGGCAGCTATCCTCATCAGCTCTTTCCACTTACAGTCCACTTGACCGGACTCTTTAACCCCGCCTTCTCGGCCACTCCTTCCGTTTCTTTTGCCTTCTTGTTAACCGAATCCATCTCAAAGCCCGCAATCAACTTATACTGCTTGCCCACACCCTCCAACTCTTCCTTGGGAATCACATCATAGATATCCTTGAATCCATCTGGAGCACGTTCGTGAGCGAGTTGAAGGACGTGATCAGGGCCATTTGCTCTGTTTGCCATAACAATCTTGGCGGTGGGAGGAAGGCGGATGGCTTGGTATTGCTCCAGGGCCAGAGAAATGTTTCGAGGGTTGTTTGTTAGGCAGTGGGTCAAGGCATCGGCGTCAATGATGGCTTGGGACGCTCCGTTCGAGCCAATAGGGTACATAGCGTGAGCTGCGTCACCGAGGAGTGTGAGTCTACCGAAGCTCCAGCGGTCCACTGGGTCGCGGTCGCTCATGGGGAACTCGTAGACTTTGTCTGTGTCGTCGATGAGCTGTTTCATGCTCAGACCACCACAACGCCAGTCCTGGAATGGGCCTTCGAATTTTGATTTGGGTACTGTGTTTGTCCAATCCACTGGAGGAGGAGTAAGGTCAGGGTCGTTCTTGTCGCGGATACGTAGTTCTGCGATCCAATTGACTAAACTCTTGCCTTTGCGCATTGAGGTGCCCGAGATTGGGTAGGCGATGAACTTCTGATCTGCGTGGCCTGCCCACACCATTGATGCTCCTGTGAGATAAGGCTCCTGTTCAAGACATCCACGCCAGAGAATACGGCCAGAAAAGCGTGGTGGGCCTTCGTCCGGGTAAAGGAGTTTGCGAGCCACGCTGTTGATTCCATCAGCTGCAATGAGAACATCACCCGTCATCTCCGGGATCTCTGGTTGCAGAGCCAAATCACCTTTTCGTACGAAGCGTGCTGTAATTGTCCCAGTAGGGCTGTCTCCTTGCACACTCTCATCTTGCTCGAAACTTGCAAGGGCATGGCTTAAGTGCACACGATCAGCGCCCAAACGTTCTTTGACAGTATCCAGCAACAAGATCTGAAATTCGCCGCGATGAATGCTGAATTGAGGTACTGCATATCCAGCACTCTCGCCCCTGGGTTCGCTCAAAATGGCATCTCCGTGACGGTTGTAAAAGTTCAATTCTTTGGTTTCAATGGCTGTTGATCTGAGAGCAGGCAATAGACCAAGATTTCTGAGGATCAAGACTGCTGAGGGCTGGACATTGATGCCGACGCCTAGGGTCGTGAGGTTGGAGGCTGCCTCGAAGATATGGATGTCTGTGAAGCCTGCTGCATGGAGGGATAATGCAGTGGTGAGGCCGCCGATCCCGGCTCCGGCAATGATGATTCTGAGCTGTTTGTCCTCGAGTAGAGGCATGGTTCCGGTGTATTGGCTTTGCCGTGGGTCTCGAAAAGGTGATCCACTGCTTGTATTTTGTTATGTCCAGCGATTTGTAGTCCAATCAAACCCAATTGCACAGCACACAGAGATGGAAGATATCGCAACAGGTGACGACTTCAAAGAAAGAAGAACGGATACTTGTGCCAGAAGGTAAATGTCTGTGTATTCTATCTAGGTACGTCTCTGTTATTTGTCCTCTTTTCCACGTCCCGATTTTGGCTGATTTGATTGCCGAGGTTTGGAGTTGATGGTGAGAACTCCGGGGTCGGAGACGACCAAACACGCCACAGCCGCGAGGCTCTAGACCTTTGATCCTCATGGCATCGGACGTGGACATTGCTTCTCAAGTCACAATTCTCGAGAAGATGTACCACGTCGTAGCATGATGCGGTATCCTGTTGACAATTGTTGGTGAGAGCCGAGCATGGAAGGATACCTATGTGGCAGAGAAGCCAGCTTGGATGAAGTTGTTACTAACAATTCCAAACATATCTGTTCTCCACAAGATTTGTCGGCTTGCCATGTTTACGGCGCGTATCAAGTCGGCATCTCTCTTTCCTGCCTGACCTCCAACATCGTTGTACACAAGTAATTCACGTCGAGCCCTCTTCGTATACACTCAAACATGTTTCGTCCCTGTTTCCTTTGGCCTGAGACAGGCAGTCATGTTCGCCATATCACGTGGCACCTACTTGTTCCATCATCCGGTCCAATTCACGTCCGCGTATCCTAAATATTGGACGTTTCGGGACTTCTCATCTATCGGCTATAACCTCGTAGAAGACGGACCTCACAAGGAACCCTTGACTGATTCTCAAGAGGCCGAAGAAGCTCAGAAGGCCTATTTCAAACGATATCAAGCTGAGAATGCAGATGTGATCAGGAAACAGCAGAGGCAATACTACCTCAGGAACAAAACAACCTTGAACGCGAATAACAAGATTCGATACAAGAACAAGTTGCTCTTCGTGAGGCAATAGCTGCGTGTGGGGTTCACAAAAGACTTCTCGCCGAGGCCAAGGCCGCGTATGAGCTTCAAACAATACGTCTCGCAGAGGCGAGGGCCAAGTGGCGTGCTCAATGGAAGGCTGGGAATGATGGGAAGGCTGGACGGCCCGCGATGACAGAAGACGAGCACGCATAGTGTGAAACGTCATACTAAGAAGGAAGCTGAGCGCAAGAGACGTCGCGCTGAGGCAGAAGCTGAGCGAGAGCAACGTCGTGCTGGGAAGGAAGCTGAGCTTCAGAAACGTCGCGCTGAGCGTGTGAATCGCCGTGCTAAAAGGAAGTCGAACAAAAATCTCGCGCCGAGAAGAGAGCTGAGCGAGAGAGACGTCGTGCTGAGAAGGAAGCTTCACATGAGAGACGCCGTGCTGAGAGATTGGCCAACCGTCAGAGACGTCGCGCTGATAAAGAAGCTGAGAAGGACGCTGAGCGTAGGAACCGCCGTGCTGAGAAAATGGCTGCTCGTCAGAGACTCCTCACGGAAAGGGAACAACTTTCAAAAAAGAAAGAGCCAGACGTCGTGCCGTAAAGGCAGCAGAATCCTCAATCATCGTCATCCCACTGCATGCATTCTACAGTACAGATCTAGAAAGATACCCGTCAATTAACCCTCACTAGCTGAAGTCGGCCATATCACCAGTGCATAGATGTGTTAGCCATGAACTCCCTTCAATAATGGGCCTCAATTTCTTTTTTTTTCTTCTCTCCAGAGAGTTGTGCACCACCCCGGCCACAACCACGTTCCCCAAAATGTTTTCAAGGCATGTTTCATAGAGATCAGGATTCTTGGTCCGAAAAAAAAGATTCGTTTCTTTTTGTTGTTCTTTCAAACATCATATATATCATATGAGTAAACATCCCTGTGCAGTGACACCATGGAATGAACCCATAAATTCTCTCATCAAAGAAATCGATCCTGGGTTATACAGGAAAAAGCGAACGTAAAGAAGAGTAAGGTCATCCCCTTTCCGTTTATGTACCCCAAACCCCTATCCTATCCCCAAGTTCATCCCCAAGAATTCGTACAACAACGTGGTATTTTCGTAAAAGATCAGAAGAGAAAACAGGTAGAAAGGCTTAGTGGTGACGACCAGCCTTCAGCTCAGCCAAGTGGCGGCGGACCTTGCCGGCAGCGAGCTTAGCCTTGACCTCGGCGGCTTGACGGTCGGCAGCCTCCTTGTCAGCAACAGCAGCGGCGAAACGTGCGTTCTTGGTTGCGGAGGCGGGGGCCTTTGCTTGCGGTGCTTGCGTGCCGAAGAAGTCGAGGTGGAGGTAGAGGTAGAAGAGTTTGAGGAGGAGCTCTTGCTCGAGGTGACGAGGGTGGTTGCGGACTTGGTGCTCGAGGTTGATGTGCTGGTGTGGCTGGAGCTAACGCTGGTGCTGCTGCTATTCGACGATGAAGCGGCAGCAGCAGAAGAAGAAGAAGAGGCAACCGAAGAGGAAGCAACAGAGGCAGCAGCGCCATCAGGTCCATTGTAAGCGTTGTTGGTGCAGCTGGAGAGGCCGTTGCAGCTCTGGTAGATGGACAGAGCGGCGCTACCACCGCAGTACTCGCTGCTGTCACCAGCGCAAGGAGAGAAGCAGTTTCCGAGGATACCGTTCTGGGGTGCGCGGTCAGAGGCGACCGAGTTACCGCAGTAGCACTGGGAAGCGTATTCGAGACCTGCGTAAGCGTATCCCTTACCCGAGCAGAAGGAAATGCATGACTCGACGGTCATGGAGCCACTGCTGGTAGAGGCGGAGTTCAGGGTGCGGCTGCTCAAGTCGTCGGTACCACAGCCAACATACTGCCACTTGAGAGAGGAGGTGACGTCTTTGAAGTACTGCTCATAGGCACCAACAGTTGCGACCTTGGTGTTAGCTGTAACTGCGCAGGTCTGGACAGTAGCGAGGCCGGGACCCTGCTGAACGGGGTTGCAGCCGGGAAGAGCGTCGAGCATGCCAGTGACCTGCTCGTCAACCTGGGGAGGAATGATGCAAGCTTTGCTCTCATCGTCGGTGAAGAGAAGATTGTCGAAGACAGGGCAGTCAGACAGCAGACCGCTGTCGTTGTTGCACTCATCAACAGCCGACTGAAGGGTAGGAACGTCCCAACCGTTGATGAAGTCACCGTGGAATCCGAAACCAGTGGGGTCACCCTGAGCAAAGACGAAAGGCTGTCCGCTACCATACCACATGTTGCCAAAGTCACCGACGTTGTAGTTGACCTCGTAGAAGATCGAGATCAGGTGAACGGGGTGAGAGTCAGGGCACTCGCCGCTGTCATAGCTACCACCAACAGGGTATGACATGTGAGACTTGTGGTCAGCAGAATCGAGGTTGACACCATCCCAGCATGAAGGGAAGAAGACCTGAGCACGGAGACCATCGGGACAGTTCTTAGTAGGGAGACCATCGCTAGTGCTAGAACCAGCGCTGTAGTCGAGACAGACGAAGCTGACAGCCTCGGACTCAAAATCGTCGGTGTGGTTGCGCTTGAAAGGGTTACCGGCGAGCATGCGGAAGCCTTCAGGGAAAGCCTTGAGCGCGTCGTTGTTGGGACCGCCACGCTGGAGGTAGTAGACAGTCATACCACCATAGGTACCTTGGCCGTCACCGGACTGGTGGACGTTCTCGAAGGATCCGTTCTGGTACTGGTAGTAGAGAGAAGGGGTCCAGTAGTTGGAAAGATCCTGCTTGATGGGGCAAGAGGAGCAGCTCGAAGAGCGAGCATCGGCATAGTCCATCTCGAACTTGAAGCCATTACCACCGGAAATGGTGTGAACGTGGCCGGAGACCTGTCCAGGNNGGGAGACGATAGGGTCGGCACGCTCAGTGACAATACGACCAGGGCAGGGCATACGGAAGAAAGCAGCAGCAGGTGCAGCGAGAGCGGCAGCCAGGCCGAGAACCTTAGTAGAAGTGTACATCTTGGAGCTAGATATGGAGATGGAAGTCGAAGGGTCAAAGCGAGGATATCAAATCCTGAGAGAAGGTCGAAAGAGCGAATGAATGGAATTGGTGAATGAATGACTAGCCCAAGCAAGGACTTGTAAAGAAAGAATAGGTCACAGACCTAGAAGGGACAACGAAGACAAGATGATCGGAATAGATGAAGGTCAAGACTGGGGGAACATGGCTTGATACATATAGGAGTTAGAGTAGGTGAGAAGGGCGCACTTTGAGTTTCAGGCCATGAACCGTGCTCCTACAGGGAAGGTGAGCGGGAAAAAGTGACAGCGTGGATCTTTGAGATTGCAGGAGTCCAGAGCGCCAGCAGCGCCATTCCCGCTGCGCGGTATCCACTCGGTCAGATGCATTAATCAGATGTGACTGGGGACCGCCGCACTTCCGAAAGGATGAGAAACCACAGTTTGGCGCCCGCTCCAGCTCGACCAGATGATTGTTTCACGATTGCGCCATATCGTTCAAAACATATGCTTTCATGAGTTTAACAAGCTGAAATTGATGTTTTGCCTGTCCGGAGTGAAAAGGGGCAAAGAAAGAGCAAACGTTGGCGATCCAGCGAGAAGCCGGAGGGAGGCGTGGAGTGGAGTTCGGCTTTACCGCTGCATCTTTGATTTTGGTTCTTCATTTCCCATCACAACTGCCAGCTACCGTCGACTCGAGATGCTGCAGCACGCATGCAGACCCGGGGATCCAGTGTGCATGTCGTTCATCGCGTGGACATGTCTCTCTAGCTTTCGCTCTCGCAGTTGACAAGCTGAGCTTTTGCTTCACAGTGGACCTTGGAGATGAAGCTCCCCACCCCTTCACGACTGCCAGGTATCTGTACGCGACTACAACCAGATCCACGGATGATCAGCCGGATGAGCTTAAAATCTGGCCGAGTCAAGACAGACTTCAGTTGCGTACACACAAGGGGCGTCAGTCGAAGTGGCGCAGGCACGAGTAAGCCGGACCACAATCGTCGTCCTTTGCGTCTATAATATCGCCAAACATGTCCTTAAAGCAGAGCTCTCAACTGCTGACCTGCATNTCGAGTTTACCGGGGACGGCAAGATTTGTTCGCGTGGTGTGGTGTTTTCAAGGTACCAAACGCATCGGCATGGAGAAGGCGTGGCTAGCGCAGGAACAAGGCCGCTGACGGCGCATCTCGAAACACGCTATCCCTGTTACTCCNTTGTTACGGCTGCTGCACCTTTGCTACACGGCAAAAACATTGGGGAGCTGAAAAGAACCATCTCTTCACCCTATCCTGCTCTAGTCTCCTCGATGTTTTTCGCCTTTCTCCACCAACCAACAAACACTAACAAGAAAAACAACCTTGTAATCGGAGAATTATAGCCAATGCTCGACACCGCCTGCTTTGCAAGGAAGCTTCAGACGAAAGATTGCGCGTGCAAGTCGACTCGTCGGACGGCCAGCCATGATCCAGGACTGTCATGCAGTCAAGACGGTCGACCATACACTCGCGGCATCTGCCATCCATCAAGGCGCCTCGACCCGCTCGCCCTTGCTCAAAGCATCAAAACGTGGCTATCAAAGAGACGGAGACATGCAAGAGCCGCCAAGCGTAAAGAGCCCTGCTGCACAAGGAGAATTCGGACAAATGGGCCAATGAGAAGGATGCATATGCATGCATTTGTCCCGCCTTTTCATGCTCGGAGTGACCGACTCGTGTCTTGTGCCCCATGTCCGGTCGCAGAACGCGTGAAGAAGAGGAAAAGAGCCTTCACAATGCTGTCGACACTTCTCCGCCGGATCCATCAAGTTGCCGCACAATCGACCGCGACTCGGCCGACCTTTTGGAAGCCGGCTCTTGATGGACGACGGGTCGGAGAATGAAAGAGACTTCACAGCATGTACACGTTTATCCAGACGACCAGAACAAAGCTCCACTCCACCTTGATTTGGGTGGGACTCCTTGCGTATCGGTAAGCACTGTACTCGTACATGTACCTGGAGCGTTTGCGGTGAGAGAGCTTGAAGAGTCAACAAAGCCATTGTTTGCAGTCTGGGCATTTCTGCGTCTTGATAATCGCCGAGGTTGGGCATTGGTCACTGCAGTCCAAGCGAGCAAGGCAGACAAGGCACAGCTACCTGTACCAGCATTTGACCGGCCTATGAGAGCGTCCTGGGCAGCTTGATCGAGATTGACTCTCTTCCCCTCAGCATCAAGTGCATTCCAATTGTCATGAATCGAGTGAAAAAGCCGCAAGGCGTGCAGGTAAAGTCATTGGTATCTTATTCAAACGTCCAAGCACAGCGTCTTGACGGACCATCTTTTTGTCGTAAATCATATCTACTTGAGGGCCTTCTTGGCGAAGTTGGGCAGAACAAACGAGGCCTCGTGGATCTCCTTGTTGTAGTACTTGCACAGCTTGTCCTCCTCGGCCTCGGACCATTGGCGAACGGGCTTCTTGAGGTTGCGGTTGGCGTCGAGGCAGCAGACCATGAAGCCGATCTGGCCAGAGGGGTAGGTGGGGATGGTGGTGTAGGCGTACTCGACGTTGGGGAAGACCTGCTTGCAGTCCTGCTTGAGCTTGGTGATCAAGGGGAGGTGCAGCCACTGGTTCTCGGNCTATACAAACAGTCAGCAACTTCTGGTCTTGGTCAAGGAGAGTAACAATGCGAAGAGTGATCGAACAGACTGGCCTCTGCCGAGCAGCAAAGGGAGCCAGGGGACTAGGAAAGGGTGCTTACAACCTTGGGTAGTAATGACACCGCCCTCTCTCAGGGCACCCTTCAGCAGCTCAAAGTAGGGCTTCTGGAACAGAGCCTCGGCGGGGCCCTCCGGGTCGGAGCTGTCGGTGATGATGACATCGAACTCGCCCTTCTTGTCGTCGAGGAACTTGAAGCCGTCGCCGACGTGGGTCTTGACGTTGGGGTGCTGGTAGCCAACGGCCATGCCGGGGAGGTACTTCTTGGAGAGACGGATGACGGCCTCGTCAATGTCGCAGAGGACGGCCTCCTCGACGCACTCGTGCTTGACGACCTCGCGGAGGACACCGCCGTCACCACCACCGATGACGAGAACCTTCTTGGGGTTGGGGTGCGAGTTCATGGCCAGGTGGGTGATCATCTCCTGGTACGAGAACTCGTCGCGCTCGGTGCACTGGATGACATTGTCGAGGACGAGGACCATGCCGTAGTCGGTCGACTCGAAGATAAGGACATCCTGGTACTTGGACTTTTCGTGGTGGACGACCTGGTTGACCTTGAGGGTCATTGCCTGGCCGGGCCACATGTCCGAGATCTCGCGGAACCAGCCATCNNTGCCTTATGTATGAGCCTCCATTCTCTTTTTCACTTGCAATGTGGAGCTCTAGCTACCCTTGATGGTGGGGTGAGTGATTTCGCTCATTGTGAGGGGTGGGGGTTTCGAAAGGATAGAAATAGGGGCTTTCGAGATTCGTGAGTACGCTGGTAGTCTTCTACAAGCGATGTGAGCAATACGAGAAGCAATGATGGATCTGGCGTGTGTTGAGCTGTTGTTGCTCGCAATTTTTCAGCGCCCGCTTCGTTGCCCGTTCTTGGCCATTGCGGGGCACGGCGACCTGACCGGGCTTGCCAGGTTTTTTGTCATTTGTTTTCATTTCTCTTTTCCTGGGTCTTGACCTTTGTCCGCATCGATTGCTGCCTTACAGAGCTGCATGTTCGGAGGGCTGGCAGACAATACTTGACCAGAGTCTTGGTGGCAGCCTAACAAACACATAGCAAAGGCAGCTGCGCTCGGCCCTCATCCTGCTTCATCGAGCTCCAGCACACTCACCTACCTATATCAGGTGAGGCAGCCTGGGAGGATCTCACAGATACGATACCAAGCCCTACCAAGCAGAATGACCGGTGAGCTATCGCTGTAAATCATGAGGACACCTCGATAGCGATCATGATATCTATTAAACGGCAGAGCTTTTCACGATGTGGCGATAGTCAAGACTTATTTGCCGATCACCCTTTCTGACGATTGCAGCGTCAACCTCGACTCCCTCTTCGTCTTGACCCAGCACTTTTTTTCTACACCAACAACATGACAGCAGTTGGTACAAAGGACAAAAGTGTGGGCTGGTTCCAGCCTGAGCTGGAGGATGTCAATCCCCAAGCACGGTCGGTCCTTGAGACGTACTGCAACATACCCTCGGCTGAGGTTGTGCCGCATGTGTTGAGAATCGTACGTGTCGCATGTTTCTCTTATATGTGATCAGAGATAGAAACCACATTATCGCACTACTCGATGTCACATGAATACTTGCTAACGAGCTTTAAGCGAGACAAAGCTTGGGAAGTCTTTCCATACCCATGCATTGGCCAGTTTCGCTTTCTGGACATGCCTCTAGGTGGCTTTGATGAATATCCCGAGATCGTCCAGAGACTCAAATCTGGCAACGACAAATATCTCGACCTGGGCTGCTGCTTCGGACAAGACATTCGCAGACTGGTTGCCGACGGAGTACCCAGCGAAGCTCTGATTGGCAGTGACCTCCAACAAGGATTCTTGGACCTTGGGTTTGACCTCTTCAAAGATAAAGAAAGGCTTCACAGCAAATTCATTGCCGCAGATGTCTTCGAGTCTCAGTCGAAACTCACACCACTGGAGGGAAATATCGACGTCATCCACGCATCGTCTTTCTTCCATCTGTTCGGTTATGAGGGACAGAAGAAGATTGCAAGACGCGTAATCCAACTGCTCAGACCAAAGAAGGACTCGCTGCTGGTCGGACGCCAAGTGGGCAATGTCAAGGCTCACGGAGAAGAGTCATCTGCTAGCGGAAGCGGTAACATGTTTCTGCAAAACGTAGAGTCATGGCAGCAAATGTGGAAGGAGATTGGTGAGGAAACAGGCACTGAATGGGAGGTCAAAGCAAGACTAGAAGACTGGCCCTTGGTGGGCAACAAGGTCTCGTGGCATACAGAGGGAACCAAGAGGATATTCTTTTCAGTCAGAAGGCTATAAACAGCGCCTCTGATTGGTGATCTGGGGGATACAGAGCAACACGGGCTGCTTGTGACACGCATGATAATGGCTACGAGGAACACTTCTTATGTACCGGAGTCTGTAATTCCCATGCTCCCTTCTCCCGGATGTTCCACAACATGAGAACGATGAATTGTATCAGACCATAGCCGTAGTCAGGGAGCCGGTTAGCCAGCAGCTCTCGTCAAATAATTCTGTTATGCATCTACAGCCATGGAGCACATAACAAGGAGGACAATCTCCGAATCACTGACAAGTTCCAGAAGAGTCTATTGTGGTTGCCAAAGGAGTCGGTGAAGTCATATGGTCCCAGCCACGGACAAAACAGGGTCCAACAGCTTCAGCCACATGAAGTCATTGGCTTCACATGCAAGTGAAAGTTGGATCGACCATCACAACAATCGATTCACGAACATTTATTTAAACCTTTGTCCACGTCGACGGTAGGTCTTTCCACTCCATATCAGCTACATTTTTGCAACTGCACGCTTCATCTCAACCTCAAACTTACATACCTCGCATCAACCTCAACCACAACCACAACACTTCACACACCAAACACCAACAACATGTCTGACAAGAACACCTCCACCCTTCAGTCGTACATCGACTCTGCCTCTGGCGCCGCTCAGTCTGCTCTGGGTTCGCTAATCGGCAGCAACGCCGACAAGGTACACCCAGCCCCCTCCTACCCAAACAAAACACTAACACTCTCCTCANNGAACGCCGGCGAGAACAAGAAAGCCGAAGCCGACCTCAAGAACGACGCCTCGCACGCCGGCGCCAACATCGGCGGCTACAGTGTATCCGCCTCCGGCGTCGCCGCCAACGACCCCAACCGCAGCGCCGGCAGCTGGAACCAGACCCTCGGCTCAGGCAAGGAAGCTCTCGGCAACTTCGTCGGCAACGAGAGCTTGAAGCAGCAGGGAGCAGAGCAAAACGCACAAGGCAAAGAGCAAGAAGCCAAGGGCCAACTCAATGATTTGGGCTCGGGCATTGCCGACCGTGTGTCTGGCACTGTTGGTGGTGCTGTTGCGGGCATCACTGGCAATGAGGCTGATAAGGCAAAGTATCAGGCCAAGCACGACGAGGGCAAGACTCAGCAGCGTGGTGTTGAGGCTGACCTCGACAAGCAGGCTAGAGCTTAAGGCTCTTGCAGCATACACGTGCGCATAGTCGCAGCATCAACATGGGATAGACTAGGAGGGATGATTTTTCTGGGATGATACCACCAACTGCGATAGCCATGATTATGACGAACTCACGACTTTCACCTTGTTATCACGTTTGCTCCTGTGTTTTAGCCATGCAACCGACTTATCGTGATATGAGTGAGGTCTAATTCACTCCTACAGTCAGTCCATGACGGCGTCTCACAATTGCATAATCAAGACATATAAGCCAGGTATAAACAACAATGGTGAGCAAGGAAGCAAGAACGATGCCAAAAGCAAGACAACCTTCCCCCCTAACCATGATCACCCGAGAGAACCTTACATCGGTCAAACCACGAGGCTAATTACACCGACAACACCCGCCTACAACGCTTTCCTCCGCCTCCCAACAATCACGCGTTCTAACAATGCATCATGCCTTTCCGCAAACCCATCATTTTCTAGGCAGTACTCTAGAAACTCTCACAAACAATGCACAAACCATTGGACATTCGCTTTCTTTTGTTGCACCAAAAGTCTCGTGCAGTCCATCCATACCTTATGTTCAGTCAAGGCAAGCACGAGAGTTTCAAGGAGCGCAGTGTCGACATCGACCCCATTGTCGAACATGAGTCGTACATCCTCAAAGAAACAATGGTAAGGGAACATGTCGACGAACAGGGCCAAATGTGAAGGAGAACTCAGATTGGCAAGGATGAGCAGATGAGTAGGATAGAGGGCTTCATGAGGTGCTTCTCAAGCAAGCAAGTAAGCAATCTCCATCTTTCATTCACGTCTTGTTCACTTTTGTCTGCCTAGCATACTTCTCAAACCTTCCAGGGTCTTGTGTAATGCATTGTTCCATGTCTCATCCCTCCTTGAGTTTCTTACTTGAACCTTGCTGCTCGACATCAATCCTCTGTCTTTTGACACCTGATCCAGCGCCAAGAGCCTTGGTTTCCTCGACTGGAGGTGGACCGCCAGGCAGCGGTGGCATCAGAACACCGTCGTTCAGAGTCCAGCCCTCTCTTTGCAGTCTCCTGAGTCTTTGTCCTACTTCCAAGCGAACCAAATCGCCTGTCGCGCGTGCGTCTTCGAGAGAGTCGTGGCCAGAGGCTCCTCCCATCTGGATGTCACGGCCGAGATGGCGTTTGGTAAGCATCTTGAGACCAAATCGGAAGGGTAGACCACGAGGATGTGGGAATAGGATGATTGTGTCGATGATGGTAGGGTGACACAGGCGAGTAGAGTTGAGGTCGTTTTCGATGCCATGGCCGATTAGAGGGGTAGTTGGGGTGAGGAAAGAGCACAGGAGGTCTCTTGCGGCGGCAGGACTTGAGACGATCGGCAGTGGACCGCCAGTGGGACCATCGAGAAGCGGTAGAGGGGCAGAGCTGCCAGGTGGCGGAGGTGGCAATAGCGCATCCATGGCCACTTTTTCCTCATACGGTACAGCAGAGCTATACATTTCCGGCGTCACACCCGACCAGCGAGTGTTGAGATCGAGAATAGTGCCTTGAGGACGGACGAGCACATCAACCAGACAATAGCCTTCTGGCCAGGACACTGCGGTCAGGCGAATGAGCTCGAGGCCACACACAGTATAGCCCATTTCGCAATCAAAGGTGACGGCGTTGGGCGATTTTCCATCAGGTCCTTTGGCGGGTTTGCGGTTCTCTGGGGTGTTGATGAAAGGAAGAATGGATGCGAGTCTCTTGCCTTCGCTGACCTTGAAGACGTGCGTTTCGCAGTGTGTGCAACCTGGAGTGCCTTGTAACTCCTGGCAGCAAGGATAGATGGCCTCCTTTGGGCCCTTGATGGCATCTGTCTTCTCACGTCGGGGTGTGAAGGGCTTGGCCCAGTGGTAAGTGCAGGGTCCATTTGTTGTCAAAGCACCGTCTTCTTCTCTGCGCTCTTCGAACACCTTGAACCGGGATTTGCAGCGATCGCATACCTCATAGTTGAGGGAAGCTGCCACACCGGCTTTGGCATCGGCGATTTCTTTATCAGTCGGTGGTATAGGCACATAGCCGTGTTTGGCTAGATTGGTCTGGTCGGTTATCAGATGAGGGAGAACGATGTGTTCCTGCCCCAAAGGCAAACCAGTATTGATCGGTGGCGGCAATGTGGTTTGGCTTTCCTGTAGATCGACTTTGACAGTTGCAATCACGTGGGCGATCCAATCATCAATGGCCATCTTCTTGAGAGCCGCAACACGCATCTTGATGACGTTGGCATAGATCTTGTGGTTTTCTCGCGCCGTCTTCTCCTCTTCGTCCAGAGCAACCTTGATGAGTTCGTTAGACGTCATGGTCAAGGCAGCCTTCTTAGCGTGCGAGCCTTTGGCAACTGCAGCGTTCAAGCGTTCCATCTCAGCGTGAAGATGCTTGAGGAATAAGGTACGCTTTGCATGACCAGCAGGATCATTGGGAATCATGCGAGGATTCAGAGACTCTTTGATAGCAGACTTTGCAGGAGCGGGCTTTGATGATGCAGTGGGCGGCTTGAGAGGAGGGCTCACTGGCCTTTGCAATGTCTTGAGGATCTTAGGCGGAGTTGGAGCTGGAGCTGGAGCGGGCGTCGTGGGCTTCTGTTGATTGATTGTGGTGGATCCATTTGTTGCAAAGCCATTGGCGGTGTTACCAGAAGAGACAGTGACAGAAACGGCAGGTATTGTGGTTGATTCGGTTCCTGGATTCAACTTNNTTCTCTTCTTGGATGCGCTCTCGTGAGCCTCTTCCGAACCAGTAGTGGCTTGAGGTCGCAACTCATGAGAGAAGATGCAGTGAATTATGCTGCACTTCTCACCCTCGGGACATGGTATGCCTTTGAAGAGACCAGTGGTTGAAAACATGGTGCCTCAATGGGTGCCAAACAAGGGCAGGTCGACTTTGACGGAGAGGGATTTAGTGGCCTAAACACACTTGATAGATGCGTACATGTTTACCTGAATGGAATGAGTGTGACTTGGTTCAGATCATGTGAATGGTAGGAAAGTGGTTGCTGAACAAGGTAGTTTACTTTACTCGTCGAAAGATCTTTACGAGCCAGGTGAGCAGCGGATGCCGAGTTCAGCTTCTCGATTAAAAGCGTCGACACAAGCGGCAGTAGCTATCGACGCAGGCTAAAGTCTTTACAAGAATAAAGCGGCTCTTCACTCTTCCAGGCTAGATGCCATCGGGACGGTGATCCTTCGACGAATAAAGTTGTTCCAGGAGAGGCGCGAAAGACAGAGCCCGCCGGACTTTCAAATGCGCCGAGAGACAGGAGTCGCGACGTCATCATCAACGGCAAAGGGACAACTCAGGCAGCCAGATTGTTTCTTCTCCTTGATGCAAGTTATATGTCTTTCGAGTCGTTCAAAGACCATGGACGTACAGCTTTCATAGCCGCTTCAGAAGAACTACAGTCGCGTTGGAAGACCGAGGCTACGGCTACAGAAAGAGGTATGGCTGATCATCTATGTATCTTGATTCACGGGTAGACTCTCTTCTCTCTCCTTCTTCCATCCAGGTCGTGTAGCTAACATAGCCGCTGACTAGANCTCTGGGGCAATCCGAAACACCTCAAGAATCTCGCCACGTCGCTGCAAGCCGAATACCCTAAAGACAAGCTACACGTCCTCGTCACCAAGAGCAACTCGAACAACTTTACCTACGATGGCATTGAGCTGGGAGGCGAGCGTACCGCCAATGAGGTCGAGGAGGAGATCAAGAAACTCGAGAAAGATGACATCAAGGTCACGAAGATAAGCATTGTCGGCTACTCGCTGGGCGGCCTGGTCGCACGTTACGTCGTTGGTCTGTTGTACTCAAAGGGCTACTTCGATCGCATACAACCCATGAACTTTACCACATTCGCGACACCACATTTGGGTGTGCGATCACCTCTCCTTGGACCGCACAACTACCTTTGGAACGTCCTTGGTGCCCGTACTCTGAGCACCTCTGGTCGCCAGCTCTTCACCGTTGATTCCTTCCGCGACACGGGCCGTCCACTTTTGACTGTACTGGCAGATCCGAATAGTATCTTCATCCGTGGTCTAGCCAAGTTCAAGCACCGAACTCTTTACTCCAACATTGTCAATGATCGCAGTGTTGTCTACTACACCAGTTGCATCACTCACAAGGACCCCTTCGTCGACCTTGACGCTGTCGATCTGCAACCACTGCCTGGCTACGATGGTGTCTTGCTACGCCCTGATGAACCTGTCCGCCCCAAGATTCGAGCCTCGCTCGGCTTCTGGGCCCGCGTGAGAGCCACAAGCTGGTCCACTCTGACAGCTGTCCCGTTCTATCTCCTGCTCGCCGTACTCATCCCAGTCGGTAGCATGCTCTTCCTTATAAACAGCGGAATCCAGACTATTCGGTCCGCACAGCGCGTTCGCCTGCATGAATCTGGTGGTGCGGCTTTTGGTATCGAGCGATATCGAACTAATCTACTCCTCGAAGAAGTCCAGAATCTCGAGGAGCGCGTTTACGAACATGTGAACTCCGAACAAGGCCAAGACTACCTGCCTACGCCACCATCTGAAGATGACGAGCGTTTCTCCAAGGCCGAACACACTGGCAGCCAGTTCAAGGGACAAGAGAAATTCCCTACGCTTGCCCTCACATCAGACCAATTTTACATGATCGACGGATTGGATAGTGTAGGCTTCACAAAGTACCCGGTACACATCAGCAAAGTCCGACATACACATGCGGCGATTGTTGTAAGGACGAATCGCTGGGGCTTTGATGAAGGCAAGATTGTCGTTGGGCATTGGGTTAAGCACTTTGAGGTTTAGAAGTCACATTTTCGCATTTCTTGTTTATTGTTTTGGTCTAGATGATCCAGCTTAGAATATACATTGATGTTGCTCTCGGATAGCTTGTAATACATAAACTGTCTGACCATATGCTATAGACAAACACATTCTCAACATCAACCCCTCTCATGTGGTGATGCACAGTATTATCGTAAGCTATAGAAATGCACAATACTTTTCAGAAAGGACGCAGCATCCACTGAGAGTTAAGATCACACCAGCTCTCTATGGGTCTCGTCTCTTATCGTGAAGGACTGCATTTCTATAACTACCCTGTGACTGTCTATCACACATGAGAAGCAGTCAGGAGTGCTGGATGAAGTCAACGTGGCGACTGCAGAGTGCTATAACGGGCTCAGGAACACTCTCAAATAAGCTTGGACTTAGTTCTCCAACAGGAGCGATTGGTGAAGATGCTGACTTGTTGCATTATGTGTGATAGACGACTGGGAACAGACAAGAACATTCGTGACCAGGTCGACGAAGCAGGTCGACGCCGAGACGAGCGGACACCGACATGCGATCACGCTCAGAGAGGCTGAATTGCGTATATCTCTGAGCTGACACTTGCCTCTCTAACAACAACTTCTGTACAGACCCAAAGACAAGAAGACCACCACGATGTCTGACAACGAGAACGCTTCCCCTAGTGGGGCACACGGCGCGGGCCGAGCCGTCCAGTGGCTGTTGACAGGGCCCGTGCTTCTATCTCCAATCCAGCTGGGTCCAGTTCAGCTACGCCAGCGTTACCAACCTCCGGCCTTTCCTTCCACCATCTTCTCATTTGGCGAGTACGAGGACGAGGCTCACGAAGAAGATCACTCTACACCCAGTCCAGTTCGTAGTGCTGACATGGACATATACTCGTCCGGTGGTTACGGCGGCGACATAAACACAAGCTCGGAAGTTGACGACGAAATGGACTTCTATGAGGTTGACTCGTCTCAACCGCCAGTCACGGCCGACGCAGTGAGATCTCCTCATCCTCGCATTCTATACAACAGCTTGACCCTTGCTGACTCAAAATCTCANCAGCCACACACGCTTCCCTCGACTACGATGGGTAATGCTTTGGGCATGACAGAGAGAGCCGATGGCTCCAACACTGCTTCCGGCAATGCTCCTGTTAAGGTCAACACGGCCAAGCTCCATGAACTGCGCGCAAAACTGCTTGCCAATCGCCATGCCACTCCTGTCAAGGACGCTTTAAACCCTGCCAACAATGCCAACCCTGTCGCCGTCAAGACCGAGTCGCAGTCCCGACCCCAGAGTCCCGCCCTCACTCCCAAATCTGCTGCAACCACGAACAAGGCCGATCTACAGGCATCCACATCCAAACACAACAGACCAACTGCTGCTTCAATGCTCAGCCATTCCAACTCAGTCGATGCTCTCTTAGCCGAGGGACATGCAACTGTCAACATGTCGCAGTCTGACATCAAGACCCAACAGAAGACTGCCCCAAAGAAGCAGCTCAACACAACAGACTCTACAAGCAAGCCATTTGCAGCCAAGAACACTGCTGCACCCAGGCCAGCTCAATTGTCTGCTGCCCTAAACACACATTCCAATACTGCTGAACAGATCATCGCAAACAGCGACAAGTCTTCGTCGACTGCCAAGTCGCCAGGCACACCTGAAAAACAGCAAAACAAGAATAACAGTCTGCCCAAGCAGAAGTCAAATATCGCCTCTCCTGTGCCCGAACAGAAATCACCCAATGACAAGAGTCTTGACATGACCACTAACCAGCATGCCAACAGAACCAAGCCTGTGCATCCCTTGTCCAGTGGACCTCTGCACAAGCACAATCTCAGCCTGACAGCCAAGCCCACTAAGGAAACAGAGGATGAGTATTTCAAGGATGTTGATTTGTGGCTTTCCATCACTGGATTCCACGACGTTGCCTTCCGCGAACAAAAGCTCAAGACACACAAGATGCGTGCTGCACTTGAAGAAAAGAGACGTGCTCTGGAACGTGAATTTGCCGAACTTGAGCGTCAAGAGGCTGCTGTGGCTAACGACCCTAGCACCAAGGACTACATGCGCGCTGTCTCGGCTGCTTATATGCCGCCTCCACCTCTCCCTGCCCAGACCTCGACTGACGAGCAGTCCGCTCCCTTGACCAAGGCCAGTCCTGTGCCTTCTCAGCTTGCCCCGGCTGGCACCAAACGCCCTCGCTCGCCGTCTGCTCCTCTGAACAACAACCGTGAGAAGTTGACCCGTCTGAACACTTCTGGTCGTGCTGTGCGTAGAGATGATTTGTTTGACAAGCCTCTATCCACCAGTACTTCCAGACGTGGTTCCGACCAGAGGTAAATTGAACATAATCAGACACCCAGGCTGAACGAGAGTCGACTACAGATAGCTGACTTCATGATNAGATCTCACTATACCAACGATAGACCCGACTACCGTCAACGCTCTAATTTCGATGCCTCTCCTACCCATCAGTCTATCTCTGTTCGTGGTCAGGCTTTCCGTCCTAATGACAGTCCCTTCGGTCGTCGTGAGTCCTGGGCTCCCAGATCTCCTGAACAATCGTCCGCGCGCCCTCATGGATGGAACTCTGCTTCGTTCCCAGATGTCAATGAGCAGCCCGTTGGCCAAGGTGGCTACTCGAGCAACAAATGTGGGTACAAGCCTTCCGACCCCAGAAACAGATACAACAGATGAAGCTGTTTCATATCTGGCTTTTACATGCGTACATGATCACAACGATTACTTGGCGTTCAATTGGAAGATTTAGAAAGCCCTTTCTTCCTGGCATGATTAGCATTTTTGATAGCGAGGAGTTTTGGGAATATTCAACAAATGCCCAACACACGAAATAAATGCTTTTCTGTTTTACCCACTTTTTACACTATTATTTTATCCACGTCGTTCCATGGTCGAAAGAAAGCATACGTGCATTCAGAGCATACTCGCTAACTCAAAGACTTTANNAACAGCCGACCAGGAACGATTCTTCATCATAAAATCCTGGAATATGCAAAACGTTATTGAAGCGCAAAGAGATGGCGTCTGGGCCACCCAAGAGAAAAATACACGCCTGTTCACGGATGCCTTCCATACCTGTCGCTCGGTTGTATTGCTCTTCAGTGTCAACAAGAGCATGGCTTTCCAAGGCGCTGTAAGCATCTCCATCACCATCCCTCTCCCACCACACCCAAATTCTAACAACATCACTTTGCAGGCTGTCATGACAAGCCCACCCTCACCGACTGTCCCTCAGCCACTGTTCTGNCAAAAACTCAAATGGCCCTGCTCACCACCCTTCCGTATACGCTGGATCTGCAAAACGCCCGTGCACTTTAAATTTGTGGGACACCTTAGAAATACGATGAATCCTGATGACAATGGTCAGCCGCATGCTGTGCTTGTTGGTAAAGATGGACAAGAGGTTAATACATTGACTGGACAGGGTGTAGTGGAGATATTGAGACAGAGTGATGAAGAGGCTAGAGGAGAGGATGATAGACCTTGAAAAGAGTTTTGCTGGGGTTCTATGCTTTGCCCAGCAGAGGAGGAGGAGTATGCAAAGGTATGGTTATAAGTAAACTGATAAAAAGTTGTCGATAGCTTTAGGGCATGGAAAAGGATCCACGATATGACTTTCTTGCTGCATACAAGATCTTGTGTTTGCTTTCAACAACGAAATCTTGGGATATCTGCGATCGATCAATGTGGAGAATCGTGTTTCTGGTCTTTCTGTAAAGCCAATAAAACAACGCTACTGTCGTATGCCATATGTCCAACTTTCATGGTATAAGTCTCGTGTATCACCCTGACCCAACTGTTATCCTAATGCTCACCTTGAGAACTGGCTACGACTAACACACTTTAGATACAAGACTCGTTGTCTAGCAGTATTTTACTTGTCTTTCAAGGCAGTACGAATATTTATTATATACTTTCCTCTTAGGTATTATAAGCATTTTTGTCGATCCTGGCACGTTTCCCCATCCACGCCACTTACACCACCCTTCCATGGAGCAATAGAATACAATCGAAAAGTCCTCAGAAACCACTCATAGCCAACAAAGCACCCATCCCGCACACGATCCAACTCCACTACCTCTGCATACAAGCCCATGGGTTGAGCTCTGATAACCTTGTTTCCGTCGGCAAGGCTGTCGTACATACGTCGACATCCGTCTGCAAATGTCGTATCTTGTCTGAGTAGGCTGATGACGCTCGGATTTGCTTCTTGCACGAATCTGATGGCGAATCTGCACATGAAGAGCAGAACTCTTAATCTTTCGCCATCGGTGACGTGGGGGCCAGGGTGGGAGAGGCGATGCATTATGCTGTGGAAATTTGAGACTTGGACTTCGGAGAGTGATCTTGGGTCGTGGTTTGGTATTGTGGTTGGATTCGAAGGCTGGTTGTTGCTCGAGACTGGATCTTGGTGACTGGGAGAGCTCGCATCTCTCTGTGAAGAGGAGCCAGCAATTGGCGGTTCGACTAGAGGATGGGATTCGGGTTCGGATTTGGGTTGCTAACCGCCTTCTCCCCATTGCGAGTTGTCGGAGCCTGACGGGGCATCCATTTGTTGGTTGGTTATAAGAGAGGTATAGTATAGTCTTGATGATGCTTGAATGATGCCAAATCACAATGTTCGATCAAGAATTGTGGTGTTCTGAGGTGAAGAAATGGTTCGAGTAAAATTGGCGTCTCGATGTTTTGTCACGGAAGCCTGTTGAGCAGGAGCGACTGCGGTTGCACCACTGTTCCTGCCTTCCATCTGACTGCTGTTTCCAAGACGGGCCACCTTCCTTGGTGGCTCGTCGTCTGTGAGATCAATCACATTTCGCTTCACGCCCAAGACCTTCGCAACGCGTAATTTGGCGGCTTCATTAAGCCTGTTTTCTTCTGTGCGAGCAAGGCCAGCAGAGGAGACAGGCAAACTGGAGAAACACGATCTGCTGCTCATAGCAACCTATCCTCATAAGGTGTTAATTGTCGCCAGAATGTTAAATGTTGACGATTGTTCAGGAATCATGGCCGGGTATCTGAGATTCGCGTCAAAAGAAGGGCGTGTTTTGTCGTGTCGGCTTGACAAACTCTTGCAGACCAGTCACATGAGAAAGCAGTATAACAAGAGGGTACAACGAACAACGTGCTGCCACTCCATGTGCTAGGAGCTGTCACGTCATAAGCTGTCTCAATACATGATATTTTTGCATGAGATCCATTTCCACTGAGAGACATCATTTCAGCATATCTCTATGGCCAGACTTCGAACCAAGAAAGCAACTATGCGTTTCTATAGCTTTCGATGTCGCCAAGTTACCGTGGAAGAGGGCTCGATTGAAGGATTGTGACAGTCCCCCGACACAAGGCGGAAGACAGAGGCGAATTGTCGTGGGCATGGCTAGAGCATAATCTTTCTTGAGCTCCAGCCGTTGGGGTTTGAGTTGCCCCGGCCCGCCTGGGAAGCTCTCGCTCCGGGACCCGAAAATGCTTCCACATCCCGACTTTACTTCCATACCATCCGGAGTATGGTCCTGATCACATTTGATATCCCTGGTCTCCTCGTTGATTTTAAAGCTGTCGTTGACGATGGAATCTATCTTGCATGTATATGTAGCCCTGAAGGCACGTCTTGTCACTCTTCTCAATACACACTTTCCACTTCAACCTCAAGAACGCACCAAGCAGACCCCCTCGTTTCATCCTTTTGCCTATTCAAATCCTCTGCCAAACAATGACTCCTACCATTCTCGTAGTCGGTGCAACTGGCAACACTGGCAGAAGCGTCGTCGAAACTCTGCCATCTTTGATCAAGAAAACCTCCTCCCTCTCCAACCACCGCATCCTCTGTCTCACCCGTTCGGCATCAAGCGATGCTGCCAAGGAGCTCGCTAAGATCCCTGCTGTCGAGATCGTCGAGCAGAACTGGGTTGAGATTGACGCGACCTGGCTACAGGAACACAACGTCGAGCGCGTCTTCGTCGCTTCGCACAACGAACCCAATCAGTTCGCCGAAGAAAGTCAGTTTTATACCAACTGCCTGGTGGCTGATGTGAAGTATGCGGTTCGCATTTCCACTACGCATGCGAACATCAGGCCAAATTTCCTTGCGTACTACCCTCGTACGCATTGGGCGATTGAGATGATGCTCAGTCAGCCTGAGTATAGAGATCTGGCCTGGACGTCTCTGCAGCCCCAAGGCTTCCTTTCCATGTTCCTGAGTTCTGCTGCAGAGTTCGTGAAGAGTTATCGCAGAACTGGCGAGCAGGGCACGTTGTCCTCTATGATTGATGCCGATACTCCTTATGCCCTGGTCGACTCTGGCGAGGTTGGCATTGTTGCTGCCCACCTTCTCGCTCAAGAAGACGTCACACCCCACAACAACAAGAAATACATCGTCAATGGCCCCGAAGACTTTTCTGGAAGAAAGCTTGTCGATTTGGTTGAGGAGCATATCCGAACAAAAGTGGATGAGGACAAAGTTGTGTTCCAAGATATGTCCTTCCTCGATCAGATGGCAAAGGGCCCGCATTCGAAGAACCTCATCTATTCTATCGAACACGCTCCGAAGAATAACAAGGATGTCACTTGCAGGGCCGCAGCCACAAGCAAGGCGATCCTTGATTTATATGCGCCTAGGCGCTCGGCTTCTGATGTCATGAAGGACTTGTTGTCGCAGCAGACAGTTCGAGTGTTCCAAATTGCCTTTTCTCTATCCTTTCACGTTTCTGATGCAGGTGATCTAAACTCTTTGTTTGCGGGTAAGCTGCTGATAGAACCAGTATCGTCGCGTGTCGTGAAACGGAAGGATTCATGGTCCGCGATGCTTTGTGCTTGTGACCTGAAAGTGCAACATAAACGGCTGTCCATGTATCATCGTCTAGAGATCTAATGCCTCGAGGTGGCGGTCCATGCACCCTCCTATTACAACGACGTGTAATGCTGGTTGTGCAACACATGGTATACATGAGTCCAAGGCCGTGATCAAAGCTTGGCCGTATCCTTTTCCAGGGCCTCAACTTCTTGTTTCAAAGCTTCCCTAATATTTTGAGCCAGCACAACCGCCTCTTCCTCGTCTAACTCTTCTCTCTGACCTCGACCAAACATCTTCCAGCTCTTGATCTCGAAAGTGTCACCCTTGCTTTTCTTTGATGGGGGACGACGACCTTCGGAGTACCTAGGGATGAAGTGGAAATGCACATGAGGCACAACTTGAGCGGCACGTATTCCGTTGTTCTGTACAACATTCCAGTCCTCGACATCCAGCGTTTTGGCAAGTGCTCTTGACATTAGTGGCATCCAGTATCCTAGGGCTTGGGCAGTAGGCCCAATAGGCACTTCACTCAGTTTCTCGTGATGTACGCGCGTGGTGAGCAAGACATGTCCAGTGGTCATGGGCAGGATATCCAGGAAGGCGAGAACATGATCAGAGGATAGGATAACGAAGGCATTGGGGTCAACGAGAGTTGGGTCGGGAGCCGAGGGTATGGGTGTGCCGGACGATGCAGGATACGCCTCGCTTATACGACAAAATGGACAATTCGAAGGATAGTGCGACTCGAGCGACATGGCGGATGTTCCTTCTCAAAGGATGCAGCTATGCGTTGTCTGTTGGACCTGTTTTGAAAGGCTGAACAGAACCTCGGATGGAAGTCGCGCTCCAGTATTGCCAAGACTTCTCTACCGCGTCGTCATTCTCTCCACAGCTCTCAGAGTGCCTCCTGGGAAACTGCCGAGGGATCGGGTCGTGGTGACAGTCGCATTCAACCCGAGCGACTTGTACCAAACCAGTGTGATTCGGCACCAGTCAACCGTTATGGAACGCTGAATAGGTATTTGTCTTTCTTGTTGCTGTGACTGTGGTTCATCCTGCAGAATGCTGACCCATCTGTCCTGCCAAGATCTCGCTGAATCTCAAACCTCTCAATTCGAAACTCTTGCGGCCGGTACGGCAACTTTATGGGACTCACCTGCTAGTCTCTCCCTGAGCTCGTAAAGACGGGCACCGATTCATGTTCTTCTCATCTACAAGTCACACGAGTCGCTAATGGCACGACTGCGATTTTCGTTCTTCTCAACAACCAAGTGCGTACAAGTATGATTCATGTCTATCGTCTATCGACAACCACTCGGTGCACTAGTCTCCTCATGACTGACCTGAGCCCTAACACGCCGAGCTCAGGTCCTGAAACAACATGCTCTAAGAAAAGGGTGTCGTGTCGCCATAGAGCCGCCCCAGCCGCTTTTTTAGGGCCCCCAAGCTCATCACTACATGCTCTAGGTAGGACTTTCTCAGCCCCTCAACCGTCAAGCAGAGAAGACGGACTTGCTCCATCATGTCGATTCATGCTAGTTGATACGCCACATACATTGATCCTTCGCAAGTACCCAAAACATCTGGTTACAACAAGGAGAAACAGTTGTGTCCCAACCGTGAGAATCACTTCACAGTCTCCAAGCGAAGTGCCCACAACTCAACCCGCACACGATCCAAACATACTGTTCTGACGCAACCATCCAATGTGATATGATTACTCTGTGGACGGGATAAGTTCGCTAATAACGTCTATACTCCTAATCCACAGTATGCACCGTCCACCAACCCGGTTGGTTGCCATTCTTCCGAACGATCAGTGCACGAACCGTTTGCCCGTCGAGCCCCGCTACCTTTCTATTCCTCATAGGGCAATATCTCTCACGATCATGCTACATCAAATTCGCAAGGCAGGTCCACACTTGCTCGAGGATTGATACTGGCGTGGGACAAGTGCGCCGTCCATTCCGCTAAAGAGCTGATCCTTCGAATGTAGATCACCTCGTGGCAGGTGTGGTGCCTGCATATGCAAGAATATGTACCCTAACTCTCCCTAAGGGGTTCGTCTATCTCTTTTGCATTCTTCTTCGTTTTGTCTACCTGTCGGCATTGTTAAGGAGCCGAATCCAGGATACCGGTTCTCGCTGTCGCTCTCTAAATCCCAAACGCCATTTTGTACTATAATTACCTTCGCTCTCTACTCTACCACACATCTCTTTCATCTTGATACTCTTATAATTCCGGTCTTCTGGAACAACCAAGCTCTCTCCCAAGGGGTACAAAGCTTCCAGAATGACGAACCACCATACAGGCCATGGATCGAGAGGCTCTACTGGCGTCATCGTAGCCATTGTCTCGACTTCTATCGCGTTTGTTGTACTCAGCTTGAGGATGTTCACGAGGGGTTTAATCGTTCGCAATATTGGACCTGAGGACTTTGTTATACTCGCTGCTTTTGCATTGTCTGTTGCACTCACAGCTCTCATCTGCATTGAAGTGCAAAATGGGCAAGGTATGAAATCTCAGTCAACAACCCTCTTGATTAACATCAGTCTAACGTTTCTCTCAGGTCGACACTATTCGTCTGTATCACCAGAAGAGTTGAAACAGCTGAACAAGGTGAGTACGCCAAGGTGCTTCGATAGTATGTTCACTGACATTTTCTCNAAGGCATTTTGGGCCAGTGTTCCTGTCTACCAAGCCAGCTTGAGCTTGACCAAGATTTCTATTCTGCTTCAATACCGACGTGTCTTCGTCGGCTCTGACATCCAGCGGATCATCACCGGTTCGATCGGCGTGATCGTTGTTTACGGACTATGGTCTGTGTTCAGCACTGCATTCATGTGCACACCAGTGTCCTATTTCTGGGATACCAGCATCAGCGGCCACTGTTTGAGTCGCATGGGAGTGTGGTTTGCCAATGCCTCCCTGAACATCATTACCGATGTAGTGATATGTCTGATGCCAGTGCCTGTCCTGAACCGGCTTCTGCTTCCGCGCAAGCAGAAGTATGCACTTATCGCTGTGTTCTGTTTGGGACTTTTCGTCTGCCTGACTTCTATCCTACGACTCAAAGCACTCTATCAAATCTCCGTCTCCACCGACATCACCTGGGACAACACACCCGCAGCATACTGGTCCTCATTGGAAGCCAACTTTTCTGTCGTTGCCGCCTGCCTGCCCACCCTTCGCAAAACCATATCACGCTTCTTCCCTCGCTTGTTCTCGTCACACTCGAATTCCGACTCCAATCATCGATACATCCCCTCTCGCAAACCCAAAACCAAGTCACGCACAAACAACGACACAAGTGGCTTCGCCAAATTCGCCATCACATCACACGCCGCGCAAGCGGAATGGGAACAAGGTCTGGAGACCCAAAACGGCAATGCTCGAGGATTGTCACACAAGGTTGAGATGGACACCATCATACAAAAGACAAGATTGAGCGATGACAGCGAGGATGGCAAGACGATGGTAGAAAGCGAACTCGAGGACGGGCGCATCAGAGTCATGACTACCATCGTTACGCACGAGTTGACACCCTCGGTGTCTGAGATGGATTCATCGATAGATCCGAGCTCATCAGCTTCGAATCCGAAAGAGAGGCATCTCGTATGAGACCAGGGCATACCTGCCAGTTGGTGGCTTTGTCATATTCACTTGTTTCATTCATTTTGTTATCGTATACCCCACCACCGCCATCGACACGGACTGCTTTGGTTTTTTCTTCTGTAATGACACTTTTGACGATCGCAATAAATGTGTCCTTCGCTTGCCCTATCCGACTTGGATTGATGGAGTCGCTGTGTAATTTATGATAATCGACTCCCGATCGTTCTTGCCCCAGCTCTTTGACACTTCACGTTTGGGCTTCAGGTTACATCCCTGTATCTGCTCAGGATTTGGGAAGGTTGACACACCGCCATCGTCCCTTCTGTCCGGAGAAGATTAACATGATCGTCTGCATACCCTGTCGTTCCCTTCGACCATCTGTCTTAGAGCTCTGCCACTCTAGAGCCTCCATCAATCAAAGTGCTGTCAAACACGTCGATTAAATGCTAAATACCTGACACATGGGTATGATAAGCAGACTGACACTCTCCACAGAGTCATGTTGTCGAGTCACAGATCGCCATGTCAGAGCTTTTTGTTCCCTCGAGTCAGACACAAACGCACGGACAAAGATATATATTCTACGATCAGAGAAAGGATCGTTGCACCAGATAATATGATCTACAGTTTAAGCAGAGACAGTGTAGCACGTGGGAGTGTGTTTGGGTATGGGGATTGACACTTGTGGTGATCGACTTGTCAGTGCTTTGGAACTACGTACTTGGTGGTATCAAAACTGGGGCATAGGGAGGACAAGTGAGACTGCGAGTGGCACACGATTGATCAGGATTCAACTGAGATACGAACATTGGTCTTATTCTCTAGCCTGGATGCTGAGATGATATCTGCTGTCTTGAAAAGTTTTCCATTTGTGGTATCCTAAATACCGATACTGTCAAATTTGATGGACAGCGGACATATGCATGCTTACTTTGAAGAGCAGCGACTTGCTACGATTGGTGAACAGACAGGCGCGAGTAGAGGTTTGTTTGTTTGCTGGTCTCAGTTTTCGGAGAGCATAGCATTAATCGGCCACATCATTCAAGCAGCTGTCACTATTATCTGCTTCTCTATCATCCTTACATGACCCAATCTCATATCCGTTAACACACATGGCGAACATTGAAAAACATTATTGTTTCCATCCAAAGAGAATGATGAGTTTCGAGTTGGTCAATACGATTTCACCTCTTCATGGACATCGGTCTGTCCATAATGAAAATAATGTGATTCGGCGACGCACACATAACAAACCCCAGCCTGGAGAGGCAAAGAAGATCCAAACCTACAATCACACACGAGCAAAAAGAACCAAGCCTCAACTTGGAAGAAACATCAATTTTGATCCGAAAGTCATGATCGCGACCAACCAAGGCGGAGAGTGGAGCCCACCACCATCTCTGGATTCTATTTATGCAAGACTTTTTGGGAAGAGGTTTCTATCGAGTAAGCCATGCTTTCATATAACCTAGAATGACAATCTCTCCGCCGAAGTTCTTGCCCTTTTTGGCTCGAAGCTTTGGAGGACCTCATACTCTCGCTTTTCTCAGTTTTCCCATTCAAAGTACTCGCCCATCTCCTTTTTCTCGAAGTGGACATCAAGAACATCAGCAGGACCCTCAGGCTCAGTACAAAACACAACACGAACGGTATGACCATGCTTAAGCGCAACCTAACCCATCATCAGTGCTCGCCCTCTCAAACCCGAAGCTTTCAAACATACCTCATCAGGAGTTTGCTCCGCATGCAGCCAATTGCGGTTCTCCTCCCACCAGTAGCCTGCGCCCGATGTCATAATTTTGCTGAAGGGCTGTCTGATGCGCATGGTTTTCCAGGTAGTGGTGAAGTGGCTTGTGGAGGAGGGATCGATGTTGGGGCTGAGGATGCGGATGGTGATTAAGGGGCCGAGAGAGTGGTAAGGTTTGGAGTCTTGGGGAAGGGCGGGCATGAAGTTGTCGGTTCTGGGAGGGTTGGCTGAGGGGAGGGTGTAGGTGGGTTCCTTCTTGGTGTTGTCGGTGATGGGAATGGTGGAGTTGTTCATGGTGTGCAAAGAGCCAGGAGTTGGCTCTGATGTTGGTGAGTGGATTGGCTGGTGTAGTCGGTTGGTGTGTGAAGAAGACGCGAGCTGCACTATATAGATGATTCCGATCACTTGACGCTCAGGCAGGATTTGGAATGTGGTAGACGGCGATCGCGAGTAAACAAAGCGACAGGCAAACAGATAACCTGGTTGTCGATTTCAGAAAGCTCTCTTTCGAAGTTTCACTTGAACAAGTCTTTGTTAGCGCACGGCTCATATGAGACAAATATTCAACAGTATAGCGCTGAACATGTAAAGTAGCATAGCAGACAATCAAACTATCTTGTGGGTAGAATCAGTCAGTACGAAAGGCTGCATTGAGAAAATTGTTGGTCGTATTTTCCATTACAGAAGACGTCCATCATTGAGTCGATCAAGAAAGCTTTTCATGAACATAAGGAATGGAATGTTGTTGTGCATTCAGATTCATACCCTACTGACTGCAACATCGACATCCTTGCCCTTCAAGCTGTTCACGTCTCCATGTTCGGAAGTTGTTTCGACCTCCTGGACTGCATCACTATGCAGAGTCTCAACAAACATCTTCCTCTTCGGCATGAGATATCTGACGTCCACGAATCTCAACACACAAGTCATGCAGATGACGACGAGCCACAAACTCAACGCAGTCTGCCATCCACATCTATAATAAGGTGCTTCTTTGGCAGGCCAGATCAAGATTCCAGACCACGCGGAAACAGCATAGTAGCCAGCAACACTTGTACCGACAATGAGGGATCGAGCTTCGGGGTCTTGGGGTATGAGTTCGGAGAGCCAGGAGAAGATTAGTGGTGCTGTGCCGAGTGAGAGGTAGGAGATGAAGTAACTGGCATATGCTGCGGAGACGGGTATGCTGGTAGGATTGCTTGTCCAGAGTGTCATGATGATGGCTGGTATTAGACCGATGAGTGCTTGTACGATGATGAGAGTCCAGCGTGTACGGAGTGTGTCGGAGAGGATGGCCCAGATCCAGACAAATGCTACGGCTATACCACCGCCTGCAATAGGGATGACATTGANTTGCTTCGGTAGACCTTTGGAAGACGTCAGTGCTAATTCAATAATTCGAAAGACATGGTCGACAAACCAGCGCTTCGATCCATCGGGGTTGGTGAGAGCCTTCAAGAATAAGTTGAAGTACGAGTAGCCTCNCTGAGCATGGACAGTTGCAATGTAAAGGGCTGCGATGAAGTACAATGTCCAGCCAGAGAAAGCACGCTTTGTACCTGCCCATGACAACTTCTTGGGCTCTGCTCTACCATGACGGGCGAGACGTTCCATAGCAAGCTCGGCATCCACTTTCTTGAACCAGAAGGCCCTGGGATTAGGATCATTTGGTACATCTGGCAGCATGAAGAAGCCCAAGATACCCCAGACTACCGTCATGATAGCATNCTGATCATTGGTCAATACGCATTGATGTTCAACAAGGATCGCAATGGACTTACTGATCACAAACAGCCATCGCCAGCCAGAAAGCCCTCTGCCTTCGAGCGTGGCAATGATAGCAGCTTGCAGCGCACCAGACATCATGTATCCCAGTGTCTGGCAAGATTGATAGAAACCCATTCTCTTCGCAAGCTCCATGGGCGTATACCAATGCATGAGCAAAGTCATCATGCCGGGCCAAGCACTCGACTCGCACAGTCCAAGAAAGACTCGCAAGACATATACCTGCTTTGCGTTTTTGCNTAATGCCATCAGACCTGTGATGACACCCCATGTAATCTCCAGGCCAGTGAGCCAGTAGCTGGGCCGGACATAGGTCATGATTGCTTGCGAGGGAATGAGCATGAGACAGTACGCGATGTTGAAGTATGTTTGGAAGTAGTTGAGTTCGTTTCCGTAGAGGTTTAGATCCTCTTTCATGCCAGACGCGTATGCGTTGTTGATGTTCTGCTGGTCCAAATATCAGGAGGAGAGTCAGACTGTCGGTCTATTCCACCTTTGATAAGTTTTGACCTACTTAATGACTTGACTGATGCACCCAAATGTGAGAAGAAACATATCTAGTCTTCTGACCAAAGCCTTTTCCTCAGGTGAACGATGCTCTAACTGCACGGCCGGCTTTGCCTTCCTGAAGAGAGTTGATAAGCCCATGGTGGTAATGTGAGAGAGCCGACTAAGGTGGACCAAGAAAAAGGGCAATGTTCTTCGCAGCAAAGATACAATAAGGATCAGAAGGATGTTATGAACCTTTTGATGAAGCACTATCATGTTGTCCTGCATGTTGCAGCAAAGGGGTGATAGGCGAGGCATCATCTACGCCACAAGGATTCCGATAAGACATAATTGTCCTTGTGATACCGCATATTAGTCCGTGAGGTTACTCCGTCTTGTAGTACCCCGATATCGTCGGCAGAATGCTTGTATGTATCAAGACTCGGGAGGAAGAGCGAGGAGGGGAACAGTGGAGGTCAAGATGTCTTGGCAGGTGCGATCGCCACCAATCACCTTTATCGTCGACTGCTCATCTTCCTTCGAGTTGTTCGGCCACCGGCCAAGCATAGATAGGCAGTCGATAGAGCATCTGCCGGAAACCTATGTCGGCTGTAAAGTCACGAGGTCGCGAAAGAAGATATGTGAAAACAGGAAGTCAAGTTCAAAGGAACCTGGACCTGAATTAGCGACGACATCTATACCTCAGCCTACTGAACCAGATCATCGTCTTTAGAACTACGATTCGTCGAAGCGAACTCTCGACAGTCATTTTGACAAACAGAGATCAGAACAGAACAACTGGTCAACATGCCTTCCGCACAGCTTGCAACACCTCCTGCCACCCCCTCTGGTCTGGAACCCTCTCTACCTCTTGCTTCACCATGTCTGTCATACTGGCATAAAACCACTCGCGGCTTCGCTCATCTCAATGCCAACAAAGATATCCCCACACCAGAAACAGCCGACTACGTGATTATCGGCTCAGGCATTTCTGGTGCCTTGACAGCCTTCTCGCTCATCGACTCCGGCATCCCTGGCAACAAAATCCTCATCCTCGAAGCTCGAGAAGCAGTATCAGGCGCTAGCGGTAGAAATGCCGGACACGTTCGCCCCGATGCGTTCAGAGGTTATGCTGCATACGCAGCTGTCCATGGTCCCGAGCAAGCAAAGAAAATCATCGTAGAGGAAAGAAAAGTGTTGCATGCTGTGGACGAGTTTGTGCGTCGACACAATGTTCCTTGCGACTTTGATCTTACCACTACGTTTGATGTGTGCTTGACGCCTGAGTTTGCTGCGTACGAAGCAAAGAGCTTTGAGGCGTATAAGGCGGCTGGAGGAGATGTGTCGCATGTACGATTCTATGAGGGCGATGAGGCGAAAAACAGAACAAGAGTTCCGGAGGCTATTGCTGCGTATGAGTGGCCTGCTGGATCTAGTCATCCTGCCAAATTGGCACAGTGGCTGTTGAGCAGTGTCATCAACAAGGGCGCACAGCTGTGGACGCACTGTCCTGCGATTGCAGTGACCGAGTCGAAGCGTCCAGGATATCGATGGGACGTACGTACACCGCGAGGCACCATCGCGGCGCAAACGATTGTGCACAGCACCAATGCGTATGCCGCAGCATTACTTCCTCACCTCAACGGCTACATCACGCCGAACAGAGCACAAGCACATTCGCTCATACCCACCTCTGCCTTCAGTGCTGAGAAGGCTTTCACCAGCACCATGTCGCTCAGATACAGCCTTCATCACTTCTACTCGGTCATCCAGAGGAAAGGCGATGGAACCGTTGTCCTCGGCGTCTCTAGATCAAATCCAGAGCTCAGCGAAGAGACACTGGCAGTACGAGAGAGTTTTGACGATGGTGCTTTCAATCAAGAGATAGTCGATGATGCACTGAAGCGCTTCGGAATCATGTTTCCAGAACATGTTACGAAGCGCGAGCGTCATGGCGAAGGGCTGGATCATGCGTGGACAGGAATCATCGCTATGACNCCTGATTCAGTACCGTATGTCGGCGCTATTGAAGAGTTGCCTGGGCAATACATCTGTGCTGGATTCAATGGACATGGGTAAGTGAACAAAATTATCCTCGAGAAGCAGATGCTAACAAGTTTTAGGATGGCGAGAATCTTCACTTGTGCACCGGGCGTAGCCAAGTTGATCCTCGGTGGTTCGTGGGAGGAAATAGGACTGCCAGAGTGTTTCCAATATGGCAAGGAGAGACTCGTGAAGGCTGTGCGTAAGGGACAGAAAGGAAGTGTTTGGTAGGCTAAATAGTCATCATGTCAATAAGCCCAAGGGGTCGTCTCTCATGTGTTTGCGTATCTGTAAGAATGGCAGCAGTGTGCTCCGATCGTTCTCTCATCTGCACATGTCGGACACAGCTGGTGCCATTATGTCGTGCGATTGAATTGATTGTCGGACGGTGGGATGGTACAGCGGTCAAGTTGAGCTCGTTGCTCCTTCCCTTTGAGCCGGAGCCTACCTGTTCGAACCGGTTCGTCGCTAGCCGGTTCTCTTGAATAATGATGAAAGGGAAGCGCGTGCGCTAGTACTTACTCTTCCCCCTAGTCGACTGGGGGTTTCTGTTTTGCCTACTCTATGTCAAGAAAGAGATTCCTATTTTGCACGTGCATACCACGGAAAGAGTCGCGCAGCAAATGGATGTGAATGATGCGTGCCTTATTAACAGATGTAAGCCTTCCAGTCTCGACTTTTGTATGGCACTTGTGAATCATGGAAGGGTGTGATTAGGAAGTCATGATTTAGGATTCGAGGAAAAGCGCTTTGCGAATTGGTATTTTGTACAAGGAAACAAGCAGACTCAGGCTTTTAGTTGTGTGCCTGGGTCTTGGGAGTGTGGGTATCGCGCTCGTAGTATGCCCATTGGCCCTGGTTGGGGGACTCTTCGAGGTCCTCCCAGACCTTGCTCTTGTACATTTCGTCGACGAGGGCTGACTCGGCCTCTGCGACAAGGATGATCTCCTCGATCAGGCCAGCCTGGATCTGTTGCTCGATGGTGTCGACNNCCTGGTAAAACAGATTAGTTGTTGTAATTCGAGCTGGAGGCATGGAGACTCACTGCTCGGCGGTAAGAGGAGGCTCAGGTTCAATGCGGGGAATCATCTCGTTGTCTGCTTGGGGGTCTGCCATGAAAGATTCCTCCTGGTGGGCCTTGTGCGAACGCATTCTGGGGCCCTCGGGCTCTTGCTTCTGGATGGGCTCATCCTCGTAATCCTCAGTCTCCATACCCTTGAGGGCAGTCTCTTTGTAGACAATGTTGACCTCGTTCTTGCTGGTTGACGATGCGATTGAACGGAAGGCATTGGGGTGAGCTTCGACGACGCTCTTGACGCGAGATTGCCATTCCTCGAGGCCCTCGGGCTTGACGGACTCGACAATTGACAGACGATGCTTGGTGAGACCTTCGACAGATTGGCGATAGACGGAGTGTTCGGGGAACTGCTTCAGCTTGTCCAGGGTCGAGTTGTAGAGGTAGAGGAGGGTGGAGCGAGGGGCGGCATGGGTCAAGACACCAGTCAGGCCAGTAGGGGCGCCGGGGGTGAGGAAGCGCGAAGCCTGCGCAAGCAATCGGGAAGAGGCTCTCATTGTGGCGTGGTGGATGTGATTGTAATAGTTATCGAGCCAGTTCAAGCACGTCAAGACCCGACGCCCGCCATGGCCCAATTGCTGACCAGCGAGAGCAAACAGCGCAAACACACGCCAAGCAGCCGCCTCCGCTGTCTGGGCCTGGGCGCTGGTCTGACCAGATCTGTCTCCTATCATTGGCTTTGGAGCTTCGATGCTCTGACTTGGATTTCATTGCTGTCAAATTTTACTGTCGCTCTCTTGCCTGGTACCTGTCTCTATCCTGGATACCTAGGTTCTTTCGTCGCACCTCCCTAAGTCGAGCAGATAGGCCCGTCTTGCTCGCACGAACCTTCCTGTACTCTTCGATCTACCCCGGCCTAGAGTGCCAGTGGGCCTCTCTCCAACATGCGATCGCTATTGATATCGCCCTTGATCGCTCTGTCGTTCGCCGCCTCTGTCTTCGCTGCTCCCCCGATCAAGAACGATGCGCCCGCTCTTCCTCCGTTAAACTTCGCCCGTGACGCCGCTCTGAATGTAGCGAGAGATGCGCCCGATGCCCCAGCATCACCTGCAAAGGATCCCGAAGTCAAGGGCGAGACTAACAAAGATCCCGTCACCGATGGTGCAGACTCTGGCCCTAAGGGTACTGTCTTTAATGGCGTCAACGTCCCTCCGATCACCGAGCTCAGCGGTACTACCCTCGACCAGGACATCTCGAAGGGCACGTGGCTAGTCGAGTTCTTTTCACCATACTGCCATCATTGCAAATCTTTTGCACCGACATGGCAAACCCTCCATGAATTTTACTACACCTCCGACCCTCTGCCTTCCTCCAACAAGGATTCGTCCGATTCTCTCAACTCCTTCACCCGCTACTACGATTTCAAGTTCGCTAAGCTCGACTGTGTCGCTTTTGGTTCTGCATGCTCCGACAAGAGCATCAACTCGTTCCCGACTGTTGTTCAATTCAAGGATGGTAAAGAGGTGGAGCGCAAGGTTGGTGCCTTGCCTATGAAGGACGAGGTCAAGTGGATCGAGAGCATGCTCGAGACCATCAAGCCTGGTTCCAGACANAAGGACGGCCCCAAGCTCCCAAAGGTTGGAGCCAGCTCTTCGCCAGACTTCAAGGGCGCCGCTGTTGTTGGTCCTGCTAAGGAAGCTGATGCTATCGCTGAAGCTACCAAGTCTACCACCTCCACTACCTCGACCAAGTCTCTGCTCAAGGCCACCAAAGTTGCAAAGGAGACTCCCAACCCTGCTGGAACCTCCGTCCCTCTGACTGCCGAAAGCTTCCAGCAAAGGGTCACGACCACCCACGACCCTTGGTTCATCAAGTTCTACGCCCCTTGGTGTCACCACTGTCAAGCCATGGCTCCTAGCTGGCACGCCATGGCACGCGACATGAAGGGTAAGTTGAACGTCGGCGAGGTCAACTGCGAGGTTGAGCGTCGCCTGTGTAAGGACGTCAATGTCAAAGGCTACCCCACCTTGATCTACTTCCAGGCTGGCGAGCGTATCGAGTACGAAGGTCTTCGTGGCCTTGGTGACCTCATTAGCTATGCAAACAAGGCTGTCTCGGCTGGTGATGGCGTTGTTGATGTCGACGCTGCTGCATTCGAAGCTCTTGAGCAGGACGAAGAGGTTATTTTCCTATACTTCTACGATCATGCGACCACTAGCGAGGACTTCCAAGCTCTTGAGCGATTGCTGTTGAGTCTGATTGGACATGCCAAGCTTGTGAAGACCAAGGATCCTGCTCTTGCTGCTAGATACAAGATCTCTACTTGGCCTCGTCTGATCGTGTCTAGAGATGGCAAACCGACTTACTACACTCCTCTTTCNCCCAGAGACATGCGCGATTTCCGCAAAGTTTTGGGATGGATGCAAGCCAACTGGCTGCCTATTGTGCCTGAGCTGACATCTTCGAACGCTCGTGATATCATGGACCACAGACTCGTCGTGCTGGCCATCTTGAGCCGTGAGCGTAAGGAAGACTTCATCATTGCAAGACGCGAGCTCAAGAGCGCCGCCTTGGAGTGGATCGACAAGGAGATTCAAGCTTTCCAGCTCGAAAGACAGGAGCTCCGCGATGCCAAGCAACTGCGTATTGAGGAGGCCGAGGACCGCAACGACCAGCGTGGGTTGCGGTCAGCCAAGCAAATTCGAATCGACATGAATGAGATTGACCGAAAAGAGGTTGGTTTTGCTTGGGTCGATGGTGTTTTCTGGGAGCGCTGGCTCAAGACGACGTTCGGCATCGATGTCAAGGACGGAGAGAAGGTCGTCATCAACGACGAAGATGTGAGTCTTGATGGATTCAGCTAAAAAGAAGATGCAAATACTGACTAGCGATAACAGAACCAACGGTACTGGGATCTTACAACAACTGGCAACCCCATCGTGCCATCTCGTGTGTCGATCCTCGAGACATTGCCCAAGGTTGTGGCATCCCCACCAAAAATCAGCGCCAAGCACAAGAACTCGTTCTTTGGGCACTTGATCTGGACAGTGCGTAGTGGCATGTCTGCACATCCCCTCATAACACTCGGGTTGGCGATTGGCATGCTTATTGGAGCCAGCATCTGGGGTAGAGGGCTGATCAGGAGAGGAAAGGCTTTTGGTAACACGGGGTCTNNTTTCTTCACAGTGGGAAGCAACGAGAAGGATGGGCTACTAGGTGGAGCTGCCACTGGAGGCAAGGTGGATTGAAGTCGGCTAAGATTTTCTGTTTCTACTTTTCAAAAGGATATTACCCCGTTCCAGCTCTCTTAATCTAACGCATCTCAGTATTTCTATATCAATCTCGGTGATGACGGAGTTGCGGAGTTTGATGCGGAGGGCGTCTTGGCGAACCCCGAAACCGAAGGTCGGAGGACGATGCGATCAAGATGGTGATTAGACATTCTACACAGCACTCTTCAATCTGCGCGCGGCATGATGAGAGGTCAATTGCAGTGGTCTCGAGCGCAGGCAGCGCGGCGGGCTGCCCAATTCCACGCGCGACCAGCTCTCCGACAGTTCCAACAAGTGCGCCATGCATCGAGCGAGCTCAAGCAAGAGGTTGCTCGCAACGAGACGATTGGAGATGCCCGCTCAGGCCTCAGTCGCATCAAGAACCTGCTCCTCGGAACCTCGATACTCGCCATCACCGGATTCGGATACCTCTACATCACCGACACACGAGCGACCTTCCACCAATGGCTTGTTCCCCGTGTGTTGCGCACTCTGTTCCCCGATGCTGAGGACGCCCACAAGATTAGCAACAAGACACTCAAGGCTCTATACTCTGTCGGTCTACACCCCCGTGAGAGGGGCAACCCAGACATCAATGGAGATTTAAAGGTCGAGGTGTTTGGACATGTCTTGGACAACCCCATTGGCACATCTGCTGGTCTGGACAAGAACGCTGATATCCCCGATGTCGTCCTGGGCTTCGGTGCTGGTATCGTTGAAGTCGGCGGTATTACTCCTCGCCCACAGGAGGGTAACCCTAAGCCTCGTGTCTGGCGTATTCCCTCGCAAAACGCCCTCATCAACCGCTACGGTCTCAACTCGGAGGGTGCCGACAGTGTAGCTACTCGTCTTCGCCAGCGATTGCGCGAGTTTGCTTACGCCCTTGGTCTTGGTCTTGACCCTATGGCAGAGCAATCTGTGCTGGATGGTCACGCTGGCGTACCNCCCGGCAGTCAGATGCCCGGCCGCCTGCTCGCTGTCCAGATCGCAAAGATGAAGGAGACTCCGGATAACGACATTGATGCCATCGCTCAGGATTACGTCTACTGCGTCAACCAGCTCGCCAAGTATGCCGATATCCTCGTCGTCAACGTCTCGTCGCCAAACACGCCTGGTCTGCGCAACTTACAGCAGGCTGCTCCTCTGACCAAGATCTTGACTGCTGTCGTCGACGCTGCTCAAGCTGCTGATCGCAAGACTAAGCCCGCTGTCATGGTTAAGGTATCTCCTGACGAGGACAGTGAGGAGCAGGTCAGTGGTATCTGTGGTGCTGTATGGGCCAGTGGCGTAGACGGCATCATTGTCGGTAACACTACCAAGAAGCGCCCTGACGCTCTGCCTGCTGGTTTCCTACTCCCTCAGAACGAGCAGAGTATCATGCTCGAGACTGGTGGTTACTCCGGCCCTCAATTGTTTGAGCGTACTGTTGCGCTGGTCAAGAAGTACAGAACCGCACTTGACAAAGGTCCCAACGAGGCTAAGCCCGAGCCCAAATCTGAGCCCAAGAAGNNATCGAAGCACCCAAGCAACCAGAAAAGTCAGAGTTCCAGCTCGAGACCGAAGCAATGAAAGAAAAGATCAGAAACCAACTGCAACAAAAGTCCGACGCAACTCAAAGTGCAGCCCCTAATAGCTTGGACGCTGAGACCAAGTCTTCCATCGAATCAAGCGTCGAACGCGATCTCAAGAACCTGAAGCCCAAGACCGAGGCAGCCGATAAGAACAGCCGCGATCAATCCATCATCCAGATCCCCGAACGCCACATCCCGGCCTCTGTCTCCTCATCCTCCAACACCACAACCGCAGAAACAAAAGCTGCTTTCTCGGCCGTCGAACCAGCTCTAGGTGCCGCCCACGAGGCTGCAGAAAAATGCTGTCATCCGGTCCTGCATCCTCAGCAGTCTCAGCACCTGTCAAGAAGACCTCGCTATCCACACCCGCCAACCTTAACACCAACAAGGAAAAGTCATTTTCGCTACCGGTGGCATTACAAATGGCAAACAAGCTTTGGAAGTATTGAATGCGGGTGCTAGTGTTGCTATGGTGTATACGGCAATGGTTTATGGAGGTGCAGGCACAATCACTAGGATCAAGCAGGAGATGAGGGAAGAGATTCATGGATTGCCGGCTCAATTGCCCTCGTCTGCTCCTCGTAAGGAGAGATGAGGTTGCGGGCTCTGGATTTTGATGAGATGTGCATTGGAACGAGGCGTGGAATGGACGGGTATCTTGCAGTCCTACTTTGGCACAAGAGCAGAACTGCGATACAATAAGGATGTCTCAGAAAGGCACCAAGAGAACTGAATTTTTGTACGATATGGAAAGCCATTGAGGTCTTTTTGCATCTTTCTTGTGTTTCTGCGAAAGGGATTTTTTCCCACAAATCTGTGATCTTTTTACGCTTGTGGTGTCGTTGTTTGTTTATGAGCATCAGACTTGAAGACGTCGACACCGACTCTCGCATTTTGATTTGACAGACACCGTCCACGAGCTGATGTTGACACTCAAGGTCTCCAGGCAGAACCACGGGCCCAAAGCACCCAAGCAAAGACAGCCAAGCAGAGACTCAGGGTAACCATAGTGGTGGGAGCAGTGACCATGGGTAATGATTGTGTCTCCTCCCTCCTCGATCACCTCATTCTCATCGATCACCTCATTCTCATCAATCACCTCATTCTCATCGTAGACCAAATCATCCTCATCGTCGCGATGCGTACCGTCCACAAGACGCAAGCGATCTCCTTGCATAACCCAGACGAAGAGTGGTAGTCCTTCCAATCGGCTAAGCATTGTTGCTTCTGCGACGGTTGCTTTGTGTGTGGGGGCCATTCTGGTCTTGTGTTGGCGTCAGTGAGCTTGCTGGTGGGTTCAGGTGCAGACGAACACACTATGTGCTGAAAAAAAGTTGGGAGGGGAGGCTTCGAAATGGCTTTTTCATAGAGAAGCGTTGATGGTCGTGTTGTCGACCATGAGTTTGGAGCTGAGAAGAGAATGAAGAGAGCAGAGAGAGCCGACTTAGTTTGGGTACATGGTGCTGTTCGAGATGGAAAGTCCTATTCTTGACTTGCACCTTCCATTTCGAGGTTGATATTCTGTGATGGCATTCACGCTCACTTTGAATCGACAAACAACGACTGTTTGAGCGGAGCATCACAGGTCAAGACACACGTTGAATACCGTCATTCAAATCTTGCTATACTGTTCCCAATGTCTGTATTACATGTTTCTGAATCTACTCTATTCGTAATGCAGCTTTGCTCCGCCATTTTCTGTTAGACCTAGCAAGTTCTTGCCAAACGACACAATCCATGCAGTCGAAAACATGAGCAAGAGTANGGGAGAAAACACAATACTCAGCACTTGATGCACTCTAGCATAAGGAAGCGCACCACTCCAGAACACGCACAGTGCGCCATAGATCCCCCTCACAGGCCTTGTATTTTTCAATCGCTCGAAAGGCGTGTTTGCAGGAGGAGGTCCATTGTTAGTAACTTTGTCGAATACAGACGGCAGCATAGTGGCGTGGCATTTCTTCCGCAGTGAATCGTAGTGCTCTTTATCGTAGAGATCCCAGAATTCGGGGGCTGTGTAGTAGGCATGTGCGTAAAGACATTTGAGTCCGTCGAGTTCTTTAGTTTTGGCCTCTATGGCGCGGTTGGCTGCGATAAAGTCGTCGCGGTTGCGTGGACCTGGGCCCCAGACGCCTACGTTGATGACTCGGAGGCTGTCCTGTGAGTAATGCTTTCCCTTTGGCGTGAGTGGGTAAGGGGCATTCAACTTCAGCGGACACAGCCAGAGTGGATACAACTTGAAGTTATCATCCAGGTACTCGATGAAGTCTGGCGTTGTAGAGTATGGGAATCCGATGTCTTGGACGATAAACTCGTTTGCGAGACCTGATTTGTGGAGAGCGGTGTACATTGTTTTTGTGTGGATGAGGTCGTCGAGGAGATATCGAGTTAGTCTGTTGAAAGGGGCAAAGTGGTATTTGAAGGCGTGGTAGCCGCCCCAGAAGGCACCTCTGTCGAAGCGGAAGAGGTAATCTTTGATGGGTACAATCTCAGTGATGGATCGGCGGGCATTGGAAGATGTGATCTCATGATTGAGTATCTTCTGTGCGCGGACATAGAACCAGGGATCCGACCTTGAAAGATATTTCGTGATCTTGCAACCCGGGGTTGGGGTGTCGACCATGCGGCCTGCTATGATCAAGCCACTGTTCCTGGAGAACATGATACCATCCAGATATTGAACGTTGTCGTCAGCTGTGTAGGACTCGATGGACTCTACTGCTTTTGCAGAACTTGTGATTTCATGGTACTCCAATTCCATAAAGTTACCAGCTTTCACCAGCTGAATTTCGATCTCAGTCACAACACCTAGTGTTCCGAAAGAGCCCGCTGCACCATGAAACAGATCCGAGCTCTCAGAGCGAGAGGCACGTACAATCTCCCCATTTCCCAGCACAATCTCGATGCTGTTCACAATGTTGTCGAATACGCCATGTCTGAACGAGGAGCTTTCACCGGAAGTACCGCTGAACCCGCCACCGACAGTAATATTCTTGAACTCCATGATGACAGGAGCTACAAGTCCATACGGTAACGTGGCATCGACCAACTTCTCCATGGAAACATTGGGCTCGACAATGGCGACTCGTTTCTCGGAGTCGATTCTCAAGATCTCGGTGAAGTCACTGGTCGAGATCATCTTCTTGCGATCCTGCTCCTGGCTTCTCGTGCTGCTCGTGCTGCCATGGAAGATCCGGAACGGCTCTTTTCTGTCGTAGAAGGATCTGACTTGAGTTGCAACTCGCTTGGTCCGCTGGATGTGAGCCTCGAAGACTGGACTGGTTTCTGACATGATTCTGAGGTGTAGATATAGTATCGGATCAGGATCAGTTGGTCAATGGTGTTTGCAAGGTCGTATGAGTTATAGTCGGGATGCTTGGACTGGAGTCTTAACGATTCAGTAGCGTGGCTGATCAGATGATGCGGAGATCGGGTTCGATTGAATAGTAGAACAAGGCGACTGTACTCAGATGGGTTGGTTTCTCCTTCTGATGTTGTTGATAGTTACGTCAGTACTTTGGCGCTTCCAACAGCCGAAGCTTCCGAGATACTGATTTTGGTAGATGATAGCGTACGTCTTCCGCAGAGACATGTGTGAATATGAACAACAGAGAAATGCTGGTACGAAGTTCTTTGCTCACTAAGTTTGACGCCAATAGTACTTGGTAGGTACTGGGAGGAAAGAGTTGAGCGTTAGAGTGTTACTAACCATATGCTTGGCGTTTGTTGACAACATCACGCCTGTTGCTTTCGTTATCAACTCCTATCGAACCTCCCGTGCTTCTCGAAGCAACTTCTACATCTTGCACATCCAGCCACCACCGATGCGTATCGCGGCACCAATCACATATAGAGTCCCTTGAAGTGGCTTTCGAAGAAGGCGCATCGTAGCAAACATCGCTTCCCGTGCCAACGTGGGCTTCGACGCCACCATCTGCCTGAAAATTGAGGCTGTGAGCGATCATGCCAGTACATGCACCATGACTTCACCATCGCACCCGTCTTCACGGCCATCACGATGATTTGATTCGCAAAATTCTGTCTGTAGATGCAGTCGACTCATTCGCACCGCAGTCGCTTGGACGATCTGCCCGCAGGCACAGCCTGGCAGTATGTCGATTTCGTCGACTTCTGATCACATGTTGTGGTTTTGTCATGCATGTACATATGGCTTGACCTATCAGAATGTGGGACGCTTGACTAGAGGTTGGCCTTTACTGATCCTGCGACTCACGACTCGCTGCTTCGTCTTGAAGCCCGACCATACTCGGCACTCGAGTATGCCTCTGTCAAACTTGCGGGCGCCTCAGCCTTGCTGACCGGAGGCAAACCCACGACAACATCTACCTGGCCAGCCTACCACAAATGAGCGACTATGTCACCCCATGCCTTGTTTGCTATTCTGTGCTCTCCTTTTGATATAACACAATACTAAACAAGCATAATTTATCTACCATCATGAGTCGACCACCTACGGTTCCAGTACCATCGTTTTCACGTCCTCGCAGTGCCTCTCAATCTAGCAACCCTGATACATCTCAAGAGCACTCCACTGCCACTCCCCAAGAGCCTCTTCTTTCACCATTGAACGCCTCTAACCAAGCATCTCAAACAAGGCATGCACAACTCCACATCCTCCCACAGGACTGTAACTTACGGTATCAAGCAGTGTTCCTCAGATACATACATCAACCCACGTCGACAATAACAAGTATCATGCAAGACTTTCAGAAGCCTTGGAACGACTGGAGTCGACATGGTACATTGAGATTATCTTCCTGCTCTGCAGCGTCATATGCGCCACTCTCATCGTCACCTTCCTCGCTGTCCACAATAATACCCCCATTGAGAGTTGGCATTTCTATTTCTCCATCAACACGGTTGTTTCGACGCTTGGAGTGGTCTTCAAGTCAACTCTGCTCATGGCAGTCTCTGCTGCTCTTGCTCAGGGGAAGTGGACATGGTTTCGAAAAAGAAGTGGCACCTTGAGTACGTTCGAAGCTATCGACGCTGGGAGTCGCGATACCCTAGAGAGCTTCAGGCTCCTATGGCGTATGCGTGGCCAGTAAGTTTCTTTTGGTCAGCCAACTGTCCATGGTCCTAATAATCATCTCAGACATCTTGTTTCTGCAGGGGCGCTTGTCGTTGCCCTTGGGTTTATGATAGAGCCTTTCCTCCAAGCAATAATCTCCGACTATGGACGTCTCGTCGACACGGAGTCAACCAACACCAACGGCATGAGTGCTACCGTTGGCAGATCAAGCCGATTCGATGGTGGCACTCAATGCATTTCCACCTACAAAAGCAGATATCCCCAAGTTGATACCACACCTGACTTTGCAATCAGTGCTTCTCTATATGATGGATTGAACACAGCAACAAGTCATGGATATCAGAACGTATCTTTTACATGTATGTATGGTAACTGCACATGGTCTGGATATATATCTCTAGCTGTACGCAGCACCTGCTTCGACATCTCCAGCCATCTGAAGAGGACGACTCAAGACAACTCGACCGAAAGAATAAAGTCTTCGACCCGGAGTCTGTCTCCTGGATCGACTGACATCTCTACGTCGGATACTGACACTGAGATGGCGATGTACCCTACAGCAGCCTTGTCGGCATTCTCAGGTGTTTCGACACTGAACTCCATGGCAGCATCGATTCGTTCTATCGTGACTTCAGCGACTACTGGGCTAGAGAAGAGGGCATCTCCCACTGTCCAGCCAAAATCGGTGGCATCGTCGGATCCTTCAACCAGGTGGACAGATTGGACGCTGGAGCATCTCGACTTGACTCTTTCAAACACGAATGGGATGTGGCGTAACGCAAGCACTTTCGCTGTTCTCCAAGCAGCGGTGGTGGCCGATCCAAATCTCACGATCAATTTCAAGACCTCACAGGCATTGCTTGCTGCATTCACTGTAATCCGGACTGACGATAGCCAAACTTTGGGCAGCCCAGCCTGGGATGCTGCAGGTGCATCAGCCATGGAGTGTGGACTGGAACTGACTCTTAACCTTTACAATTCTTCGGTCGTCAACAATGTCCTGGTCGAGCATATTTTGGCAAGCGCCTCCCAGAAAGTTCCTGAATCGTGGTTGCCTTCGCCGAACGTCGATCAAAGTAATGTCCACCCGAATGGGCTTCCGGTCGACCTGGGAACGAAGGAGTGGAACCCGATATATCATGATACGTTTCTGTATCGCGACGACTATGCTCTGGATCCCGCTACTTTGCCAATAAACAAGACACAAAGATTCAGCATAACGCAAAGGACTCTGCTTAGCACAGTCGACTTTTTGACATCATTAATCAGACAAAACAACGATAATGCAACAGTCAAGGCGGTGACTCAAGATGGTCAAGCTCCTCTGTACACTTATGGGAGCCCCATTCTCCAACCGATCTTCAACCTGACAAATACAACAGCAACATTCGATGCCATAGCTAAAAGCATGAGCAACGCGATCCGCAATCTTGGGACAGAACCGATGGTGGGGAAAACACAGCAGTGGGTCAGATATTACCAAGTCCGTTGGGCTNTTTCTAGCTTTGCCATTATCCTTGATCACAAGTGAGTTACAAGAAGCATCAAATATCATGCTCGTCCGTGCTAATCGTACTCAAATAGTTGGTACCATCTTCTTCATACTCTCGATCATCGATGCACACAAAGTTCATGTTCCTACCTGGAAAGCCAACAGCATAGCTACAATGATACATGGACCCGATGAAATGCTTCAGCGAGACCTACGCATCAAAAATCATGTCCATTCCTTGGGTGTGGCTAGCGAAACGGTGGCCAAACTTGAATGGTTTCCTGAAGGGTATGCACTCACTGCTGGACATCAACCTCCAGCCAAAATTTCTCGACCTACAACACCAGTAAGAGATGAGGAAGAGCATGAGATGAATGCCCTGAGGATCCCCACGACACCGCAAACACCTGGTTCGAACGTCACTTTGGTCGAGCCACAGGTTGTCGGAGAAGCAGAACAAGGCACTATCCGACCAGTGTCGCCAGCATTCACTGGCCCTGACTGGAGTGACGTTCAGATCAATGATCCATCAGAGTCTACACCCTTGGGTATCAGAAGAAGTCTGTGAGGGAGTTGGCTGAAGGAGCAGCAGATTCACGACCATACTTGCTTGTCGTGACGAGAAACATGTCTTTACTAGTCTATTCTGATTTTGGTCATCATGTATTGAGTCTATGCTAGAAATACAACCCACGTGGTACGCGTCAGATATTGAGTTGAAGCCACGCCTATCTGCTTATACACGATCGTCTACTTACCCCATGCTAAATCTGCAACAAGCGAGTCAGTCAATGAGGAGATGCTCCAAAATGATCTTTGCTTGTTATAGTGCTATAACAGCACTAGGGCTACTCGTGACCGCGACATGTGGTCGGGCTAATAGTCATGGCAACGGACGCTTTCTATAGTGCCTTCCTTCTGTCTCACATGCGACAAGGATGAAATATTATGGTTAACCATCACAGTGATGCTCGATGTCAGACCTAATGTCACTGAGGTCCACAAGAACTATAGGGCTCGGGGCCACTATAGCAAGCTAACCTTGCCAACACGATGTTCAACCTTCTAGGTATCCACGTGCTTCACCGTAATGTTCGTAGACTAGTGGAGTGAAGACATGGATACGACAAGTCCACTTCCAACATAAGACATGCTCAAAAGGGTAATTAATTTTCTCTCTACTGACTCCCCCAATGGCGTGTGACAAGAACACGTGAACCAGATTGCAACACCAAAGACATGCAAGTACCAAAATTAGCAACACAAGTTTCTCTTCTACGTACTTCTCACTTAGCCCCTCTCGTTTGGCGTACATCGTTTGGGCGCGAAAGAAAGAGGTTCTAAGAACGTTTCAGCATAAAAGAGATACGAACACAAAACCTCCTACCGTCCAACATGCATGAACCTATATCGGGTAATGCAAGCACGATGTTCACAGCACATCTGTGAAGCAAGACAGCCACACAAAAAGGGGCTACACACAATTTCACCAGTTGTATGCTGCAACCGACGATGTCTGTAGTGTCAACGGTGGCAGATGTTGCTTCTCCATTAAAACGTGTTTGCAGAAAAGAGACAAAGGTCCAGAAAAGGGGTGAAGCTCAATGAGGGAATGAACCCGATCGAGAAGCGAAAATGTGATAGGGTGTGTCAAAAATGGCAGCATGAGCTATTGAGTTCGAATAGAGATAAGAGCAATATATGAAAGGTGGAGAAGAAAGTGATGTCTACTTTGTCACTGTTCTATCTGACACAATAGTTGTGGAGGATGCAAGATCATCTCCAGATAGATAATTGGTCACACGGTGGTCAGGTTGATGATTACCAACCGGCAGATCCCATGTGTCTGGAGGCGCTGACAGCAAGCACTGTACATCACACATGCTGCGCAGAAGATCAGGGTGCTGGAGTGACGAGGGGCGCCAGATGCGAAGTCACCATAGGGGTAAACAAGACACTTGCCCAAGCAACGCCGGCTGCAGGGGTTCACAGCAGGGAGAGAGCTTGAGCTTGGGCCACTCGTTCGGATGTCGGCTCTCCGTGGATTGACAGTCGTCGCGTGGGTTGTGAGATGCGAGCAAGGACGATCGATGAGCAGCAATCTTGTTGACATCCCTCTCTGACCCTGACTCTTCCTTATCGCTAGATCCGTAACCACTGTCTAGCGACTCTGGTCTGAGTACAGAGCATGGCTCAAGCGCGTGCTGGAAGTGTCGCCGGCGGTGCGGCTCCACATAGCATCAGTTTGAAGGTGTTGAGGTAAATGAACAACCACCTGTTTGTGATGCTATGGTAGATGAGCTGCTTGCTGACAAGACATCTTTCGTCTCGCGCNAGGCTATCGCATCCATCGCTTTCGCCCGCGCATACGCTTCCCGGCACCGATCCCATCGCAAATGCATCGCTCCCTTATCCACAAGCGCCAGCAGACACCTTTCCGCTGTCGCCGTTACTGGCACTGCCTCCTGCGTTTGGTGCTGCCTACGTGGGTACCGTCTTCTCTTGCACTTTGTGTGCGAACAACGAATTGCCGCCATCATCTCCCGTCGTCGTACGAGACGTCCAGCTAAGTGCCGAACTTCAAGTGCCGAGCGGCAGCATTGCATTGGCTCTCGAGGGCCCAGATGCTGCAGAAGAACAAGATATACAACCAGCGCAAACACTACAGCGCGTTGTACGGCACGAGCTGCGCGAAGATGGTCCTCACGTCCTGGCTGTCACTGTCACCTACCAAGAAACGCGAGATGATGCCACGAATAAGCGGACATTCAGAAAATTATATCAGTTTGTCGCACAACCTGCACTCGGCGTAAGGACAAAGGTAGGCGATCTTGCAGTCAAGAAAGACGCGCCAGACACGCGCAGTTTTGTTTTAGAGGCCCAACTCGAAAATCTTACCGAGAAATCGGTCGTGTTGGAGAAAGTCACTGTCAGCACGGCTCAAGGCCTGACAAGCAGGAGCCTGAACTGGAATAAGGCTGACGACAGGCCGGTATTGAATCCCCAGGATGTCATGCAAGTCGCTTTTACTCTTCAACAGAACCAGGGCGAGCAGCTGGACGAGAAGACTGGCAGGACAGTCCTCGCGCAACTCCACGTCGACTGGAAGAGCCAGAATGGGGAAATGGGCAGCTTGACCACAGGTTGGCTGGCCAGTAGAGCTAGATGACGACAATGGCCAAAGGGTTTGATTACGCAAAGTCTATTCCTTATCATGCTCGGCGCACAGGATGGACGAGACGTCGGGAGAGGCGTGGTTGACTCAAGTCTCAGTCCTCGGAGTGCTACAAGGAGTGTCTCATCCGCCCAGGGTTCGCGTTAGTCGTGGTTGCCGGCTAGCCGTGAGACCAGAAATAAAACAGAGTCAGGTTCCGTCAGCCCAGATGGGCCCGAGATGATTAAACATGACAAGAAGAGCCAAAGCAAGACTGAGGCGCTCTCAAAGTGCGGTAAAGATATGCATCGTGTTTCTGCGTTGAAGATGGTTGCGGAGGATTTTGTCAAGTTATTTGTTGACTGAGTGGACGTGGTTCTAGCTTGAAACATGAGGGGCAGCCTCCGCAGATCGTTTGTGCTCTCAAGAGTTCAGACCAGCCGAGATTTCACGTGCGCTCGTCAGTTGCATGGTTGCAAGGGGAGCGCGGGAGGGGCGCGTAGAGTCATTCGCACATGACTCCTGTCTCTGAGAGAGCATCTGCGCAGGGAGGCACGGCGAGGCACACAATGAAGCAGGAAATTGCGGCGTGCAAAGAATGGATGTTTATTATTGCCGATCGCGTATGCAGCAACAAGTGGAGAGGAAGAAGGGTCTGCCCAAAACGGGGAAGAGGACCACTAAAAAGCCGTATTCGTGGTTAGCCTGGCCGCTTGGCCTGGCGGCCCTGGCCAAAACATAGGGGAAAAGTAAAGTAAGAAGTGATGGACAGGTTCGGGACACGGACTCGCGACACGATGCTGCTATGTATACTTGTGTCAGCGTGTGGGTGCTGCGAGGGAGCAGGTTGAGGGTGAGCAGATCTGTAGCGAGCAAGATAGCGTGCGCGCTTAGCAAGTAGGCCTCTGGTCAGGAAGACGCGTCTGCAATCTAACAGGAATCGAACACGGCGTCAGTCAGGGTGGAAGCGTATCGTGGTCAAAGGAGTTCCGTTCCAGTGGCCAAGTTGCGCACAGACAGGCCAAAGAGAGCCGAAGGGAACAAGAGCTTGGCTTGTGCCCGTGAGGCGTGAGGCGTGAGAGGGTGGTGGATTGATGGGTGGGCAGCGGGCGAGCAGCATAAACCACCCGGCATTCAGGGAAACGGTCCCTTGTGCTTCCACAACTGCCACACCTGCTCGCTCTTTTTTCGAAACGGAACCGTTTGACGGCCTGCAAACCACGTCAAGGATCGTCAGGAGTTTCGCTCGCTCTACGCACAGCTTGGATATTTCTCTCTTCGTCTCTTGTCTTTTGCTGTTGTTCGAGAGGCTTTGTAAACTGGACGACCAAGATTGTACTTGACGAGTGCCAAAAGCCACTGCCAGCTTTCCTGCGTGCATCCCGCTCAACAAACTCAGCCGTAACTTTCACTTTTCTCCTCACGACGGCCGTTGTCCGTCACGAAACCATCGCGACCCCTGGACCTGAAGCATCAATCTACCGCCAATTCATAGTCACTCCTTTTGAACATCCCACCTCTCCCACAACGCACCCTTGTGCTTCCATCCACACCTGTCAATGGAATAATACACTACACCAATACACAATCACAACAACTCAGTATAATTACACATGGCACCTACCAAGGAATCAACATCGGTGCCGCTGGCCGACTACTTCTTCATATCCGGCATAGAGTCGACGCAGATCTACGACGAACGCGAACATGCTGCCGCTTCTCCGCCGCCGGTCGACGAGACGATTGAGGAGGACATTGCCCTCGAAACAGACAGTATCACATCACCGAGACCCTCGACACCAAGCTCACCAAAAAGGGGATCAACTCGCTACAGCTGGGAAGCGCGCAAGAGCATTAGCAGTGTTATTGGTCCTGGCGAATTCAAGCCAACGCCTAGCAACCGTAGCAGTGCGACAATCAAGGGACCACAAACAGAAACACCCGCTCTCAGCGACGAAGACTTTGAGATTGCACTTCGCAAGTTTGCCTCGGAGAGGGAGAACTTCCTCGAGGAGATCCAAGTACAGGCAGGAGCAGTTGTACCGCAAACAAGCAGAACACCAAAACCCAGACCGAGAACAGTGCGTATCACAAGCTCTGAAGATGCAGCAAATGCGGCGGCACAGAAGGGCGGTATTGGAGGACTGAGGAGGCGCTTGTCGACCATGAACAGCATGAAGCGACAGCCCTCGGTCTCAGTATCCAGGCAACGTGAGTACTTCAACATTTCGACAGGCCACCCGGCTGACCGGACTTCGCTAGCTTCTACACGCACATCCAAACGACTGAGCGGCTACAACTCGGTCATCCCCACGCCGAAACCCTTCAAAGCCTCACCCGACATGCACNNCCCCCTGAAACGACGATACGAACCGGTTCTGCTCGACAGATANCCCCCGAGAGCCCAAGACGACGAGATGAAGCGAAGATGCCCTTTTCCCGATTACGTACCCATGTTTGCCTTTCCCAACGACGTTGTGGTCGTCTCGGCCGACGAGCGACCAAGATCGACCTGGCACGGCTTTGCCATGACAACTGGAGACGGTTCCAAACTGCATGCAATCTGTGTCACGGTATGGATGCCATTGAACGAATCGGCGTCGGTCGAACTCGAGCGACAGTGCGAGGCATGGCGAAAGGCAAACATGAGCGATGAAGAGAGGGAATTGGCTAGTAGCTTGGGAGAACGATTGGCAGCTGAGAGAGCAAAACTTTCGAGACTGCTCGCCGAACTCCCCAACGCTGTTCAAGGCTCGGCTGAGAGAGAGACGCTCGACGACCAGATCAGTGCAGTCGAGGAGAAAATCTCTCTCATGGCCGACTTGTTGCGGCCCGTACGACATGGAGCTGCTTCCAAAATCGAAGGTCTTACTGATGGCGAGAGTGGCTTCTGGATTCCGCGATGCTATGGTGTGCTCGGCAAAGATGGCAACATGACAAGTTTCTGGAAAGAGTGGCTCAAGGCTATTGTTACGCCCATGACAAACGGTGCCGTACTGCGCGTGCCTCCGAGCTCTCCCAAGATCGGCATGTGGCTGCCGCTCGAACGATACGTCGTTAACTTGTGCGTTGAGGCTCCAAGCCCTATGTCTTCCAGCACTCAGATCGAAGTCGCCATCCGCGAGTTGCGCTTGTACGCCAGAAAAGAGGCCGAGAATGAGATTCCTGGCTCACGAAACGCCGACATTTACGCCCTCTTCCGATCTCTCTCCTTGAACAACATTGTCACCTTGTTCGAGTACGTCTTGTCCGAATCACGCGTTATCTTGCTCTCATCGCACACATCTATGCTGCATCTTGCAAGCGCTGCCATTACTAGCCTGATCTACCCTCTGAAGTGGGCTGGAGTTTTCATCCCTGTCCTGCCAGCACGCCTAATCCAGGCTCTCGAAGCCCCCTGCCCTTACATTGTTGGTGTAGAGCGAAGATATGAGAATCTTGAATTTCCCGACGATGATTTTGTCCTGGTAGATCTGGATCAGGACACAATCGAGAGCACAGCTAGACCAACGCTCCTACCTCGTCAACAGCGCAGAAAACTCATCGCTTCGCTACAGGTAGTCGCACCCCACCATATACGTTATGGTGTGCCGGTCGGTCCTCCCTCGTACGCCATGGAGACTTTCCCGAACGACGCCTTTTCTTCCGAGAACCCTCAAATTTACAACCAGAGAGCTACTCCTTCGAGTTTGGCATCTTTGGTTGGTGCTAATTCTGCCGCTTTTGCAGAACTGCCTGTGCCTACGCAGAACCGCAACATCATCCTCAACGCCTTCCTCAACTTTAGCACCACCTCGCGAGGAAGTGACCGCCCGTCAACGAGCTCAACGACAAGAGAAGACCGCCGATCCTCATCTACCAGATCTCCGCCATCTCCTACCGTTCCTTCCCCCTTGTCGCAGACCTTCCCCACCACTCCCGTCTCTCGCAACGACTCGGGCTACAGCATGCAGACGTCTCTCCGTGAGAAGCGCTCTGCGCATTTCGATGTAGCGAGCAGGCGCAACTCTTCCTTCGGATTCGATCGCATGGCCAACCTCAGAAGACCTAGCGCCGCTAACGGCAGTCAACCCTTCATCAGTCATAACAGCAGCATGTCAACCTCGACTCTGGCAAATTCCGCCGGTTACGCACCCTCCGTTTATGCACCGTCCACCCTTGCCGCCTCTACCATTATGCCGAACGCCGTTCAGCCCTCGTGCCCTCGCGACACCGAAACTACCAAATGGGTCGAGGGCCACTGCCTGGTCTGGCGCCCACGTGAAGAGAAGACGTACTGCAGCATCTGCGACGAGAAATGTGAAGATGGTGTCTACCGCTGCGGTGGTTGCAACACCAGCGTGCATCCACGCTGTCTGCACCAAATTCCGGTCGTGTGTCCTCTCGCTTTCCGACCTGAAGCCGTTCGTGCAGTCTTTGTCCGCTGCTTCGCCTCGCTTCTCTACACCTACCGTCGCTTCATGCACCCTGCATCAGGTGAGCGCAGGAAAGCAGGCATGGTTTATCACTTCAACATGGATCAATTCATCCGTAGTGTGCCTGGCGAAGCAACTGAATACATCACCATGATGCGTGAGACTCAGATGTTTAACGAGTTTATCCACGAGCGTGAGTCCACTCGTGCCGAGAACCCGTCTATCAAGCTCTTCGACGAGATCATCCTTGCCAAGCGAAACAGGGGTCGTGGCTCTATCTTCTCTAAGCATAACACCTCTTGGTTGTTCGATACTTCGGAGCACTTATGGCGTTCCGCCTCGACTGCAGCACCGAACTCTCGCTTCCCCGGTGACTATCGCCAGGTTGTTAGTAGAGTCCCGGCGAAACTGGACACCGCTCTTATGAAGGAGCCTAGAGCCGTACAAGGCCTGCCTCGGCCACAAACACGCACAAAGCGCAAGCCTATACCCTCCATGATGGGTTTGAGTGTTGACGAAGAACAACCCGCATGAACCTCTGATCTGAGCTGATCTATCCACTCACCACAGTTGCAAGCCATTCCTGCATCTGCTGCTCTTTTGCATGTCCCGATTCGACGTTTTTTCTCTTTTCCTTTTATTACGCTCGCTTTACCCAACCCAGCCAACTTGAACGCCAGACTCGCTATACCCCAATACCCCCTTCTTAGTAGCTACCTCGCTTTTGCTTTGATGCCTTGGCTGTCGTACTATACCCCCATATTCTGCCTTTTGCATCTTGCATTTTGTTCTTCACGCTCCTCCACTTCTTTCTTCTGACCTTGCTCTTTGGATAGCAGCAAGTCCTTTCTCTTGAATCTCATTCTCTTGTCTAGCGACGGAGTGATGTGGAGTTTATTTTGTCTGTTCGAATTAGTCAAAGAGATCTTTTTCTCGTTCCTCTCGCTTTTAATTGTCGGGAATCACTCGGAACTTGGGAATGTTTTTTTCTCTCTTTCTTCGATCACTTCAGAGATGAGAGCAATTAGAATCAAGAATGAACTACTTTAATGTCATGTCCCCTTTTGCATCGTCTCTTTCTCCGTTCTTGCGTGTCGTATACTCGCGACACCTTCGTTCTTATCTGCCTCGTTTAGACATCTGCTTGACTTGTTGAGCACGTTGAACGTCGACGCCTTGCTGCGATCCTTCGTGCCCCTGCGAGTCGATCTTGTTGTTTCCCTCGTTCATGTGTATCTACGAGCTCACCTTCCTGTTCTCGTCTTCCACTTAAGGCACTGACTATCTACTGGACCACCACGCTCAATATATCTCATGTGATATGGTGATACAAAGGAGAGAAAACCATGAGTCTTCCTGCCCATCTTGGTGCAAGCTGTGACCATCGCAGTGAGATAACAGATCCACAGAAGTGGAGTCGGGTTGATGCAAGGGAAACTAAAACCCATCATACCGATTTATTCCGGGATGTTAGATTTGAGAATCTCAAGCAAAGGTAGGCAGACTAGAGTATCAGACACCCTGAATGTTACTGTATCGGACACGAAGCAAATGGACCAGAATTCGCTGATGTAGTGATGCTGCAGACGAAGGCCGATGGTACAAACTATAGCCAGGGTGCTACTCTCGGCGACATTCCAGAAGCAATAAAAAGTGGATGGACATGCAAGGAAAGCATATTGTCGCACAATACAGAAACTCAACAACACCCACCGTAAGAGTCTAGAGAATGATTAGGAAATCAACTTGATATCTGTATGAACCATGGTGATGGGTGTTGGCATTGACCATAGACTTGATCAGGGGCATCAAAGCATCGCACCTTCCCACTTCAACATCTCACACCCCCATGACACAACACACTTCTCACACCATGCATCCACAACCCACACATCGAGAACACAACCTGCATAATGCGATATTGATTTAGAGAATTGAATGTTCCTCATGCTCCTTGCTCCTGAAGAGAAAATTCCAACTCTTGTAAACGCCACGGCTATGCTGAAAATGCGGACGAGTTATGTATATGCATGTCCTTGCTGAAGAAGAAAGACAAAAACAACGCTAAGCCCCAGTAGAAAAACGCCCCTTTTGCATGCAAGAAACAAACAACTGGAAACAAAAGTGCGACAAGGAAAAAGTGTAAGGCCAGGGAGTAGTAAGATCTGGAAGACCTCCCTAATGAAGAGCTGGGAGTTGTTGAAGTTGGAGGCCTGAGCTTTTCACTCATCTTCCTCGACAAAAGGATCACAAGGATCCAACACCAACCCAGGAAACTTCTAGTTTCCTCCGATACCACCATTGCTGCCAGAGCTGGTCATGCGTCTACCTCGCGAAGGTCTCATATTGCCTATAGCCGCTGACGGCGCAGAGAGCTGATGCTGGTGCCCGAGACGACTGGGTGTCCTAGCATGACTGTGCGATGGAGCAACGGCATTCTTGGGCGTCAAGTTTTCACTTCTGTCATTGCTGCCTAATCCGCTCCGGGAGCCGGGACGCGAGGTTCAGCCTTCGGCAGTAACGAGACTGAGACGCGCGCCCGAGGTGCCGCGGGTGTGGTTGGTGCGAGGAAGACGAGACTTGGAGACGAGGTTGTTGATGTTATTGGCGCCGGCACGGTCGAGAGAGACGAGTCCAGGGACTGGAGGTATGGCGCTCGGAGATGCCAGGAAGCCTGATGCACTCCAGCCTGTTGATGATCCGCCAGAACCTCCGTCCCGGCTGATCGGTCGATAGGGTGACGCCATGCCGGTAGCACCGCGTGAGAAAGGACGCTGTAAGTCGGCGGAGGGATCGAAGTAACTACCTATACGCCCTGGCATGCGGTCGGTTGTCGGTGTAGNGGGAAGCGAATTGCCAGTAGGTACCATCGTAGAAGAGCTCGAACGCCGGAGTTGGCGGCGGTTGTTGACTTCGCCAACACGAGCATTGTGAACAGCACGAGAGACGTGCAACTCGGAAGATTTGATCAGGTCCGAAGCCATCTCGCGTACCAGAATAGCCGGGTCATACTTAGCAGTCTCGGCGATGATGGGGTGCAAACCGAATGTGTGAATGAGTGCGCCGTCTTCATCACTAGAGTCGCAAATGCTGCGAATGATTCTTAGCAAGTTAAGACGTACCAAGGCCTTCTTAGTGCGAAGTTTCTGTGCTGTGCGCAAGAACAGATCTGGATGTATGAGAGAGCTGGCAATGGGAGGACTGAGGCGCAAAAGCTTCTGAAGAGGCTCAAGGAAGTTTTCGAAGCTGTCAGCTTTGCTGTGGTTGAAGCAGTTGATAATTGCTTTAGAGAAGCTGTCATCTCTGAGGAGATGTTCCTCTACCTTTGCAGTCTCTTCTTGTAACCTAATCGCCGTTAGTTGAAATCGTGGCTCACATAGCATTTGCATCACTTACCAGACAAAGATGGCATCTAGAGCCGTGACTTGCCAATATTGATCTGCAAGTAGACCGACGTAGAATTGCAGTCCCTTGTTCTGCCATAGTATCTTCCTTCCAACCTTGCCAGAGTGTGCCATATCACACAAAATAGGCAGTGCAAACTCTTTCAGTGGGCGCTCAGTCTTAACGATGCGCTGTAGCAGAGGAATGACGCCATTCAATGCAGCATCTTCTTGTCTAGTCTTGCTCAACCTGCAAAGATTGTACATGATGTTCAAAACCTGGTTCGAGATCTCGCGGAAGTGCGGTACCTTCATACTAGCGTTGAGGAGGTCAGTCAACACCTCGATCGCGTTCGAGTTCTGCAGAGCATCGAGTGTGGTTGCAAGCATGGACAAGTTTTTGATGAACTTGAGCATGGTGATTTGGTGTTGAGGAGACATGCGTTTCAGATCCTTCAACACACACTTTAAGACCATGCGATCAGCCACTGCCTCCTTGACGTGATTCTCGGCTTGTGAGAACAACACGAAGATGTTGACGATGCGTCCCTCGACCAACTCGGCAAGTTCGCCTTCTTCGTCCAGCACTCGGTTGAGCACCAAAGAGAGCGGATACAACACTGAGCTGCGTGAGAAAATTCGACAGAAATCGTTCTTCGGTGTTGGACCTTGCAATTCGAACACACTCCAGACACCGTTCACTCCAATCAGGACGAGGTCTCTCTCTGCTTCGTAGTCTTCCTCGAGGAATTCAACCAAAACATTCAGACCACCACAGCTGACAAACATCTGTAGAGTAAGTGTACTGGTCTGATACATCTGTCTGACGAACGCAGCAGCTTCCAACCTGATGTCGCTGCTGTATCTTTNTTGCGCAAATCTTGTGATGATTGGTATGCCACCAACGAAGCAAAGGTTCTCTTGTATCTCGACGTTGTCCATGATGATCAAGTTGACAACTTGTAGTAGTCTTAGGATGGTCGTTGGACGATTGCATGTTTCCAGAATCTCTAGAATGGGCAACATGCCATGCGACGACATAACTACAGTCTTGACCTCGGGAGACTCCCACAGTACTTGAAAGAGTTGGTCCACAATATCTTGTAGGTAGTCCTCAGGTTGCGAGACTTTGAGTGAACCAACGAGACCCTCGACCAGGGTTACCAAGCGAGCGAACTTGTCTCGAGCAATATTGGTTTCCAGATCCATTTCGTCGAAGCCTTCTTCGAGTTGTGCGAACGGGTCATCCTCATCTTCTTCATCTCCGAGCCATGAATTCGTTGATAGCTTCGAGTTGAGCATGAGAGTTCCGATCTCTGAGCCACTCTCACTCTCGGGTGGTGGTATCTGCTGTCCGTCTTCTTTGCCAAAGATGTCCGAGAAGTCTTCGTCCTCGGGATCCTCAGCATACTTTTGTATCTCCACTTCAGAACGTGTTCTACGCATTGCGGCGGCATCATGGATTTGAGGGGATGGTCGGCGCATATGACCCATACGCGAATTTGGTCGAGGTAGGCTCTTCAGGTCAGAGGGATGGAACAATTTCGGGGCGAAGGAATCGTCGTTTCGGATAGTCAGCGCCGCAAGCTTTTGACGGAAGACCGAGTCGTTGTCTGGTCCAAGCAGATCGGAGTAATCTTCAGTCGAGTTCTCTCGGTACATCAAAGAGGGGCGTACAGGAGCATCTGCAGGTTTCGGTTCGGATCTTGTCGACTTGTGCATTGGGCGAAGAATCTGTGTCCTCGATGAGTTGTCCTTATCAGCCTTCTCTAGAGCCCTTTGTGCGTGCCGCAGCGTAGTTTGTCCGGGGTTCCTTGTAGGTGCCGTATGCTTCATGTCGAAGGTGTTGGCCCTAGGTGGGAAAAATGGTCGCACAGTCTCCATAGGGTCGCCTCGAATCACCTCCATTGGACTCCTCACAGTAAGATCTCCTTCGAAGTTGTCGTCCCAGTTATCGCCTTCCTCCTCCTCAGCGTTCATGTCGAAAGTAGCATATTGCTTTAGCTTATCCGACGACAACATGCCAGCAAAATTGTCGTGAGGTTTCAAGTGGGGCAGCTGCAAGGCTGCATTGCCAATAGAAGTTGCAAAGTCATCGTCCCAATTGTCTTTGGCATCACTTTCAGGTGATTCATAAGGTTTGGTATCGTTTGCTCTATGTGCCAATGCCAAGCCGCTTTTGTTGAGTCCAGGAGTCCTCAGATGAGAGCCAACATCGGGTCTCGGAGGTACAGGGCTCAAAGAGAGTGGTCTAGATGAGGAGCGCCTTGAGGATGTATTTTGAGGCGATTTGAGTGCTTCGTTCCATTGTTGAACACTCTTTACTGCTTCGTCGTATTGTGTAGGTTTTGCGACAGGTTGGTCGGAACGTCTACCACTGAGAATCCAGGGGTGTTTCAATAGTTTCTTCGCTGTGACTCTGAGGTTAGGATCTTNTTGGAAGCACTGCATGAGGAAGTCGCGAACGGCNNCTGGGTGATGTCAGCGAATTTTACACCTAGCGCATCAAAAGGTATTGCATACCGGAGAAGCTCCTTCAGGTAGCGGTGGATGGTCATCGTTGACGATGCGGAACAAGGCTGGCATAGGCTGCAGCTTATGATACGGAGGTCTTCCATCGAGTAGTTCAATGACAGTACATCCAAGACTCCAGATGTCCGAAGCGGTAGTCGCACCAGACAATTCGATGACCTCGGGAGCCATCCAGTAAGGTGTGCCGACTACGCTGCTCTCATGTAGACCAGTGTCCTTCCTCGTCGCAACACCGAAATCGGCCAGTTTGACTAGACCTTCCTTGGTGGTAAGAATATTTGCTCCCTTGATGTCTCTGTGGATAACACCCTGTTCGTGAAGGTATAACAGACCGTTGAGAACCTGGGTCATGTACAGGGCAACAAGGTTTTCGGGAAACTTGCCAAAGTTTTTGCAGATAGAATGCAGTGAACCGTTCTCGCAATANNTCTGAGTATGTAAGCAGAAGTCTGAAAATTGAGGTGACAGGCAGGCGCACTCAAGAATGATGTACAGCGATTCAGTAGACTTGACAAAGCCATTGTACTTGACAATGTTTGGGTGATTAAGGTTCTTGAGCAGATCAATTTCCATCTGCAGGTTCAAGTCAACACCTGTGGCCAAAGGTAAGCACATAGCCCGGGGTTATAACGATACCATAATAGCGCGAGACTGGCCTTTTGGCAGATCTGCCAATTTGACTTGCTTGATAGCAACAGTTTCGCCGGTACCCCAGTTCAAAGCGCGGTATACACTGCCAAAGGCACCCTTGCCGAGGCAGTCACCCAGTTGNNCTGCGAGCTTCTGTCAGCTCCATGGGCCAGCGCTATGTCTCATGTACAGCAGCTCTTGTCTTACGTAGTCTTTGAGGCCGGTGACCTCACCAGCAGCCCTTTGTACAGACCCGTCTTTGGGCATCTTTTCCCAGCTCGGTTGCCTATTCTGACCGGGTGGCTTGAGGCCGGATTGGGGTTGGAAACTGGCTCTCCTTTCGAGGGCGGATGTGAATCGTTCGCTGCCGCTGTCGGACTCGACCGACGACCTGGGAGGGCCATAGGCCGACTGAGGGCGTTGGGCGATGGCCGGCATGGCGGCGGGCGTGTCTGAGTCGTCGGCGTGGGCAATGTTTCGGGTGTGTCTATCAGGAGCAATCGTGGTCGGCGGGGTTCAGGGACAGGGACAGGGACAGGGACGGGTCCAGAAGCGTCTCCAGTTTGCAGATGTTCGAGCTGTGCGACAGCGGTGGCGGCGACAAAGAGAACTCGCTTCTTGGCCTCATACCATCCAAAGGTCTTGTTGGCAGTCGTCACACTCGGGGACTAGAGAGAAAGTAGGGCGTTCCACTCTCGCATCGACAGTTCGGCGTGGGCACGGGGCACGAGGCTACCACATCCGACCATCCAGGAGATTGGAATGAAGTCACTGGCGATGGCGAAAGGTTGTTTATTGTACCATCTGAGACAGCAATTCCATCCCACGCAGAACCACGAGATGTTGCCCTGAGCCAAACTGCGGGCCAAGCAACCTTTGCGGCCGACGTTGAAACGGGCGGGGATTCGATCCAGGGGACCACTCCCGCGCCCAAAATACACCTGTACAATAATTCTTTTATTTCTTGACAGCTACTGTAGCTTTCCATTTCTCGAGCCTGCTACATGACCAACTCTTCCTTCCACAGTATCCTCGTGCTTCTTCTCAACTTCTCTTGACTTGCTGTCGTTGCTACCAACCACGCGGCCAGGCCTGCGTTTCAAGGGTCATTGCATCATTTCGTCGTTGCCGTTGTCGTTGTCGTTGTACTGATCTCCTTGGTCAGTCTCATGATCGCTGCTCATAAGGCATGCCGTACTCGCTTAGCGACCAGCGAGCGTGTTGAGCACTCCGCCATCAATCGCGATCACTTCTCCGTTGATCTGAAATTTTGCCCTTGTCAGCTCTACGCTCTCTAAATCCGCTTGAGAGACTGATGTACTCACGTATGTGTTCTTGGCTAGCAAAAGTGCCAGCATACCCATCTCTTCGTCACGTCCACCACGCATCTGAGGCACATGGCCCTTGTCGGCGACCTTCTCGGCAGGCAGGTCGCTCTTCTGTCTGTCGTCGGAGCTCTTGGCCGTCATCTCGCTGGGGAAGTAGCCAGGAGCAATGCTGTTGACTCTAACGCCGACCTTCATGAACTCGGCGGACATCAGCTTGGTCAGGTGAACAGTTGCGCCCTTGGCAGTGTTGTNAACTGCGGGCCGTCATGGTTAGCTCATACGCTCTGCACCTAGACTAAGTTCGACGTACGCAAAGTGGCCCTGAGCGTGACGCATGATACCACTCATCGAGGAAGTGGTGATTACGGAAGAGCTGAACTTCTCTCCAGGACCCTGAGGCTCAACAGCGGCTTGCAGCAGAGGCAGGAAGGCGACAGTGGTAAAGTAGACTGAGGTGACGTCGGTCGAGTATGTGTCGTTCCACTCCTCGACAGACTCGCCCTGCCACAGCTTGTCCTTGAGCTCTCCAGCGTCCTCCTTGTCGGGCTCGGCCTTGGGACCGGGAACACCAGCGTTGGCAACTATTGCAGCACGTCAGCCATGGCAGCCTCAGGTCAATGAAACGAGACCTACCAANNGCAGGTGAATGCACTTCTCCTTCTCCTCAATCTGCTTGACCAGCTTCTCAAGATCGGTCTTCTTGGTGACATCGATGTTTCCAATNNACTGGTCGAGTGCTCAGTTATGCTTTTCCTTTTCATCTTGCTAAGATAGTACATACGGGATGATTTGTCCATTCTCAGGCACGTGCTCCTTGCTGGCAGTCTCAAGCTTCTCGACATCTTGGAATCATGTCAGCATTGATATACGTCAGTGATGTGGACGAGACTCACTTCTGCCGACGATGTAGACCTTTGCGCNCTTAGGATGAGGTCAGTTAGATGTCTTTGAACGGCATAGTAGATATATCATACCGTTGGCAGCGAGAGCCTGGGTCATCATCAGACCAATGCCAGAGCCACCTCCAGTGACAACAGCAACTTTGCCGTCCATGCTGAAGAGCTTGTGGGCGTGGAAGTGATGAGTCTCGGCCATCTTGTTTGATGTTTGGGATGTAGTGGTAGAAAAGGGTATTAGGATTTTCCTGTTATAGTGAGTACAAACTTCAATGTCAAAGATTCGAAGATGAACAGGTCTGAAATGCGTTTCTTAAAGGTTGAGGGAGCTCTGCATGGAAAAACAATAGCTGAGAGCTCCACGTTGATGATCGGCAGTGACGTATGGCTAAGCTCACGATGATCAACATGTTGCCTCGGCTGCACTTGCCTTCCCTTTCAAAGTCATGTGCTGTGGTCCTTGGTCGCTTCCATGGTGCATTGATTTTTGTTGCTAAGCTAAGGATGAGGTGGTATCTACTTCAGCATGTCGATGTGTTGAAGGAAATTAAGAAAAGAGAGCTTCGCTGTTGCTCAAAAGAAAATCGGGATTGCTCAAGAAAGCATCCATACGTCCCGCGTCGCTTTTAGTGACAAGGACCTGCCTTTATCCGGATTCCTTCTCTCCGCTGGCATTCTATCCAAAGTTTGTTTTGGATTCCTAGTTGTGGTCTGGAGACGTCTTTACTCCTAGCCCCGGAGACGACTGATCTTTGCAGGGCATATTATCGTGCCCAGCTTGTGTCTGAAGGGAGTAGCTGTTTCGGTTGTGGTCAACACTGGCCGTTCTTCTGTTTCGACTCTCGTTTCGCCTGTGTGACATGTCTTTCAATCTCTCAATCGATCTTCCAATGACTTGTGAGACTACTGTCGTCATGGCCCTTGCCAAGATATAACTCCACTGCATAGAGTGCCATAGTACCAGCCAGATTGGCCCATCTCCAGACGTTGCTACCTGCATCTCCGCCTTGACTGGTCCACCACTCTCCAGGGTGATCAGCTGAAGCCGAAGCGAAATGTTGCATCAAGAGACTGGTGTAGACAGCTATCAAGATACTTGGGCTGAAGTATCCAAGGAACCCGAGGACCTGACCAACGCCGTCACTGTCTTCCAGCGACGGTTCTTGCGAAAGCGCGCGAGCTCCTGATTCGCGCACAGCCGGGATGATACGAGCGGAAGCGTACATAACGAAGAGACGGTATGCCAGCGAAATGATGACGGAGGNGGTGATGGTCATAATTGCTGCGAACAGAAAGTTGAACGAAGTGTGGATCGTAGATGGGAGAGTAGAAAGGGCGTGCATCAGAGTCGAGTAGGATGCCATAATGATTGGAGGCAATGGCGGGAAGTCTGGCTCGGCAGGAACAGGAACGGATTGGGCTGGGTTCGAAGGCTGGTAATCGGTAAAGATTTGGTAGATGCACAAGGTGATGTAGGCGANACTGGTCGAGGTCAATTACTAGGCATGGAGGATAAAGATATGGATGTGACTTACGAGCAGCGAGCTCTCGACGGGGTTACCCTTGCCGCTGCCAATGCCCCAGACACAGAGGAAGAAAGCGCAGGTAATAGCAACGCCGATCAGGATAGCATCGACATTACCGAGCTCCGGAAAAGTGGTGATTCTCCATAGGAAGTAGACGGAACTCGAGATGATCGAGGCAGAGGTGATCAGCAGTCCGATCTGCAGGGTCACAGTTAGCCTTCGTATGTCCATCTGGCCGCGCAACTCCAGCCGACTTACCATCCAACCATCACCTCCTTCACGGTTCACCAGGTATCGTGTAATCTGACCAGCGGCTTGGATGACGAGCAGACTGCAGAAGCCTTCACTCAGCTGGAAGACGGNGGTCGACCAGCGCAGCAGTTTGTCCCAGCCACCAATGGTGAGTGACTGCACCAGGCCGTCGCTACCAAAGACCCATGCATAGAAAGTATCGTGCTGTGCTCTTTTCCCACTGAAGGTCTNTTTTTCCACCCACGCGCTCGCGTCCGAGTCGACCGAAAACTTGTTGAGACTCCAGATCATGAGGGTGGGGATGACGATCCACTGCGAGGCAGCGATGGTGTTGACGAGGGCATAGCGAAGTCTCGAGCGATCGGGCGTGGCGAGTCGTAGCGCAGAGTAGAAGAAGTAGAAGGCGCTCAGCGAGAGTGAAAAGGCAAGACCACAGGTTCGGCCGCCGACATCAAAGGCCAGTGGGATGGTGAAGACGACGCTGAAGAGAAACAGGAGCGCCGACAAGATGCGCGTAATGTACCACATGGGCGCGTCCAGGCCACACGCTCAACCGGCGTGTATGGAGATCCGGAAGGGTCGGAGGGGACTCGAGGGAGATGTGGTAGTCAAGCAGCGCATATAAAGTGGCTTGAACTCTTTCTGCCGCTGGATGCCTCTGACCGCCCTTTGCGTCTTGACGGGCTTTGGACACTTCACCTGTTTGGTCCGGGGTTGAGTGGTCGGCGCGCGCTCTGGAGCGAGACGATCTGAACTTCTGGAAGGCCGCGTGGAAGAAATGATTTCCTGTCGCAATCGGCCGGTATCAATAGGACCGGCACTCTTGTCTGAGCTTGGGGGCACGTTGTCCTCTTTCTGTCGCGTGCTGTGACCTGTCCGTGTAAATTGCACCAGGCCCCACCCGGTGACCCTGTTCGATTTCCACACGACGTTTCTGAAACTTGAGAGGCCGTCGACTTGTTCAATCTTGCGTGTCAGAATCTTGCTGATTCCATCGGAAGGTGCTTGCAGTGCTTGCAAAACTTGTTTGCAAGGTGACAGAGAAATTACGGAAGGAGCTGCACGCTGGTCGTCCTCTGCCGACTCTCGCATCCCGCGCCGAGGCCAGCGCGTGCTTGATGATACAATAATTGGCTGCAGACTACTGCAAATCCGGTTTCTCAAGCAATCATCATCATTATTATCTACCGCCCGCATCTCGCTAGTTGGGGATCTCATCGACACTTCGAACATCCTCCGACTTTGAGACGTTGATCTTGTCTCTAGTCTTCTTGCTGTGCGGGTACACATCCTTCCTCAAGCGGTTGATTCCTCCCAAAGGTCTATGCGCATCTAGGCCCGTCCATGCATCCAACGACATGTGATCCTCCCAGAACACTCGTCGTTCCTGGCTGAAGCTGTTTTGCGTAGGGAAAGTGATCGTACCCAGGGATTGATAAGGACTTGTTGCCTCGTCCCACACGACACTTCCGTCTTCAGTGGGATGGTGCGCAGGATCCGTTCCTAGCTGTATCTGCATTTCGTGAGTATCTTACCTTTATATGTGGATAGAACTTCTTACCTTGAATTCGTATTTGGCTTCTTTGCCGCCAAAGTAGTCGAACAGCCAGTCCGACAAAACACACGAGGGGTCGTCGTTCTTGACCTTGGCATCTGCTGCTTTTTGACTCTCCAATACAGGGAAAAGAGCCATGTGTCCGTAGTATTTACCGAACCGAAATGCTGACTGGCTGTACATGGCATGAGAGATGATGTTGGTGTTCGGAAGCATATAAGGAGCATGTTGCTTCACAAGATCAGTTCGCATCTTGAGATGCGTGCCCAAAGCTGCAGGATCGTCGAAGTACTTCTCGCGCAGACTCATAATTTCCAGCGTTGTGTCAATATCAGTCAGTTCGATGCTAGGGGCGTTGTTGAAGAAGAAGTCCTGAGTGTTGACAGAGTCATCGACGCCTTCCAGTCGAGGTCCTGTAACATCAAAGACCTTGAGTCCTAGACCGCGAGGACCGTTCTCCTGGTCACGCTGAAGGAGATACGGTTCATTCGCATATCTCGCGGCAACATCATAGGTTTTGCCGGGCTCTGCAAAGATGCCTTGTCGAAGATGCTCTGGCAGATCCGAGTGTACCCGCAGAGTACCCTTGACAATGCCTTGCGTCTTCACATGGGTTGCTCTGAAAGCTTTCCTGTGAAGGTCAAAGTTGTGCTCTTGCATGCGCTCCATGACCTCTTTGATGCGCTGAGTCTTTTCTTGCTCGTCCGGCTTGATAATTTCGACTCCCTCAGCATCCCAGGCCAGGTAAGCATCATTGGGTGGTGCGCTGGATAGGCCACGCTTGACGTTGGTCCAAGCCGAGCTCACAGTCTCCTTCAATGCTTCTGTCATGGCTGCTTATAGTGTGTATTTGCAAGCCGATCAAGTGTTTGACATGATAGGTCCTATCAACTTCGTTCCTTTTGATGGAATGTCTTCTGCCAGCGTACGTCATAGAAATCGGTGACTGCCGCGGTTGCACCGCTAGCGGAGGGAGTCTGTATAGCAAAGTTTGGCACACATGCAGACTTGGAACTGTAAGAAGCTCTAGAAATTACATCCGCTCCAAGTACATATCTAAAAAGAACGTGGACATGCACAGAGTCAATGTTCGCTAGTGACGAAGTTGTGCACTGGACAATCGAAGCACAGAGCCGCTTCCGATAGACTGGGCCTCCTCGAAGCTCTTACGGCCGAGTGCTGTTAGCTTCACGAAGTACGGAACTCGTTCGATTCTGCTTCCAATCTCATACTTAATCCAACGTGTTCGAATCTGTATGCTTTGGAGTGGAAGCGCTTTTGCACGCGACCCGCAGCAGAAGTAGAGCCCGAGCCTTTGTGACACCTAAGTTGACAACACCTTAAGCGAAGTGATATGATACCGACGTTAGACGACGTAGAAAATTTGGGACACTAAAAGCCAGAAACGCGTTTTGCTAGGCTTCGTGCAGCGGTGCTGCAAGGCTTCTTCCTATGACAAACATCTATAGATCTACAGCATGATTGAAGGGCCTTCCGAAGACCAGAACCAGGGAGAGTGTAAGTGACCAAATGCGCTTTAGAAAACGGCTTGACTTGGAGTTATGCTCCTTGGTCCATCTGGATGTGATTTCTTTCGTTTTCGCATGGAAACTTTGACCAAGGACCCGACAGAGTGGTAAGTTTGATCATGGAGGTTCCTAGAGCAGCCGCAAGGGTGACGCATATTTCAGCTGAGACCCGAGATCAACATGAAGTTCTTCGGAGGTCAGAGCAATCGGCATCTTCTCTCTTTCAACGTTGCTGACCCCTGCTCGTTTTCATGGTCTTTTTGAGCACTCGCACATCCTTACGCTGGCATGGCCTGTCCATGTCGTCCTTTCCTAAGACATTCTGTCTGAAAGTTCACTTGCCCCAAGACCAAACAGACTTGTCCAGCCGCACCTCCTCGAAGAAAGAGACCAACTTCAAAACCCTTCATTGATCGGACACGGCCCAAGGAGCCACCCATAAACTGGTCCTAGCAAATCGAGCACGTATCCAGCCAGCAATACCCTATAGCAGCGACCAGACCACCCTTGAGTACCTATGCCCAGTCGACTGGGGGAGGAAGACGTCTGCTTGGGTCGGGAATATATGCAGCGCCTCCATTGTCGACTCGCTTTTGTCCCACCTCGGCCTTTCGACCCCAAACGGCAAATCTGCAATACTCAGCTCATGGCCCAGAGGCTTTGTCGCATCGCTGACAAACTTACAACGGAATATAGAGTCGTAGACTCGCGTCTGAGATCTCTCTTTCACAACCGGCGATCAGATCTTCGAAGTCGACTTCCTGCATACCAGCCCGACGGCAATGCCATAGACCCAACGACCTCAGAGTTTGCACAGCTATCGGCTTCATATCCCTACCTATCTCTCTCAAGCGAGGGTCTTGATGCCATTCTCCGACTGGCAGTCGTTTCGGCTCCATGACAATGTTGACGAGCCCGGCATTGGCCATATACCTCGACAACTCCGTTCCGACTCTTGGGTCCTTGTTGTGCCTTTCCAAAGCCTGACTGTAGATAGTCCACCATCTCGACAGATACTCCAGAGGTCTTCCGCTGTGCGATTGGATATGGAACTGAGCTTCGAGCATCTGGAGCCAACCACCAGCCCTGAGTCGGTCATGGAGGTCTTGTACGTAAGACCCCCATCGGTTTGCGTTGATACTGTCTGCAAGGAAGCGTGAGTTGACAAGATCATACTTGTCTCTGGCAAGTTCCTCTTGGTCGTAACGAAAAGGTCCATTCAAATTCCACCTCTTCTTTACCACTCCGGGCGATGATCCTTCGGTATGGAAAATGTCAACAGCAACTACCTTTCCAGCAGGTTAGTCAGGCTTGTGAACAAAGCATATATTGATGCTTACCTGGCATGCGAAGTCGTCGTCCTCTGAGCTGGAAGACCCTGGCCCCAGCTCTGACTTTTCCATCACTTCTTCTGCCCACTCGATGCCGCTGCCGCTTCCACAGTCGAGTACGAATTCTGGCGTCAAGTCGGTTGGTAGGAAAAGACGTCCCTCGAGCAACCGAGAGATGATGTCGTAGAAATCGGCTTGTCGATTGAGTTCTTCCTTTCAAGAAGTCAGCCGCTGCGACAGCAAGTCTTTTACCACTGCCATCCCCTGAACTGCCTAGCCGCCTTTTGGATGGTCCTGCAGTACCACTCTCTTGAGAGCTCTTCGGACAGCATAGTCCGAGTCACTCTCGAACTCTTGTTGATACGTAGTCGCACCGGAGTGTCAGCATCGCAAGCAGAAGGGTAATCTATGCCATGTCACACCCGCTGGTGGGACTTGGCAGCCGACATAATACTCACATCATCAATAGGTACACAGTGTATGCCGTGCTGAATTGAGAAGGCCAGAAAGTCTCTGCCGAATTCACGCACTGAAGCATCGCCTCGAGGCTGAGGCTGAAGGTTTGAAGTCATTGCTGTTGCGGTGGAGCGACAGATGAACTTTGCTTGATCACCCGTCGAGAAAAATGGGTCCGTTCACGCTGTTCGAATGTGCCAATGCCCATACAGGAACATCAAGAATGAAGACTAAGTCGTAAAGTCAAGTGTAAAGCCTTTGGTAGCGACGAAGGATTGACCATGAACAATTCACAAAGGTTGGCAACGTGGTGCCATGCGTTCACAAAACTCCTCACAGTTTACTAGTCCGATGCGAACGCTATGGCTCGGGGTGCAAAGCCTATGTTCCCGATGAAGTGCAAGACAAGCCGACGGATGTTGTGCATACCTAGTCATAAAGGGTTCGCGTGTTTGGCGTACACCACTAACTGTCATAGAATACGAACATCGCGGGCGACTTGCTCCGCTTCCACGAAGCTTTCCTGATTGTGTGCAGAGTTGCTGACAAGATCCTCTCGGTCCGCCAGACTATGGTGCCAGACTTGTCTTTGAATCAATCCTCGCTGTCCAACAAGCATCGAAGTTTCCAAAAAGTACTGACTCCCCAAAGCGGCCATACAAGTATGTGGCATCTGACTTGGCTGCATTCGTTCTGCCGATCTGTATGCAATGCACAAGTAGTTCTTGGGAACAGTTTCATGCAAGCATGTACTATGTATGCCTGCGGTTGCACCGACCCTCAGACTCTGCAATCAATTTACGGGTACCTGTTGCTGGAGGCATGTCAAGGACCTTTCTTGGAGCAGGTACCGTCATCGAATTGGTTGTGTGCTGCAGGCGTCATGTGGCTGTCGCGAATGCAACATCTTCCACCTTGGACAGCGAATGTTCAACAAGTCAATTGTAATGTCGTACTGCATGAGCCTGTATTCTTCCAATGAGAGACAAATCGCAGTCCGGCTCCGAACTGGACTCGGCTTTCGAAACCCAATCGTAAAGCGCAGCACTGTATCTGTCAATTATATGCTTGCTCCGCTTACAACACATGGCGCAAGCAGGGGCCCCCGGCTGCTGGTTGCTCGGCCAGGTTTTCAACGAACTTGGACCCATTTCTTCACCGACTCCATGGCTGCGGTGCTGTCAACGGGCTTCTGCCGCCTCCCTCGAAGCAACACGGGTGGATCTCCCACACACTACATCTCACACTGCCAAAGTTTGTAAGTGAAATGCTGGATACTCATTCTCTCTCATGTCTCTTTTCTCTTTCATCGATTGTGAACGCTCTGATCAATTACAAGAAGGATTTTGAGATGGTCAGTGCGCTCGAGTCGGAGGAACGTCTGTCCTTGATCAGTAAACTTGATATCTTACCCTCGGAGACTGCCATACCAACACGCTCTGACTGACATGTCCAACGTAGATCTTTAAGCTTGGGCCATTGTGTGCAGGTCCAGAGGTTAAAGTTGGCCGTTCTCTGGTTGACACGTGGAAATGCTCATTCCCAATGCGAACAGCCGAAGCCTTCCGTTCCCATCGAGGAAACGTCCATTCGAATCGTTGTTTCAAGGAGCGATGTTAGCAGATACATAGAACGATGATTATCACATCAAAAGAGCAGTTAGCGAATGTGTCACCCTATACCGTGTTGGCATGAAGTTTGCGAGCTGTCGCACACGAAAGTTGTGGCCTTGTGAGTATGAGTATCAACACACCTCATTTCGAGTCTGCAGCCACAAGACCACACCGGTATCTGCCCTACTCAGCCGCTCCTGCTATTTGGCGTAGTCGTGTATTGAACTCAATTTGTCATGGGAGCAAGCATATGAACGGGAACGACAAGTTTTGTAGTTCATCACCATGGCCTACCACAGCAATTTTTTAGGTCATAGAGCCGCAAAGGATGTCTACGAGGTACGAGTATGATCGCTCTCGGCCCAAGAGACTTCACACTCCTGACGGCTTGTGCATAGCTCAAACTTAACCAATACACCCACACCGCAACTCTTTCCTGTACTCTTGGCCGCATAATAATACCGCTCGCTAGCTCGGTACAACGCTGTGCCATGCGACAGACGGAATGTAACATACAGAATGAAGACGCTGTTTCAGAAAGCTGCGTCTCTCTACACCCTGTACTTGTCTTCGTGCTGCTCAACTCCCTCGTCTTGCATACCTCAGATTGAACGCGAGAAACATCTGATTATCATCAGCAGCACATACACCATGCAACATCCTTTTCAAATCAGTCGACGGTCCATCAGGTGAAGCAAATGCAACAAACAGCCGGTCAGATGCGCTAAGATGACTTTTTCATGCAGGGAAACATAACTGCCCCATCGGCCGCGTACCGCGATGCTCGCCGATAGCCGACCTTCGAATGCGGGACTCGAGAATCCTTGCGAACGCTCACCTCTACAACTCTACGATTGCGACAACGCGTGGATTCAAGCCTGTCAACTCCCAGCATCCATCCCCGAACTACTCGGAAGATCCACAAGGCCTTGCGGACAGCGCTTGAGTGTTTAAGGAGTAACAGACGACTTCACGCATGCCACAATTCTGCATGACCGGGATATGCCACTAGATTATGGCTGCACGATGCCACCACATCCATGGTGTCTGCAAGCGCACTTCAGCTCTTTTTAGCATAGTGGCACGCTCAATTAAGAATAGTCGTGGTCATGCCGATTTGGACACAAAGACAAGCAACTGAAGATCTTGTCAATGTCGAGCACCTGTGAGCAACACATAAACAAAGGTAAGCCATGCGTGACTGTGCAAACGTAAAGCGAGCAAGCCCTGGCGCAGGGTGCCCTGGTTCATCAATAGGACCGACAAGAACCAATTCGCGACTTTCACGATCGAAGACCTGGGCAGCAACAGATATGCGCCTGTGAGCAGGAAGGCACACCTTAGCAGCAGATGTCCTCGCTGCTTTCCCTTCCAGATTCGGGGTTGGGCTCTATCAAAGTCCTGATAGGTTCTTCATTTCTCAGGAAAGGCCGGAATTGCGGACCTGATTCCTTGAGGAAGTCTGACAAGGGCACTAAAGCAGATGGTCTATGATGCATAATACCTGCTTTGAGGTTGGAGTGGCTGCAAATAGCAGAGATAGCAGAGATGACATACGATTTTTTTCTCCATGGACGCTACAAGCGATCTATCCAAAGTGCATACACTACTTCGGACTATCAGATTCATGTCTTTCAAATATATTGCGAGCCTACAGAAAGATCCGCCGCCGATAGTGAGCTTCATAAAGGTTGTACGATAGCCCGAAAAGAGTTCGAAAGGAGATAACAAACAGCATCGGGTATCCACATCATAGATTAATGCTCTAAATGGATGATTAGTGAACCATGTTTACTCCGGCGAAACAAGACTATCATGTTGAGTCTACGCTTGGAGCACGTTTTTGACGGGTGCCAAATCAAAACATGCGATTGCCGAAAGGAGAAGGAGAACATCAAGGTGACGACTTCGGCTCGATCCAACAGAGGCCCGAGCTCAAGCTCCTTTTAGATCGATCGTTTACAACCGGGCGGTTTATCCATCCTTCTGCTTGTTCCTCGACTAGTAATCGCTGTCAGTATGATCTCTGGCTTAGGAATCGTAGGTCTTCGTCCACAAAGATCATATCGTTAGGCTTGGTGAATTTAGGCAAGTGCGACGGAAATGACGCTGCTCAGCAGGAAGCTGCCTATCTCAAAAGCGGAGAACAATAGGCAAGAGGCTCCCTTCGTCTTTCCACCGAGTCCTTACGGTAGAATAGAACTGTTCATCCGGCTCAGAATTGCGTTGGGATTTGAAATGCTGCTAAAAGTGAGCCAAGACATGTTATTGCAGTGAAATCGTGATGTGGACTGTGTAGTTCGATCGTCACTATTCGCTACAGTGATGTCACGCTGAATTACATCACGCAAATGCATCCTCACTTATATCTTTATCCTCAGAGCTGCAGATCTGTTCCTACACACCAACTTTTACAGACACCTCATCAAACATATCAAACATCATGTCTGAAGGCCAATTCAAGCAGGGTATGTGTCTTGTCCTTGCAAGCGGGGCAACATAGCAACTGATAAACAACAGGTTTCGAAATCCCCGTCGCTCACCAGAAGCCTCCGGGTCTTCAGAGCGAACAGAAGGGTCCTGAGCCCGTCAACGAGCACCTTCCCACCGAGGATGGCGGTTTCCAGCTCTACAAGGCCGCCGGCAAGCTTGAGGGCAAGAAGGCCATCATCACCGGAGGCGACTCCGGTATTGGCCGTGCTGTTGCTATCATGTACGCCATGGAGGGCGCCGACAGCTTGATCGCCTACCTCGAAGTCGAGGAGAAGGATGCACAGGAGACCAAGAAGAAGGTCGAGTCCTACGGTCGCAAGTGCCACTTGCTCCAGGTCGACCTCAAGAAGAAGGAGGACTGCCAGAAGGTTGTCGACACCGCCCTTGAGAAGATGGGTGCCATCAACATTCTCGTCAACAATGCTGCCTACCAGAACATGGTCGAGGACATCAAGGATCTCTCCGAGGAGCAATGGTACGTTTTCCCGACCAACATCCATCCGTTCTCTTACTCACGTTCTTCCAGGGAGTTCACCTTCCAGACCAATATTCACCCCTTCTTCTACCTCTCCAAGTACGCCCTTCCTCACATGAAGAGAGGCGATACCATCATCAACAACGCTTCCATCAACGCCTACATTGGTCGTCCTGATCTCCTGGTACGTACTATTAAAACCTACCCATCCCACTCCATGACACACCAGTATTTCTACTGGCCCTATACAGCCACTGTGATGTACATGTCATCTTGCTGTTTTTGCACGGCCTTCGAGAATGTTTGTCTTTTGTGCCGTTGATCACTCTTACTAACTACTACTGCCTAGGACTACACCAGCACCAAGGGTGCCATCATCTCGTTCACAAGAGGCCTACACAACCAGTATGTCGGTCGTGGTATCCGTGTGAACGCAGTCGCCCCCGGTCCCGTCTGGACTCCCCTCATTCCTGCAACCATGAACGAGAAGGCTCAATCCGAGTTCAGCTCACCAATTGGACGTCCCTCGCAGCCTTCGGAGATTGCTACTTGCTTCGTCTTTCTAGCAAATTCCGACTCCGCTTCTATCGCCGGCCAGACCATCCACGCCAACGGTGGTGTTGTTGTCAACGGTTAAACAACTCCTTGTTCGGGATGGGAATATCGAAGAGAAGCAGACAGAAGCATGAAAACAGCCTTTGCTATGACCTAGTTTAACGAGTTTATGAGAATTGAGACAGCATCATAATCGACTTTCGTCTCCAATCCATACCACATCCCTTAGATCCGATACTACACTATAGCTGTGAATAACACTTGATACTCACCAGCATGTTTGATTCTCCCTTGATATCGCCATCAAGAGTGCATCATCGAATCGAGGTTGCCGCTGCGCCTTGCTTTACACTCCGTCAAATGTAGTATGTATCGCTTTCCAAAATTGTTGCCCGCAAGTGGTCTTTGATTGCAGCGAGCGGCTAAACCATCACATCCCAATGTTTCAATAATTCGAGATACATGCGGCAGCATATTCATCTCTTCTGCTGGCCCAACACGATCGCCGACATTCCTTCGAGGCCCGTTGACACAGAACGATCTGTCTTTACCTTCATAAATATACCTTCCATATCCGCCATACCTTTGCTGCTCGCAATGGTCCGTTCACCCACCATCACATGATAAGTACTCACATGAACCTCAACAAATCCTAGCAGTCCGTTCGAGTCTGTCGCATAGGCCTCTATCTTCTAGGTCATGGTACAAGTAAAGGTTGCTATTATACCACTGTAACACATAAGCGCAGCGATAATTGGCTGAAGATATCGCAACAGCTTTGACACTGCTGTTGATCACTGAGTTCGCTCAATACTGGTGCAGTCTTCAGCGAATACAGGTGGAAGACCTAGGAGTGGAATGGTGTATATACATTTCAAGAACAACATCCCTCCTTTTTCTGGATATAACTTGCTTATCGTCCCCTCTTGAGATATACTCTGACCGTATACATGCACAAACTCTCCCTGGGCTTGATCTGGCCGAGTGAGAGTGCGGTAAGCACTGAAGTCGTTCTCTACACATTGGAAAGACCGTTCTAACCTCCGTATAGACAGCCGATTGCATGTGTAGCTACAAGAATACATGGAATTATTCGAGGTAGACGCTTGTGCACGGAGAACAGACAAGAAAGTAGGTCTCTCCGGATATCACTTCTTTCACGGTAACTATTGTGCATCTCTGCAGCTTGACTACATTTTTGCCACCGTCACGGAATGGGACAAGACTGACTGATAGCACATAAACCTGACATTCCACTGTGAGAGTCAATTGTGTGAGTAACAGGCAGGTTTGTACACAACCATTTCCACATCAAGTAACAGTCATAATCAACGGGGACAAAAGGTGGTTCAAAGTGTATGGAATTTATCCAGAACTTTGATTCTGGATGCAAGAACAAAAGAAATGATGTCTTTCTATCTACATCAAAAGCTCTCTATAAGGTGCTTTTGCATGCCTTGTTTTCGCATAACTAGACAATGATGTGGACTGTGAAAACCGACAGAAACTACTCTGGCTGTGCCTTCCTGATTGCGCTCTTGATCTAGCGACTTCAGTCTGTCTCATGGAAAGTACGTTCTGTTTACGGCTCCTTCCTGGATTGCGGCGCTTCGTCACTCATCATGAATCTGACTGCTTCTGACGCTGGTGAATACGGCGCAAGTCGATAAGAACTCTTTACGGAAGATGTTCATGCTTGCATAAGTCCTCGTATGCAGGACTTCGTTCATGACGATGGCAAGTGATTTTGCTCGGCGAATCTTGATCTTGCTGCTGAAGATGCTGGGCTGCGTTGCAAATGGCAGTTCGAAGGATCATGTGGTGCCTCGCAAGTCGCAACTTTGATGATCCTCGAATACATGTGTATGTATCTCCATCGAAGTCGCGGTTTGGGTATATTGCCGATAGCCCCGTATGGCATATTCTCAATGAGTCTCACTGTCATCTCCGCAGTGAAGCAGAGAGATATGTGAGCTGAGAAAACGCACGATGATTTTGGAAACGAAAGATATGTCCAGAGAAAGCCAGTCAAATGGTAAGTTTCAGTTGGGGGAATATTCATTCACTCGTCATGTTCACAGCGGTCGAGGACTTTGCGGCCATCTGGTATCCTGCGCCTTTTCCAGATCAGGAGAAACAACAGAAACCTCAGTCCAGCCCTGAGAATCTTCATCTTCCGTACTTCCAAAAGCACGGAATCCATCTCGTGGACGAGACCTAGATAAAGGAAGACCCTTGAGCTGAATATCCGGCACAATCGAAGGTGTCTTCTTGCCGCTACGACTGCCTTGAGAATGAGATACCGATTTTGCTCCTTCCAGACACTTCTTGAATAGTGGTCGCAGGGTTGCAAAGCTGACTGCTGTGATACCAAGACCAGGCTCGATGGTACTGTACAAAGCAAACTTTGCACTTTGCTTGAAGAAGTGTTTTCCTGGTTTGAGGCCTTCGACATAGCCGAAGCGGATGAGGGAGACGATACTTCCTGCCGCTCCCAGCGCAAGCAAGAGATAAGCCCAGAACTTTGTTATGCGCGGCATGTTCAAGTTCCAAATGGTGACGATGGGGAGGAGAGCCATGATCCAGTCGGTGGTTGCGTTTAAAGCTGTGTGTACGTAACTGGCAGGTATGGTAACATCCGTAATGGATATGCATTTGTGCTGGACCGTCCGGATGAGAAACTTCTCAGGGTCTCCACAGCCAAAGGTAACGATGCCAAAGTAGATGAATCCGTAGATTGTGCTGATGGTCATACAGATGTAGATGACCGCTCTCTGCCAGGGTTCGATGATGATTCGCAGGAAAAANNAGAAGCCCAAGGAGATCTTCAGGAATACTCCGGTCAGGGCGTATGAGCCGCTAAAGGCAATGATGTCNNCTTGGGTGATATTAGCATACAGATTCCGCGTTATGAAATTTTGCCCACCTACTGTCACAAGAGTGGAAAGGCCAACAACGTTGTTGTATTTATGCGGTTGCATTTCCATCACAGAAACTTTGATCAAATACGCACATTGTACTGTTAAAGCTGNTCTATTGATGGTGTTAGCGTAATGCCTGAGCGAGATAGACTGTTTTTCTCCAGTACTCACAATAGCAAGCATGATGGTCCAGTCGTCCAATCCGAATGATCTCATCATCACACTACGAACGTAGACACGCAGGATCACAGAGAACCATGCGACTGCTAAGATAGCCACAGTTCCAGAGAAGAGTGACTGGGGCACAGAGCCCAGATGGCTCAAGGTTGGGATCTCGCTCGCTGCCATGATGATTCCAGTATAGCAGACCTAGCTGCGTCCTTGTTAAGTCGTAGTATCCTGGTTCAGGTGTAGATGTACAATGTTCTTGTGACACAACTAGGTGACGTAGACGCAATCTAACACCCTTGCTCTTTCATCTCCAGTTGGTATAGATCAAAGGATAGCCAGCACTTTGTATCCAGGTACGATTAGCAACAGAAACCGGTGGCGGAAGAGATGATTGTCCAAAGAAAGCAAAGTAGGTAAAGCTGGGGACGTGCCTGCCCTACATATGTGCATCTACTTGCAGCCTGTACATATGGCTCGAACTTTGAGGACCATCCTCAGCACATGTAACAGATGATCGACACAACATAGGCATGTCTGGAGACTAGTTGGTACCAAACTCTACGTTATTGACGCAGAGCCACGACTCACAGATGCTGGGTTAAGTGGTATTCAAAACGCCATTGCAGAAAGAGGCTGAGGTTAACTTTAAATCTTGTTGGAGCATGAAACTTGACTAGCATCGGCACGATAAACCTCTTTTCGTAAAGGTGTGTTAGGCAGAAGGTCACAAGGAGGCCCCGTGTTTCAACTTCGAACTCATACACAGCTTTGTACAAGGGTGGGAGGTTGATCAGTTGATCAGTCGATCAAGGATGGAGAGCAGAACACCTTTCAAACCTTGACGCTCGGTCGCGAGAAACATTTTCAGAAGCTTCGGCAAAGGGTCCAACCACGAGACTTTCGTAGCGGTTGAACAACGGTTTTTCTGACAGCAAGATGCTTGACTCTTTAGGTAGATCTTGACCGAGTCAAGCAATGCCGCATTTGGGAGACGGCAGAGCTCGAGCGCCGAAGTGGAATGAGATTGTATTCTCGTAGGTCAGATGCCGTGGCCTTGAATCCACAAAATGATACCGAGACACAAATACCAAAAGAGGATCTCACTTTTCATGGTGCTGCAGCATCATCTCCGACACGGCAAGCGAACCTGCCACGCGGTTTTGATGAGATGAGTTCTGTTGATCGCCCATAGGGCAGGAGAACCTTGAGATGATCTGCGTGCGAAAAGAGCAAATCTGGAGAAACGCAGCGACGATTCTCACCGTGCTGTGCGGTACCGAGAGTCGGGTTACGAGGCATCGTACGCATGGAGACAATAGAGAAGGAAGGATTCGAAAGAGGCTTGCGTTCACGTGGGACTAATCTTACGCCGTAGAGGATCAGGGAATCTCAGGGTAAGGATATGAGACCCCTTCGAGCAAAGTCAATACAAACATCACGAGGATACACGGAGGAAGCTCCAGGCAGAGTTTGGAGAGAAATCTCAAATGTTTCAAGAAGATTGCAAGAAGCACTTGATGTCTGTCTCCGTCAAGACCTGCTTTGAACCACATGCTCATCAAAGATAGTTTCGGTTCTCGATTCTAGATGAACTCCTCAGATCGGGAATGCCTATGTCCCGGCAGAACCCCTTTACGTACTTGGAAGATGCTCTTGAGTCAGGCCATATTCCCATACCATAACTCCCCAGCGCCAAAACGATGGAAGACTCCCGCAATGCAACAATGAATGACATACCTTACGCCATCTCAAAGCCTGGGCTTGACGCCTTCGGAACTGAGTGCCGATGCCTCCTTGTTCAACTCCACTCTTCCTGTCCTCTCTGGTCCGCCCTCACCAAAGAAGATGACTTCAATAGTCAGGTCATCGCGGTACCTGCGCGAGTAAGGGCTGGGAAGAGTCAGTAGAGCGGATAGAGTGTCTGTGTCCTTGCCGCCAAGGGCATTGCGTGCGAGATGGGTTGCGGCATTCTTGTCTTGGACGACAAAGCGCTGGAACTCGGGGTCGTTGACACCCCACTGCTGTTGGCGGATAGGAGCACGCTGGCCGGTGGCATCCTCGCCGTGGGAAGCTCCTTCTACATTGAGAGCGGAGGCTGCCTTGTTGGAGCTGAACCACGCCTTGAGCCATGACTGGTTCTGTTGAGGGCCAGTGTGCGCCTGCTGATCAAGCCACATGCCGACAAGACCAACAACCTCTTCGTTCGTGAGCATCTCCCACAGCCCATCGGTGGCCATGACAACAAAGTCGCCCTTTTCAGGTTGGACCTTGGTAGTAGTAACCACAGGCTCGGCAGTAACATATGGAGGCGTCTTCAAGTATTTGGAGTAGGAGCGGGTAAAGAAGTTCTTCCTCAGAAGATCTTGGGTCTCCTTTGACCACTTGTAGACGGCATCACCAAAAGCACGACTGGGCTCAAGACCACCGAGAATACGGCCGTTATGGGTAACGTAGGGCTCGTTGGGGTGTTCCTTGCGCAGACGAGCATTTTCGGAATCAGTTCCACCGGTCTGGTCGACAGAAAGGGCAGTTGCAGTCCATTTGCCGCTAGTAGCGCGACGGCCCAGAACGGCACGCGAGTCACCAGTACAAGCAACGCGGAGCTCCTTGGTGCGACTGTCGTAGAAGGAAAGCAGAGCGCATGAACCAGAGAGGGCAGGAGCAAGGAGTTCGGCAGCCAACGACCTCGACTTTGCAGTCTGGACTTTCTTCACACTCTCGTGGGTGATCTCGTGATCGAGCAGAGTGAAGCCCTTCTTGATGGCGGCGTCGACGGCGTCGGGAGGGGGNNGAGGTTTCAAGGACGAGTTTGCAGAAGCGGCTGTGTAGGTTGTGTTCAATTCGCGAGCGACGTAGGAGATGAGGGTCTGGCGGAGTTTGGCAGATGTGGTCCAGCCNNGCTGTGGTGCAGGTGTTAGCGAATAGAATACTAGATGAGCAATTGGGTAGGCGTACGCATGACCGTCAAAGACACCCCAGAACATCCAATCGCTGCCTTCGGTTTGACCAGAAACCGACTCGGGGACGTGGATGATCTTTTCGGCATGGTCATCCTCAATGGGATCGTTGCTAGGGATCTGGACAACGTCGTAGCGAACAACACCAGAACCGCGGCCGACCAGATAAGATTCCTGGTTGGTCCTCAGCTTCTGGGTGGCTTGCTCTGCGGTCAACATCTCAAGGACCTTGCGGCCGTAGTCGTCGGTCTCCTTGTGCAGAGGCTGGTTGTCGGGAATGACGCTGGTGTAGAGAGCGCCTTGCTCGACTATGAGGGCGCGGCGCACGGCATCGGCGACTTCTTCTGACACAGGACCAGTGGTACCGGCAGCCGGAGGAGATGCGTAGTTTGTGGGAGAGGCGGATGCAGTGGAGGCAGAAGTCGAAGAGGAGGACTGGCGGTACTGGTATAGGGCAGCACCTCCGGCAGCAACAGCACCGACGGCCAGGGAAACACGGCGGAGGCGCATAGATGAGGGGGCGGTCGATGAGCGGGTGGCTAGCGAGCGGTGGAAGACGACATTGCCGGCGACCTTTGATCGGGAGACGTTCGGGCGGCGGACTGCGCGCAAGTTTTGAACCACAGCACGACGCATTTGAACAGGCATGCTGTTGTCGCGAAGAGGGTGCGCTCAATGAGTGTCTAGACCGTGCGAGTCTGGGGACGACCTGGACGCAATCGCTCGCCGTTTGTTAACTTTGTCACGCTTGCAGCTGCGTGAAGTCACGATATCATCACAAATCGAGGAGGTGGCCGCAGAGAGATGATCGAATCCTGCCTCTCCTTGGCCGTCTATCTACTCTGAAAACTATTGTGCATTTCTATAGCTCCAAAAATGCTCTGTTTCTCCATGAGAGGGCAGGCCTGATGTGACAAACTTTGGCACATGTTTACGTCACCGATTCGAGCTGAATCGTGAATATTATCTGACCCCTCGTCATTGGCATACGAGTCACACTACACACCACGATCATGTCGTCGAGAGCACTCAGAAAGGCCCAGCGCGAACGCGAAGAGCAGGAGCAATTGCGAAAGCTTCAGGAAGAGCACGAGGAGCGAGATGAAGAGTCCGAAGAAGAAGAAGCTCCTGCTGCCGCTCCTCCAAGCAGAGCCTCTTTGCCATGTTGAACCAGGACGGCGCCGACGATGATGAAGAAGACAACGCCGAAGACGATGACAATCAGCCAGAAGAATCAGACGACGAACCCGAGAGGCCCCAGCCTACGCAAGCAGCACCGAAGCCATCGACCAAGTCCAAGAAGAAAAAGAAGAAGGCAAAGAAGGCACAACCCACAAACCCTGCCACTGCCAAATCGGATCCATCGCTCGATGATATCGACCTCGCTCTCAAGTCTCTCAGCACAAAGGGCTCAGGCACGGCCACTCCCACGAACACCGCTGATCCCAACACCAATGAAGTCTGCCGACTACTTTCTGTCGACACATCTTCGCTCCATGCTGCCAACGAGATGCGCAGACTCTTTGGTCGCGCCGCACTTGAAGGTGACAACGATGATGACAACAATGCTGGTGGGCGCAGGAGAAACCGTGGAGGTGCTCAGCAGGCTGGTCTAGCTGCTGCTCTGGGCAGAAGACCTGGTCAAGGTGGAAGGAGCGACGGTCTGGCTGCACTCAGCCGTCGTCGTAACATCTTCATTCAAGGCAAGGAGGAGTGGCCTGTTGCTACCAGCGGCGGTCTCGGTATGGAGGTCATTGAGAAGAGATCAGATGGCACTATTGAATATGCCTTCGTCCACAACCGCACGTACCAGGACGTTCAGGGCCAATTCGAGACTTGCGTAGCTTCAATGGATCCTCAACGCATGGTTCTCCTGCTACAACACAATCCTTACCACATCAGCACTCTGTTGCAAGTTTCGGAAATTGCAAAGCAAGAGCGCGACCACACCACTTCTGGTGACCTACTGGAGCGTGCACTCTTCTCCTTTGGCCGTGCCGTTCATTCTACCTTCTCCATTAACCTCCAGCAAGGCAAGGCTCGTCTTGACTTCCGCCGCCCTGAGAACCGCGAGTTCTGGTTGGCCGCATGTCGCTACATCTCCAACTTGGGCATGCGCTCGACCTGGCGAACCGTCTATGAATGGTCCAAGCTATTGCTCAGTCTCGATCCTGAAAACGATCCTTACTGCATCAGTCTTGTCATTGACCAATACGCTATACGTGGACGCCAACCCCAGAACTTCCTTGATCTCGTCAACAATCCTATATTCACATCCAAGTGGAAGCACTTGCCCAATGTCCAGCTCAGTCGCGCTCTGGCTCTGATTCGTGTGGGTAATGCAGCCAAAGGCAAGCAGTCACTCTACACTGCGGTCAGCCGCTTCCCCTGGGTCGTTGCTCGCCTCTTCCAAGAGCTCAATCTCGACCCTCCACCCAGCGTCTGGGGCAAGTCCCCTCGCACCGACAGCGAAAAGCTGCATTCCGAAGTCTACGCCACTCGCGCAAAGGATCTGTGGAACACGCCAGAAGCCAGCGAGCTCCTCGTCGAAGTCAGCTCGGCAGTCAGCAGTGAAGTCCCCGATCCACCCGTGGTAGACAGAGACATTACCCTGGATGAAGGACGACACATCCTGATGAGCGACACACCAACCCTCATCGCACTACTCCCTCGCTCCATTACCGCAAAAGTTACCTCGTCCTCCGACCCCTTACCCCCTCAAAACAATATCTCCACATACACGCCCACTTCCGCAATGACTCATCGCGCTGCACAACCTCCATCAGGTGCATTAGGCGGCGCAGCAGAATCCCTCCGCGAACTCCAAGGCCTCTACCGCTTCTTCTCCGACCTGTTTCCCTGGTTCAACCCCACAGGCGAAGGCGAAGAGCGTCCTCAACCAACGAAGAGGAANATCGAACGCCGTATTGCTGAGAGCGGTGTCTCTGAAGAGGTGATTGTGCAACGTACCCAGCGTTTGATGGAGCTGCAGCAACGACTGATTTCTATTGGTGAGCCTGAGGTCGAAGCTGAGGCTGCGACTGGAAATGAGTTTGCTGCTACTGTTGAGGATGGAGAGGAGGATGAAAATTAGTAATGTTTCTGTTAAGACTGAATATGAGTGCATGATCAAAAAGTTGTGTATGCAGTTTCTGTCTCCTTGTGTGTTGAATCTGTGATGTGTGGCTATGACAACACACCATACTTTCTGAAATAGCATGACTACCATTGAAAGCCCTTGATCCATTGCCTCTCTCTGGACACAACCCTGATCCGAACACTATCATGCAATCCGGCAGCTCACAAATTGCGCTCTAGTGAAGCTGGGAGCGTGAGAGTATCTTAACTAATACTACATTGCAACTATGTTTCCTCCATATGAGGAACAGTCTCCCACGATAGCGTAGAGCGAAATGTAAAATGTAAAAAGCACGATTCTTTTCTGAAGCAGAGGCGTAACCAAAGAGAGCCGCTGAGATGATGGCGCTCAATGGATATAGACTTGTTTCTCAATAACACTGTGCATTTTCATAGCTACATGCTTAACGTGTTTTGACATATAGTGAAGAGGTAATTGAGAAGACGTAAGTGATTCACGATATCTGTACAGATATTACAATAGATACAAGTCGCGAAAAGGGTCAAAAAAACACCAGGTTTTTTCCCTTATTCAAAATAGATCATGCCGATAAATCTACTGTCCAATATTGGGTGGACGACCATCGGCAGCTCTTGTGCTCTCAGGCACAAAGTCGGTGCCTGAGACATCGTGGATGCCGTGGGTAGCGGTGGCAGGAGGTACCTGCATGTTCTCTACGCGGCGTTCACTCTCCATACCAGCAGCATCGGCCTTCTTGATGCCGCGAGCACCGCCTGTGAGAGCGAGAGCGTCGGCGGTGACTAGCTCCTCGTTCTCTGGTGGTGTCCAGCTGGAACTCTTCCAGGGCTTGACGTGCAAGATGTACATTGTGTCAATCTCTTCCAGAGTACGTCCTTGATGCTCGCATAAGAAGAAATAGGCCACAAAAGCGCCTGCAAAGTTACAGGCGGCGAAGATATAGCCGTAGCGGTAGTCGATATCGTTTGTGATGAAGCGCGTGAAGAATGCCTAAAGCAAAAGGGTACAATTAGCATAGTCTCACTAAGCTGAACATAAGAAAACCACGGCTTGACTTACGATGAGGAAGTTCCAAATCCAGTTGGAAGCTGTAGCAATGCCCATGGCCTTTGCGCGGTAGCGAGTGGGATACAGTTCACCCACGATACACCATACGATAGGTGCCCAAGTACTGGCGTATCCAGCGATGAACAGACAAGCAAAGACGATCATGACTGTACCGGCAGTTCCTGTGTTTTTGTTCTCGTTGAGTTGGAAATGCCCGACACTGGCGAAGACCATAAACATGGCGAACATCCAGAAACCACCGAAAATGAGAGCCTTGCGACGTCCAACGTTTTCAACAACCCAGAGACCACCGAAAGTGCAGACAAAGTTGACAGCACCAAGGATAGTGGCTGTAACGAAACTGTCGCTGATGCCAACCGAGTCGAAGATAGTTGTTCCATAGTAAAAGAAGAAGTTGGCACCTGTCAACTGCTGCAGCATTTGAAGGCCGGCACCCAGGAGTACACGGTAGGCCATGCGGGGACCAGTGAAGACCTCATACCAGGGGTGATTTCCGCCCTGTTGCTCGACATCGAATTTGGCCTTGATCTCGCGGATCTCACGGTTGACGGCAGAGTGGTTCTGCGAGGTTCCGTAGACGTTGGCGATGGTGTGTCTGGCCTTCTCAACTTTTCCTTTGCGGTAATCCCAGCGAGGACTTTCGGGGAGAAGCCAGATACCTCCGGCCATGATGCCAGACCAGACAAAGCCAATGCCCATAGTGATACGCCATGAAGCAGGTCCGTTGATGTTCTTAGTGCCCAAATTGATGACATCTGCGAGCAAGATACCGAGAGTGATGAAAAGTTGATAACACGACACCATAGATCCTCTGATGTTCTTAGGAGCGGTTTNCCTGACCAGAAAAATTAGTATGTCGCTAGGACAACAATTGTTATCCTCAAATCCACTTACACTCATGTACATAGGAGTCAAAACCGAAAGTGCACCGACACCGAGTCCAGCGACCCATCTGCCAATTGCGACCTGATACCAGTGATGTGTTGCTGACATCTGTACGATCATACCGATCCAGAACATAATGTTTCCAATGAGGATACACATGCGACGTCCAAACTTGTCGGCAATTGGTGCAGCGATGACAGCTCCGAGAAGAGTACCGATAGAGAGCAGACCAACAATTGTACCTTCTCTTACAGCAGTAAATGCTCCGTTCTCACCGAAGCGGTTCAAGAAGTCGTCCATGGCCAAGAAGCCAGAAANTCTAAAATTCGTTGGCATCAGCAAGGCTCTACATGCATGTGGACATTGTATCATTACCTGACCAGTATCAAAACCGAAGATGAGACCGCCGAGAGAGACGATCATAACCATGGCAATGACTCTGAAGTTGTAGATGTGTGTAGGTCCGTCATCTTCCATTCCTTTTTCTGTAGTATCCATGGTTCGCTGAGCTGTCGTCGGCGGTGTCGTTGTACCGCTGTGGAACGAGGCATCGTCCTCCTTGTCTTTCTTGCTGAATATGCCCATGCTGGCGGCTACTGGGCTAGAGCCAACGTGGAGAAGTTTGGGGTTGTAGTGTGGGATAACGCGAAACGTGGGAAAAGGACCGAAGAGCAGGTGGAGTGTCTATGGGGAATTGACGATATATACACCAAAGACGATCTTCTTGTTTTTTGCTTCCCTCGATTCATCATCTCACAGGACCCGCGAACTGAGGTCATATCGTCTCAGGGTCAACGACACGACCCTCCGGAATGCTACCAAACCGAGTATCCTTCGCGAGACCCGTGATCGATATTTCGTCTGCCGAGCACATCTTTCGGCCAGGGCTTACCAATTTTTGCCGCGGACTGTGACTATTAGACATAGCACGATGTCATTGATAGTGTGCGACGTCATGGCTAGAAAGTTTGGACGAAGCCTCGTGGACGGCACGAGAGACCGGACGTATCCCATTGGTTGACGCGAAGAATCAAACGATCGGATCACGGCGGTGGCTTGCAGGGCTGCAGAGCTGGAATACTTTCAATTGACCACCGTTCACTCTGCGTCATTGACAATACTATACTGTTGTACGCCGAACAAACGACAATGCGAAGTTATTGAAGGGTTGTATCTGCGAAGCGAATTTACTGAGAGTTGGCAAGCAACGGAAAAGTGCCCGATCTGTCTCCAGCAGAACCATGGAGAGCGTCATGGAGAGGGCATGAACATTTCAGTGGAAACTCCAGTCGTCAGATGAAAATCTCACTGCGCAAAGTGATCGACTTCGTCTCGTATCAAAACGCTTGTTTTAGCCGAGCATTATGCCCAACGAACCTCAACTTGCGAGACGCCCTGTCAAACAACATCGGCAAGTCGGCCACGTCCGCGTATCACTCGCATTGACGATGATTTCAACATCCGACCGAAGAACACTGCCTCAACTCGGCGAAGGGATTCGAACCTTGTCGGGATCGGATATCCGATTTCGAAGTACGGCAGTTGGGTCGTTTGTTGAGATTTCGACTATCCTCATGTGCTGGAGACTGCCAGATTCTGGTTATGGAAATGTATAATGCTTCTCTAAAAGGGAGCGCTGTCCATGGAGAGATGTCGGTACATGATGTTTCTATGGCTACGCTTCCGAGTTGGAAACCACTGTGCATTTCTACAGCCTACTGTACATCTTCACTGTGTGAGCATGAGAGAGAGCCGATTGTAAGATCGCGACTGTCTTTAGCATAGCTATGTAAGTACGTTCTTGGGTTGAAGACAGTGCAATCAACCCGCTTTACATCAGATACCTTGGTCTTTCAATCGAACGCTGCTTTCGAGGTCTGCCATATCATTTTGACGACCTATCGACTGTGGTCGTGAGAGAGCGTGGTTCTTCGGACATCAGAAAACCGTTTGCACGATCTGATCGCCAACCATGTAGCGTCCAGACCCTGTTCTCACTACAGTCGCTCAGGCTGTGTGTGACCCTCCTGATGCAGGTCCTTCAATTGACATCTCATTAGTCACATACCACAAAGTTCAACGTCAACTGATCTAGGACCTGATAGGTACGGCCCTACTCATATATGGATCTAATGAAGGTCGTAAACAAGATGGCTTGATCACCAAGAATTCCGTTATTGGCACCGAAATCGGTTTACAATAGTCACGACCTTACGCTCCACGCTTTTCTCTCACTGGTTTACTGTGTGTGTTCTCATAAGCTATGGAAATGCACAGTTTATCTCGAAATAGAGGTGCCACCATGGAGATGCCTGAACAAAGCCTTCTCTCCGTGGATATCGCTTTGTTATAGAGAGTACTGTGCATTTAACTAACAGCACTGTGATTGTTTATCGCACATGGCGAGGAAAAGTGGCAGGCTTTATTCGAGCGTACCTTCCCTATAACGAGGGCAGGAACGAATTGTGATGCTTCACGACGAGAGAGGTAGGCGTTGCTCGAGCGTGGCTTCCACATTGTGTCTCGAAGCCTGAGTATATCTTTCGTCCTCTTCTCGCTCTCTTTTTCTCTCTTCCGGTCAAAACCAAAAAAACCGTGAGTACCGTCAATCCCTTCATTATCCATCGTCCATCGTCCATTGCTTGCCCATTACTCGTGTTTCCATCACGCCTCGCATACCGCTGGTCAGACGGCGGTACTGTCGACCACACACGACACGTCTGAGTGCCGTTCGGGTCCTCGCGGTGCTATCTGCAAGCAAACCAAAGCCGAGAAGAAGGAGAAGCAAGGTCGCTTCATTGAAGCCGTATGTCGGATACATATATTCGTTTTGGCCCAGTGTTCTGATTATACCGTTTTACAGCTCTTTTATGCCGCGGTTGAGCGTCAAGCTGCCCGTATCGCTGCCAACACGCCTGGCCAGCGTGCCCCTGGTGCTCCCAATGCTGCCAAAGACAAGCAGCCTCCCCAAATGCTCCCAAGCCTTCAGGTGGTGGCGTTTGATTAGTGTTGCCTGCATTTTTATATAGTTGTTAACCTCTGATATGATACGCTCTTGGACCCACATCTTCTATTGCTTCAAACTATCATTGTGTTGTTGAAGTCTGTCACACCGTACTCCTGCACTGAATTGTAAGTCGACGAGCTGTACAAATGCACGGTTGTGTTCAGACTTGAGATGGATCCAGAGAGAGCCGACCAAATGCAGGCTCCCTGTGGATGCTGCTCTGGTTCTTAAATTACTGTGCATTTCGATAGGTATACGCAACAGACTGTAGTGCATATGGAGGAGATACATGTATACAATGCAGCATTGTAATAAATAGCCTTAGGGAGAAGGCAACTGTAAGCGCAAACTTTGATCAACACACTCGTCATGACCTATATCGAAGAACATCAGCAATGCTTCGAAAGTTCGACGGATATTTGTCTTACACATTACTTCATCTGCTCAGTCACAACTTCAACATCCTCACCCCCACCTTGACTCTTCCTCTTAAACAATCCTTTCGCAGTCTGTGCAAATGACGAACTTGACTTTTTCTGCTTTTCTTGAGTCATGGCTTCATTCTTGCGGTCGGCTGCTTGTCTCTGCTTCTCGGGATCGTTGGGATATTGGTCTGCGAAGTCCTCGGGCATGTAAGGTGTTTCTCCCTTGAACTCTGGGTAGACACCGCTGATTGCGAATCCGGACATTGTGGTGGTTTGAAAGTGGTGAAGCGGTGTTTTTGATGGATGGTTGGGGCTTTCTATCAAGATTGACGCTTGGAATAGATAATGATAGAATTGGGCGCGGAGTTATCTATATAAGCATCAGAGTCAAGCTTCCTTACGATCACCGTCGCCTTATGACGCTTGAGGCTATGTAAATAGAAGGATGCAGTCTGGTTGATCTTCGTATGGTCGGATCCTTCGGCCGTAATAGCGTTGTTCGTCACATGTTACAAGACGCAGGCTGTTGATCATATCTCAAACCTCTTACCTCTCTCTTGCACCTTTGAAGATACCAATTTTTGCGATTGACAGAGTCACTGCTGGAAAATTCAGATAAGTTTACGCAAAGAAAAACATTAGGCTGAGAGGGAGGAAAAAGAGTTCATTTTGGTTGTTGCGGGGACAACCCTGACTATATCACCCATCGTCATGTGCAACTATACTGTATCTCCATCAGCTTGGATCTACGCATTACATCTGTTCGATTCTAGTGATCTGACTATGGATATCACTATACTGCTTCAGCGCCTCTTGTTCAAGCTCCTCAACATCCTTTCCAGCAAGCACGATCCTCTGGCACAACAGAGTGTCTCCGGTCTCGAGAACAACACCTGTAATGACGTTGTTCTCTACGATGATTACGATGATTGTCAAACTTTTGTCATTCGGGTTGGACATGTTTTGTTGGTTCGTAGAGCGTCTTTGACGACACTTGGTATAAGATTGGTGGGGATGTTGATTTGCTGGTAGGTGGGTGACATTGATCAAGTATACTTTGTCAGGGGAAGCTGCTGTTCTTTTGAATCTCGTGCGGTTCGTGCTTGCCAATCGAAGGGCGTACGTTAAAATCCTGAGAGATTACGCCCTGTCGTTGACAAGTTGCGGTTGCACTTTTCCCTTTACTTAGTCAATTACACGATTAAACCCTCCTACGCCAACAAATAGTGCTACAACATGCTACCGAAATGCACAATTGCTTTATCAAATTGAATGAGTGACTTCGGAGACGGTCCTAGAAAGATGTCTCTCCTTATATGTTGTTGTGTCTTGAAAACCATTGTGCGTCTCTATAGCTACACGAAAAACACAAGAAAGCAATTAAGGGCATATGCTAGGATGAACCAGGTGACTGGATTTGGCCACTTGCTCGTTGTGATTGACCGCATGTCTCTGAAAGTCACCGTAAGAAGACCATAAGATCGGGCTGTAATATAACGTCCTGATTTGAACTGATAACCGCCCTGTTTGACTGAGGTTGTCCAAAGAGGTTCTCAGTCACCTACAACAGATAGTGAGTCGGTGCACTCTACCACGCTCGTGCTCTGTTGATAGCTGATGTAGTCTGTAGCAAGGGACCATGGGAGTACCGATGGCCCAAATTCCGGTTGCCTACGAAGGCGCTTTTGTTTGTGTCTGAGACGACCAAGAGCCATGAATCGACTTACACTCATTAGGATGTGTATCGGCTTGATAGTGCCACGATAACAAGTTTAAGGGCTTCTGATAACAAGCACTTGTTGCTATCAATTAGACCAACAAGCCTGTCCATAAAGCGAAATGCTGGAGTCCGATCAAGTATCCAGACGATCCGAGCTTGAATGAGGTTTGCTCGTTGTAGGCAGGCTCATCGGACGCGAGTGTCAAGTGACAATCTCTCAGGCACCTTCATATCCACAGAGCCCTTCATCAGATCTCTGAACGCACCCAGCTCGTCGGAGGCGGTCGACACCAGGTTGGGTTTCGTACGATCGTCAATACGAATACAGGCCTCGAGAACGAACGCACCACTAACGTCCAAGGGCTTAAGGGAGTCCAAGGTTGGTAGCGCAGTCAGGGGTGTCTGTTGAAGCATCTCACTTGTACGCAAGAGACGGAACAATGTAAGTAGCATGTTCTTGTGCACGAATCTGTGGCCTTCGATGAAAAACTCGTTTACAAACCNTGCAGAAGTCAGAGATTGGAAGTATAAGTACGTAAAGAGAGGAAATAGATACCCATTGTTGGCAGGATCGAGGAATTTGCGTAATTGGTCGTTGTCTAACGTAACGTCTGTTGCTTGACGGAGAACGAGAGTTTTGGTCTCGGGTTCAGGTGTCTCCTGTGTCTTGATTTTCCATGGACACACTGGCTGGCTGGCGGTTTCATTGTTCTCAGTTTCGGTCAGGACAGGAGAGTCCTTGCCGAACTCAGACTGGTCAAGTTGACGGACGAGATGCTGGAATGTGAGAGTTTGAGGCTTGACAGGCTTGTTTGGGAACTTTTNGTTAGGCTTGTTATCCTGGGTTGAGCGCATGGGTCTGTAGATCAAATGTCTCTCGAAAANAGTCTGTGGCTGCATTGCAGCAATGCCAGCGAGGATCTTGAGGACTTGATCATGGCGCTCGAGGGGCACCTGGCCATAGAGCAACAATTCATGCATGGCACGTGAAATGGAGTGATAGCACACAAGATGGCTAAGCGAGCCAAGAGTTCACACTCCCAAGCACAAGTAGAGCAGATAGACTGCCTTGACTTGATCAGACAGAGCTAGACTGGACTGTCTGTTTGCTTGCTTGCACCGTGTCACTCTTGTGCTGAAGCAGAATTGACAAAAGTGGAAAGACGGCCGGAATTTCGGCAACTCAGATTTTTCTTCTGACGATGGCAGACTGGAAAGGACGGGAATAGTGATCCGCTCAGAACCGCAATAGGCACGACGGATGAAGTGATGAGAGGTCGGCTTACCCCGTGGAGGAAGAGTCGGAGCTGGTGGAGAGAAAGAGTCGGCCGAAGAGAAGACCGAGGAGAAGATCAGTTGGCGTGAAGGCGGGGGACAGCGACCGAAAGTTCGGCGATAGCAAAGATAAGGCAGGACAAAAGCTGCTTTGTCAGAGGAGCGTGTCAGCAGAAGGAGGTTCAGGCAGAAAGGTGAGGCATGTGTGGGCAAACGAGTGGTTGAAAGTCAGCCCGGCGGGCATCGGGTATTCAGAGCGGCCGATGTCGTCTTCGCGCTGCAGCTTGTGCGGCGTGATACCAAGGCCCATCTCACACCACGCGCTGCACCTTCCACCAGAGCGGATACATCATCAGTTCGTCTGCCCCGCACACTGGCACTTGTACAAATTTCTTCTCTCCCTTGTGAATCTGTGTCTGCCTGTCCATCTCTCTCTCACCTCCCTCCGACTTTTCCAACTCAAACCCCAGCACAACCAAAGCCCGACTCGTCCGTCTCGGCACCCCCAGCTCCACAGCTTTCAACTTCTGTCAAGACTCGATCACTTCCACTTCCGACTCCGCACGAGATACCCGACTCCTACACACGCACTCTCGTACAATCCACAACCATCACATCCTCCAAAATGAACGCTACACGCACCCTCTTCGCTCGCCAGCCCATGATCCGTTTCCTTGGAAAGAGATCAATCCCTTCCAGTATGTGGCTTCATGTCAAAGCTCCGACGACACCGTCTAACACCCAAGCAGAGATTGACCACACTCCTCACGCCCACCCCGCCGCTCCCACCTCTGAGCTTCCCGAGTCTTTCGCTTCCTACAGACAAAAGGCCCAACAGCACGGTCCCTTGCACCGCCGTACCGCCGCCAGCCAATACGGTGGCTTCGTCGGCGGCAAGCCCGGAAAGTCGCTCGGCCCTGTCGAGCCTGCATCCGGCGAGTTCTTCGACCGCAGCGACCTCCCTGCCCGTTTCGCCAGAACCTCATGGACCGCGGCTGAGATCGAGGCCATCGAGTCCGGCGGTGCCAGCATGTTCGCATAAACAACAAAAATTTCCCTTGATGATGAACAAAAAGTCTTTCTAGCGATGTGCAGATGGGAGAAGCGAGCGTCTGCAGGCAAGCGCTGCACCTCTCCCCTGCCAACCCAATCTACATAAGTTTACGACGATTGATATTTCACACGGATGCGACACGATTTCAGCCGGATATTCCAAGAGCCCGACACGAATGCACATGAGCGAATACGCCACGACGTGCTAGACATACCCGCGCCGATTGCTTGCTGGCGGTTTGTTGGTGAAGACCAGCGCCGCGAGAAGTCCTGAAGGCATTCAAGAGATCGACATGTTGGATCCTTGATACGCTGTTCAGCTATGTAGATAGGCTGCACCTTGCAAGCTGCTTGGCCACCGTGTCGGCTCGACCACAAAATCAAAGTAGCATCCGTTATATGATCTCAAACTTGATATCCTTCGACATGTGAAGATGCATGTGAAAGTCGCACTGCTTCGTGCCTGCCTCCCAAAATGTCATTCAGCAAGATGCTTTCCCAGAATGGCCGTTATTGATCACGTGTAGCGAACGCGACGCAAACACGTCTTCCGGATTGCCCTTGCCTTGAATAATTTCACAAAGTGACAATGTAATGCTTTTCGCACGAGCACAAGCGCGCAGACCTCGACTATCATTCTGCAACTTCGCCTCTTCGTACTCAAAGATGCCGCCGACTCTTAAACGTCTAGCTACAGAGGATGGAAGCGTCTCGCCCCCACCATTGAAGCGCACGGCACCTTCGGCCAGCACAACTACAAGTATTTACAATAAGTATGTCCTTCATGATAGACTGTGAACTAATAATTATCCAGATTCGGCTGTCGCCAACTTCTTCAAACCAGCTTCACANAAAGATCCTGAAAAAGTGGCCTGGAAGGTCATTGACAACACTTTGTTATACTGCAAGTATGACAAGGCAGATAGCTTTGCTGCAGACAGACCACGTAAAATTGCAGCTTTTGACTTCGTATGCCTATCCCCCAAGCCATTATAAACAGTTTCTGATATTCTTAGNGATTCCACTCTGGTCGATGCGAAGTCGGGCAATCGCTTTGCTAGGGACGGGGATGACTGGAAGTGGTGGCACAGACAGGTCCCTTCGAAACTGAAGCAATTAGCTGAAGAAGGGTAACTATCTTTTGCTGTACTCATGAGCCATATGGCTAACCAAGTCAGGTACCTGCTAGCCATCCTTAGCAACCAAGCCGGTATCAGCATGAACAGCGCCTCCAAGACTGTCAATTCGGACAAGAAAAGACTTGCCGACTTCAAGCAGAAAGTCAAGAGTGTCTTTACACAACTCGACTTGCCCATCGTCCTCTATGCTGCCACCGACAAGGACAAGTTTCGTAAACCGCGTACAGGAATGTGGGACAAGTTGCTAGAGGCACAAGGTTTGACTCAAGAAGGCGACGTTGATCTTGAGGCCTGTTACTTTGTTGGCGATGCAGGNGGTCGAACAGCGAGCACAAGAGGCATCAAAGCGGATTTCTCTTGCTCAGACAGGTCCAACTCTTTCTGCTTGCGTAGTTGGTGCCATACTAACACCTTGGCNAGGGATCTGGCTAGCAATATTGGCATCAAGTTCATGACCCCAGAAGAATTCTTCCTTGGAGAGATTCCTCGGCCTTTTAATCGCACATTCGATCCATCTGCACATGTACCACCAGTCCTGACAAGCAAAACAGACACGAGTAGGTCATCAGCAGAACGACGAGACCCATGCGTGCCTATATTGACTTCTTACAGGNNCCCCATAGCCTTTACCAGAAAGAACGATCTCGAGCTGGTCATCTTCTGTGGAAGCCCTGGAGCAGGAAAATCCACGTGGTTCCAACAGCACCTGAAGCCGCTTGGCTATGAACGTGTAAACCAGGACTTACTCAAATCTGTGTGTCAAACAATCCTTGATGCTTTGTCTTGATCCTCACACTGACAAGCACACAGNAGGGACAGGTGCCTTAAGGTGGCCAGGGAACTTCTCGAGGACGGAAAGTCGGTAGCAGTTGGTACGTTTGCTCCTATACCAGACTTGAGAGCTTCATACTGACTATACCAATCCNNAGACAATACCAATGCCGACATCAAGGCTCGCGAGTACTGGACACAATTGGCAGAGTCGCTCGAAATTCCTATTCGATGTGTACACTTCACGGCCCCGTCCAAGCTTTGTGAACACAACGATGCCGTTCGGTCCATCGGAGGTCAACAACTGGGAGTGAGCAAATCCGCCTTGCAAGCTGCAGGATGCCGTGAAGACTATGCAACGCTTACTGACACTTCGGATTGACAACAGATGAACCCAGAGTCGAGAACTATGCTGCCGAGACAGGCATTCACTGGATTCGCAGCCAGATACAGCCCTCCAACCCTGGATGAGGGCTTCGTCGACATTACCAAGGTCGACTTTAAGGTACGTTGTAGATCCATTCCCTTCCGTGTGCAAAGGTCTGTCATGCAAGCAGCTGTGAGAATGCATGGTTCCTTCCCGTGTCAGACTCGGGTCCAGTGAGTCGTGGACTCGTTGGTTCTCTCCAAATTCATCTACGGCCTGGAGACAATCGTGCATTTTACAGCTACGTGTGATTGACTCAGCACATGGATAGCAACGAAGATCGCTTGCTAATCATATCCCGACATAACAGTTCTCTGGTACCGAGGAGCAGAAGACCGCATGGTCGAAGTTCTGGGTGTGAGACATTGCGGAGAAGTCCCCGATTTTTGACCCGTGGCCAGAACATTTCGCTCGAACGACGAACACGACACATCGTTGGTGAAAGCCTGGGCGACCTCGATATCAGCCATCCTCAAAGTGGCAGAGTCCAGAAAGGAAGGTCCGTTAGAGACATCGCTTCGAGGTACCACTTCTTCAATTCGACCACGATTCGTATTTTTCCGGGCTCTTATCATTGTTTGCAAGGTCTACCCAAGTTTCTCTTATTGCCATCGTTCGATGGTGGGACTGGAGGCGCCTGAGGCAGCCGGCACTGATCTAGGTCTGTTCAAAAGACCGACATGGCGTGCACCACCCCGTATAACAGCGCGACAGAGTTACCCCAGGAAGGGCACGGCATGGAACAGACCCTTCGAAACGAGTAATGGATTTGCAAGTTGCAGAGAAGACGGAAGGGACTGGGAGACAAAAGAATAAGGGCGAGGCGTGTGAAGGTTCGTCTGTTGGGGATGCGGCTTACGAGGTCCACTAAGGACGATGAGGGCTACGGAATCTCTGTTGCCCTACCCCGGAACCGAGGGTCGATTAGATCTTTTGCTATCAAAGTTCCATCTCTCATCCGAAACCCTGTCTGTGTGTACAGTAATACAATTCTCTTGCCTTTTGAGCGGGACAAGCAAGGCAACAAAAAAGGGTTGATGAACGACCTGCATCGGTTCATGTTTTGCGGAAAAAGAAAGACACACCTCGGCAGGGTGGACAGGGTTTCCCCTTGCAGTGCTGCAGCGCGGCAGGCGGCAAGACAACACTTGTGCATTCATCCGTCTTTTATCCTATTCAGCTATTCGAGTATTGCGTTTGCTATCACAGGGATGCCTGACGTCTGAGGCCTTCGACAAGACTTTTTCCAGGTGGGAAGCAAGAGAAAAGTCCGCCGCTGCCGCGCCTGGTCTGCTTCGCTTAGCTTTCATTCAGCCATGTTGGGAAGGAAGGAGTTTGTCCGCAAGATGGCAGAATCCTTTGACCAGATTGTGTACGCCTCGGTGTACTCGCACCTTCTTCTTTCGAACGAAATACCGAACTCCCAAAGCAATAGTCGATTCTCTTATCGTAACTAGGAGAGGAGAGGAGCTGAGGATGAATTGATCGCAAACGGCTTCACGAGGGACCATTGAAGCTTGGCAGAAACTCTCGAGAGCGGGATGGACAAAATGTCAAAAAGCAGCAACGGACGAGCAAACCAAACGGTGAAAGGCACCATGAAATCTAACCATCGAGACTTGACTGCGGTCAAACAAAAAGTCTCCTCTGCCGCGCAATCAAGCAGAGATGTAACTCGCACAAATTGTGCTGCGTATGCTGCCTTGGCTATCTCTTCTCCCATCGGCTATGTGCACTCTTTGTGCTTGCTGCACCACCTCTCGTTTTTGCTTTGCAGTTTGCGAATCGTCAAACAGTTTTCTGCAGATTCTTTCGCTTGTCACTGTTTTGCCGATGGCCAGCGACTGGATGTTCGATTTGAGTTGCTGGCCTTCTGTCACAATGCATACACTTTTTCAAGCGCTTGTACCTGATGTACATCGATTTCACAGTCCGCACGATCGGGTCTTCGATGGCCCTTGTGTAAGAGAGAGTTTTATAGTCCCCAACGGATCGTATGGGATTCGTGGACGATGATTCGCGCCGGCGAAGAACCGACGTTGGCTCGCGTGGAATCGGGCTCGGTGCTCGAGGTGGGCTTTTGTCACCTTTCCGCTTTTTGCTCGCTCTTCTGCCGGGTGACGGAAGATGCCCGTGACGGCGAGTGTCGGTCCATGAATATGCATCGCTAGCGCCTGTTGGCGACCATGCCGCTGGCTGTCAAAGAAGACGGTTCGGCTGCGGACCTGCGGCTGCTCCGAACGCTTCTAAGCTCTGCAGCTCTTCATGACTCGGAGAGACGAAGTAACAACGAAGAAGACGCTGGCCAACTGCGAGACTACTTTCTCAATCACGTTGACCTGTCTGCTGTTCGGTGGTTTCAGGCTTGCTGTGAGTTTTGCAGGTCTACAAGGGGTCGATATAGTACTCTGCATGCGTCGTCAGCAACTCGCTGAATCTATCGGTGTTTCATCAATCTGNNGTCTGCTGGGCTGTGTTGGGCATCTNNGCCTCCCAGGTTGCTGGATCCCTTTGTCGTGAAAGTTCCTCGCTTCCCGTACCTGATCGGTACAGATGCACCACCACTTTCTTTGGTTCTAGTGGAGAGTGCCCGCAGGGTCGGCGGCCCCGCTNNGAATGGTNNGAAGAAAGCCCACGCGACCATACGCTGCTGCTACTGCTACAAGAACTCGACCTCTGAAAACCCGACCGTTCAAAACGTGAAACAGGAGGGGAAAAAGGAAGAGTCGNNCATTCTACAAATGACGTTGAGGTACAATGTAGCTAGAGCCGCTCCATCTGCAAGGACGAACAATCAGGAGCTGNNGGGTGGGTATCACAGACAAGCAGACGACAAGGGCAGAAAGGCGGGAGAAGGCGCGCTTGCAGCGGGATGCCGCCCCGACCTGCGTCAAAGCCAGGTTGGCNNTTTTCTTCGGGTGCCAGAGGGAAAANNGAAGTCTCTTTTCTATTTTACCCACTGCCGAAAAAGCTGCGTTGCGTGCGACGTGACTGGTTAGAAATCCTAAGGTTTTTGGCCCGACCTTCTGCCAAAGGGTTTGGTGCCCTTTCGACTTGCTCCACCACGGCCGTCGGTGGATTTGTAATGCCGTATCTGTACTCTACCTTTTGACACACGAGGTTGAAGCGTGTAAGTCTTCGTCATTCGCGGCCCCAGCGTCCAGGTGGCCGTCGGTGTGGCCGTTTGTCGCTTGTGTTGAAAACGACGAACAAGTGACGAAATGCTTCGAAAGTGTGTTTGATGGAGCTAGAGCAGACAGAGAGAAACAGAAGGAAACAGGGACGAAGAAGCAAGACAGACCCTGCAATGGAAGCTGTAGACAGCATAGAGGGACAAGCCCAAGGGGTCCCTGAATGGTCAGAAATGACAGAAAGGACGACATGCCTCCATCACGTGGTCCAGAGCACTTGTGCGTGACTGCTGGTGGCCACAATTCCAACACGGCAGTTGTGGAAGGTCGTTGAATGATGGGACGCACAACAAGCTATTCGATATCCGAAGGATTTGTCGGTTCTGGAGCGTCGAGGTTGTACGTGTGGCCGTTACATGACAGGCAGAATGGGCACACACAGTCCAAAGACAAGGGTCCATTGTCTTGTGTATCTCGCGCACGAAGGAGAGCAGGTGAGGGTTTCGACCACAGTATGCAAGCGATTGCCAGCATCGGCTACAGCTGCAGGTGGCTGGACTGCTTGCAACAAGGATGGTGGTTTTCCCGCTAGGCGCTTGTCTGGTGGAGGATGAGGAGGGGCCACATGTCTGCTCCGCGCTCTAGGGCCTAAGCTCTGCGATGGTGACTGCATCGAAGGTTCAAGCATCAAAAATGCCATGGGACCCGCACGCTAGGCCCCAATTTCTGTTTTGCATCCGACTGATCTTGATCGACTGCGCCTGTCTTGCTCTATTACCGCGCTGCGCTTGTCGCCGTTTTGCTTTGAGACATCTTCTTCACGAACGCTCTTTGCAACCTCTCTCTCTCTCCCCCCTCCCTCTGTTCCAGCGACCATCCAAGTAGGCGGATCAAAAGTGTCAGGTACGACGTGCAGCCAACGGACGCCCGGTTTTCCTCTCTGCATCCAACATCTGTTCGTCCGAACGTGGTTTCTTGACTCACAACTCTCTGGCCTCATCCCGGCTCCCAATCCAGGCATTCAACTATCTCACACGACACATCATTATGCCATTTGCATTCGATTTATAGTCAGGACGCCGTCGTCCAAGTTTTCCGGTAGAACATCATGCAACGCGCCAATATGCGACCATCTATGCTGCCCAAGTTGATCGTCGCGCAAACGCCTACAGCCGCAACGATCGGCGAAATGGTCGACTCGCCATACTCCATGCATTCTCGCAACTCATCAGGCACATCCGACAACTACTCACCTCTAACACAAACTTTCTCCTTCCACGAACACACGCGCCAATCAAGTTCCAGCTCTTCATCTGTCGCGTCAACTCCTCCAAAGTATGAGCCTAGCATCGAATCCCTCAACAATCGCGTCTCAAGGACGACCCTCCATGATCTTGTTGAAGATCCTCATGAGAGAGAGGATGGCTTTGACCTCTGTGACAGGGCGTTCGAGTCCAACTGCCAATGTGGTCTCGAGCAAACTCATTCCAACCATGACATGTACTATCTGAGCGAAGCCGAGATGGATCCCCGTCTCTGTCAATCTGTATCTGCTTTGGAACGACCCAGTCTGGACTACTCTCTCGCGGATGGACCAAGTGATTTCAACAGCGACAGCGAATTCCCTCTACAGGTTGCCAAGTCTAGATCCAGGGCAAATTCTGGTGAATCATCCGTCACCGGTTTGGCCTCTCGTGTGGGCAGTCGCCTGTCATCGTTTTCGAAACGCCGTGACAGAACACCGACATCTCCCCCAACCACAGCTGTCCATCGTCTTAGCACAAAGAGTGCTCCTGTTTCTCGTGTGCCGTCACGTGCTTCGTCTTTCCGCATGTCTTCTGTAGCAAAGCCCGTTCTCACTCCTCTTGACGTCGAAGCTGAGCAGACCCCGACACCAACCCCAGCCAATATTGCTGTCGAAACTTCGAATCCCCTGGATATTCAGATACCTGAAGCGGATGAACCAATTGATCGTAAGGCCCTAGCGTCCACACCACTTCTTCCCAGGACAATCCAGAATCCCGAACCAATCAACGAGGACGTAGTCCAATCACCACTACAATCTCCCACTGTTGTCGATAATGCTCAGATAGCTCGCTTGTCAATGATTGGCCCATCGCTGTCCAGTCCAATTCTCCCCGAGATGTCAATGGTCTCACCCGCTCTCTCGGCGCATACTTCTACTACCTCTCTCGGCGCTATGCACTCTAGCCAAGTCATGTCTTCGCCT